ATTTTACACGCCTCAAATACTTTTCCAAAATGCGATGTTCGGTTTATGACATTTCAATGCCAGCTGAGCATTGAAATCACCTCAAACTTAAAAAAAAGAATTCCGATTCCGAAAGGCGATTCCTCCTACAAAAAAAAAAAAGTTGTCATCATATTAGGCCTTATGAGTCAGCCACTGGTATGATCCACTTGGCATGATCGTGCAAAATTTACATGGAATGGAAGAAATTGTCCAAATCAATAAAATGCAAGTCGGTTGCAAAACAAATATGCTTGGATACCAACACCACATGGGCAGAAAAATGCTTCTGGTGTCGGAATCTGGCCAAATTTACCCCGAAAATTGTTTAAACAAATAAAAATATTATTCGGTTCTAAGGTACCTAGCTTCTATTTCTCTGGGTAGTTCAGTGCGGAAGGTACATCGGCTATATCTAGTGATAGATAACTAACCGCGCATGGAGTTTTGGCGAAAATAATGTACCCGACCGAATACATACACGCATGCATGTGTTGTCAGTTCTCTAGACAGCAACAACAAAACACAACGACCCCAAAAAATACCGAGCGGATGTTCATAAACATATGCGTATTCTCATTGCCATGGGTTTGGAAGTGTGAAAAAGAACTATTGTCGGCGACATGGGGTCCGTAAACGTGTAACTCAGTTTAAAGCAAACAAACAAACAAACGGAGAACAACAACAAAGACACAGAAACCAGGACAAACTACAAGGAGACACATACAACTCTTGGGCCAAGTGCCTCCTTAGTCGGAAGATGCAACATTATTTCACTTTCTCCAGGTGTGTGTGTGTTGATGTTAATCTCCACGAAAAGTGGCTAAGGACATACTGCCAACTCATGGCGTTAGTGTCCGTCGTAGACATGTTAACCGCTTCTTGTGTGTCATTTACACACTTCTCTACCACTTTTCCACTTAGCAACAGAGTCGATAAGCAGCTTGAACACTTCTTCAAATATAGATATTCGCTCAAAATAATGTCCATGTCCAAGTTTGTCTTGAATGAAAGAATATATGGCCGGGTCAATTCGAATACCTTCCATTATCTCTTTACTTGTCATTTTAGTTTTGATTCAATCCGGAAGCAACTGCCATGGGCATAGCATTGTCCTTATGCCCAAATTGAACGTCAACTTCCCAAACGGATTTTCAGATCGTGACATGCACCGACCTCGCTCCCTTTCGTTCCAATTTCAATACGACCTCGCTAACAACTTAGTAACGCACTAGCCAAACAGACGAGTCCCGCTTTAGCTAAATCCCTTTGCATTTGACACAGAAACATGGCACACTCCATGACATTCCAGCAAATTGTCACTGTTTCAAATGTTCTGGATGCTGGCTGTCGAGAACCGTGGCCCTTAACAGCAAATACGGTGAATAGAGTCTGTGTCAAGGGGCCAGTTGTTGCATGCTTCTGATCATCTTGTGGCGGCGCCAACGGGTTTCTTCTGAGCCAATTCTGTTCTGTTCGACTAAGCGGGCTAATGGTACTGGTAATTCTCAATGGACTTTACGTGCGACCTTGAAGCCAGAGGTAGATTTGTGGAGCGTCTATTAAACGGCTAAACACACACTTATTTGAGATATTTGACGTCCATGGAAAAGGGGTAAACGGGCCACGCTTGGCATCTTAAAATTGTATGAATCAACGAAGACATTTCATTCGAAAAATACACCTTTGGGGAGAAAGACATTTCAAGTGGTAGACTGAAATTTGCCTGACATTTTTTCTAACAAAAATATTACAATGCCAAATAATAAACAATTATTTGCAATGAGGTCAGTGCTACATTTCTGTGCAAGATCGAGCATATGCTGTTTTCTGAATTATGTCAAACTCCAGGTAATAAAACTGTAACTTCTTCGTAATATTTTAGATCTACAGATATCGCCATGAAAATTTGACTGAAAGATAAAGTAGGACTCTGAGACAAAATATAAAAAATGCCAAGAAATATTTCCAACATTTATACCCTACACCACAAGGTGCTCAGGGTATTATGTCTTTGTGCAGTTGTTTGTAACAGGCTAAAGGAAACGAGATAGACCCATAATTCCTTTTGATAATCCGCATGTTCTTGTATGCGGACGGTACAAGGTACAGGTCGCATTTATTGTCCGATACAGATGAAATTATGAACAAATTAATTGTTTGACCGAATATCGGTCAAAATTTACATGTAGCTCCCATTTACTTTTTATTGTGCACCAAATATTATGGAATTTTGCACATATTTGGCACTTACGACAAAAATTGAGTCTTGAAACAAGTATGTCAAATTTGGTGAAAATCGGTTCAGGTATAGCTGTAGCTCACATATATTGTTCATCCGAATTGTTGAATTTTTGATACAAAAAGAAGCGACTTGATCAAAACCCGCGTTGCAGTGGCCAACATACCGCAATATTCCATTCGGCAAATATTGAAAAATGAGCTGGGGGTAAAGCCAATGAAATTCCAAAAAGTGCAAGAACTTATACCGCAACAGAAGCAAAATAGACTGAAAAGAGCTAAAGAGTTGCTTCGCAGCGTGTGACGGTTTCATTGGCCGTTTGAAGGCCATAATTCGTGCCAAAGGTGACCAATTTTAACAAATCTAAACTTATTCTAAAATTTGATGCTATTTCCGACATTTTTTGAAGTATAGAGTATAATTTAAACGTTTTACTGTATAATGGAAGACAAACATAATTGAAGCCTACACTTTGCTGTGCAACAATTTTTCGGCCACTGTCTGGGTTGAGGGAGATTCGTTTAGGAAATCAATCACAACCGACGATTTTTGGGTTCTTAGGCCCATGTACTTTACTTTGTAATATTTTAGATTGCATTTTCAAATTGCTGTAGACCTCTGCCCTAAAAAGTGTGGTTTGAGAATCAAAAACCTTTTGGATAAAAAAACAACAACAACAACGAAAATATCAAAGAGCTCCATAACAAATTTGGACTTTTAAATGAAGTTTGGGAGATCTTCGAGATTTTCCCTTCAATTAACACTTGAAACGCACCAAACCATTCAAGATATAGCATTTTCAGATTAAATGAAACCTTTTGCAATTCAAATGAAAATTTTTGCAGCGGAAATGAAACCTTTTGCAGTGGAAATGAAACCTTTTGCAACCGAAATGAAACTTTTTGCAAATCAAATTAAACTTTTAAATTTATAGAAGGAAAAGTTACAAAACATTTTATATTTTAGTAGTTTTTAAATTAAATCAATTAATTATAACTAATATATTGACAAAGAGGATTTTTTATGGATTATAAGTATCTACATTTATTTAATTATTTCTTAAATTTTCAATTATTGTAATAACAAATGGTTCTTTATTGATTTGATATAAAATGCTTCCATATTATTAAATTTCAAATACTTAACGCTGAAAAGAGAAATTTAAACAAATTTTGGCCTTTATAGGTATGGCCAGGACTGAAATGTGAAATTAAGCTTTACCTCAATATTTTATAGTTATAGTATACTATTAATCTTACCTAATAAAGGATTCCCGCTTTGGAGCTTTATTAATTATCGAGATAGAGCAGTCGTGATTTAAATAGACAGATAAGTGGAAATCATTAAATCAACTATGGTCATGATTGTATATACTTTATGGGGTCATGTGTTTTGTGGAAGCTTTAAGAAAAATTTTTATAAAAACATAGATATTAATAATCAATAAAAATTCCTCTTTAACTATATATTAGTTATAATTAGTTGTTTTAATTTTAAGCCTCCTAAAAATAAAAATGTTTTGTTTTATTTTTTTTTTCCTTCTAAAAATCTAAATGTTTCATTTGATTTGCGAAAAGTTTCATTTCGGTTGCAAAAGGTTTCATTTAATCTGAAAATGCTATATGTCATTTCCACGGTATTTTAACCAATGCGGTCCTAAAACAATCTAACCCCTGTTCGTCCAATTACGTCTCATTCCATTCCCTTCGTTTCAGTTTCCCTGTTCCCCATTTTGTCCCATCTATAAATTAAATAGACCGACTGTATTCGAATTCGGCGTTCTCCTCCAGCTACTCATTTTGAATGCGATTAGTTTTGTTGTCGACAACAACAACGATAACAATGCAACACACAACAACTCATTTTCTTTCTACTAATTAATTCATTCAATTTTCCGAGCTGACCGTTCGACTACAAAGTGCAGAACCTGGCACTGGCCCCACCGCTCACCTCGGCATTCATTACTCGGTATTGATCCTAATAATGAAATTTACATTATGCAAATGTCAAGAAGTTGCTCCGTAAATCCTTAATAATCCAACACGTAATGCACCCTTCCAAACAACAAAAACAACAACAAGAACAACAATACCAGTGATGACGCAGACGACTGGCATTTATTATTACTTAATGGCAACATCAAGAATGCAATTCATTGAATTAATGCCACTCATTTGTGCATCGACATGTTGCTCCACACCCACCCCATCACCGGCCCTCCCATCCATTGTCGATTGTCGACCAGGGTCCATTGTCAGGGCACTCCATGGCTCATGTGTCGTAAACTTTTATGTTATTGCTTCCCTCTGATTGTGTTCGTCGCCTGTGCTTACCAGCAACATGTTTGTCTTATTACCTCTTTCGCCATCCGTGAAGTGGGAAAAATTGCGGGAAAGCGTTCGTCTTCCTTTGGCCATTCGCCATTCTCCGTTCGCCCTCGGAAGGTAGGTAGAGAGGTAGTGTCTGCTGTATGTTCATTGTAATGCCATCCAGATGCTCAATAATCCAATTTTAAGTAGGGAATTTTGAGGGAAATTTTATGACTCAGATGAATTGGCTGAAGGCTGGCTTTTTCAATGGGGCCAATGGTAGAGTTTAAGAGCTTGACTTCTTGATGCTTGGCAGATAACGATTACGGTGGAAGTTATTCGTGAAATCTATAAATTAAATAAATTTCTCTTTTACAGTCGGAGAGAAAAACAAAACGTTTAATCCGCCTTAATTTTGTTTATCATTTCAGGGGTGGACCTGGCCTAAGATGGGGAGCGTGCTCTTTGCAGCTGTGTTCATAGCGTTACATTTTGCCACCGGCGGCCTGGCCAACCCAGATGCAAAACGTTTATACGACGACCTCTTGAGTAACTACAACCGCTTGATACGGCCTGTTGGCAATAATTCCGATCGTCTAACGGTCAAAATGGGTTTACGTTTGTCACAACTAATTGATGTGGTAAGTATTGTGGCTTGCCTCCCAATTCCCCCGTCTCCCCCATCAAACTTTATGAGTGTAACAAAGAACTAACAACCATTAATTATGAACGCAAGTCGAAACTTCTCCTAATAACGCTTCATCATCCGTCATAAATCATCGCTGTCATCGTCAAGACGAAGCGAAAAGGCATTCAACAAATGTCAATTACTGTGGCCATCGGCGGAAGGGTGTACGTACGGACATGGGCATCCATGGCCGATGACAACGTGGAGAAAGAAGAGAGAGAGAGAGAGACAACAGCCCAGACCACGTGTCGTCCTCCCGTCCCATCCTATTCTGGAACCAACATCGAAGTAATGAAATAATAGACAGAAGTTATCGAGCGTATCCTCAGACCATTACAAGTCTTCCAATTTGATTTCCCAATGAAATTAGTTTTCATTTGGCCATAATGTGACCCATCGCTCCCCTACCCTGCAAAGCATAATGTCGTTGCAACTATATCTTAATCTCTGGATGGAAAGTTTTCCATTGCCTGAAACTGCACCTATTATGAATTAATGCTAATTTTTTTTTTTAACTAACTACCTCCCTCCTACATCCATTGGTCAGTTTAAAAAATCCGAACTCAATTGAAACACATTTCTAATCCGCTTTTAACCAACTCGTAATTACTTTGTGCAATTAAGTGTCCCCGTCACATAATACGCACGGCATTGTCGCTGTTGATTTGATGAAATGTTTTGTGGCTGATTCTCAACCACAGCTCACAGCCCGCGTCACACAAACACGCGCAATCTAAAATCCCAATACATCAATAATTTATGGCTATTTGAACCGGCCTGCTATTGGCCGGTTGGCTGGCTGTCTGAATCAAACTTCATTTGGAATGTCATAAATTCTGCAGTGGCATTACACATTCAATTCCGACACAAACCACAACAACATTGGGGATTATTTTTCAAACGATTTATGACCGCTGCTGCCTCCCATTCGCCTTTCACGGGAGCTCTATTCACTTTCCGGCAAGGAGCAGGACAGACGACACAATTGCAACCGTGTCAATGTTTAAAAGCCTTTCAAGGTAAAGTGCCGAACGCTGACATGTGTTAATGACTTAAAAGCTTTGGCGTTCGCTCTAGATCTAATTGAATTGCCACAGTTTTCCATTATTACAGAAGCCGTCTGTCCGCGTGGCAAAATCGAATTAACACTTCATGCCGGGCACTTTGGCACACACACAGCCGCCATGGCCGGAATGTAAAAATAATGCCTGCAGAAGTTTCCATCGTCGGAATCAACTCAAGCAACGCTAATCGAGACGACGGCGCTGCGCGGATGTCTCTCCCAGGCTCTCATAAGTTAATGCGATAATCTGCAAGTCAAACATCAATTTGGTTGACTGTGTGTCCAAAAGGGGGTATGTGACGTGGACGTCGTTTAGCGGGGAGGAGTACAACCATTTAAATTCGCCGTCATATTCGAAGAACTTTTCCACATTGCTGGTGATGGGGGACGTTTTTATTTTTCCAACCTCTCTTCGGGGTTTATCGATTTATCGGTTAAAGTTTTCGAATTTATTTCAAAATTCAAATGCTCAGGCACGCTTTCTTTGTTTCGCTCAAGAATCAAGACCTTTCCCCATTTTATTTTCCCTGCAAATATTAAGGATAATTATTGGTGCTCCAAATGCCTGTCCTGAGTGTGGTTTAACGCCATTAACTTCAATATTCAACGACATATTTTTCAATTCAAAACACTCATCTTGCAAACGTACAGAAAAGCAGTGTCTCTCTTATCATGTTTTCAGGCCATTTACCAATTCCCTGGTGCTCCCCGGAAATCAAGAGCGAGAGAGAGAGATATATACTGGTGCATATTTCGCTTATTTTTTTATTCGCTTATTGCTTCTTTTTCGATCATTTCCTTCCAGACTCTTCCGTCCGAATTCGAAATATTATAAATTGTCTATGCACCATTGCATATATGTGTTCGTTTACATATGCACATTGTACAATTCTATTGCCCGTAATCTGCTCAAATCTTGTCTGCACTTTATGGAGCGATGCAGTTTTATATTTTTTTTATTTTACGCTTAAGAAATAAAGCTTCCGATGGCCAGCTAGACGTCGAGATGCCAAAAAGAAACAAAATTCCTTGCTCAAAATACATTACGGATATGCAGATGTTCGAATGGATTCGGCCAAATACACAAAAAGCCAATCAATGTCCGTTGGAAATCCCACAGCGCCTGAGGTTTCTGGACACTTGGCATTGAGCAGAACATGGACAAAACTGCAATACAATGTGCTGTATGGCTTAGAAAAATGCACCAGTATGGTTGGTGTTGCTATTCCGATGGTTGGAATATTGGTAATCTGTGAAGCTTCAATGGCAAATTTAAAGTTACCATGCCAGCCTGCGTTTTAATTTTGTCTGTCCTCCACCATACATGGGAATATACCCTCCACTCCTTATTCTTTTACGTTTTTTATCAGACCGTGCGTTATATCAGTCCACGTTTGATAATTTAAGCTATAATTTTAAGCGAAATCCTTGTAAATTTAGCCTTTGATAGGTATCACCTCTTCTGTAGGAAATTGTTATTAAACGTTTTTGTAAGCTGACGATTGACAACCTGACACTACATGATATCCGTCATTTATATAATTTTAGCCAAATCCTTAAATGGAATTTTTTGAAACTTAGCATTTAAAGTTCGAAGCACCAAGTACAGGTTCACGTACCTCGTGATCTAAACCTCACTCTCAAAAACACACGATTCCAAATTATGCGAACGATGGAATTCTCTCCAGATTCATGAATTCCAAAGACAAAAAACACCAGATCGACCCTTGCTCTCAAATTTTTTTTTTTTCAATTTTGTAGTGATGGACTTTTTCCACACACTCATCTGCCACACAGACACACAAACATATGGCTTCTTCCCCTTTCTGCATAGTATTCGTATCCGTAGACAACCAACCAACTGCTGTTTGTCATCTTTCCACAACATGAGTGCCTGCCTGGCCTTGTCGTAGCATGAATGAGAGTTAGATTCCGTATCGGTGCTCCAATTATAATCAATTCAGCTATTCCACTGGGCATGTATGTAGCTCCCACATGCCGTCTTATCGCCTTAATATAATTTTATAGAAGCAATTAATTCGTTAATGTCGGCAAGCATCCTTAATCGCAGCGACAATCTCTTCTCGGGATGTGCCTTTTCAGATTGTCTTGAAGATGAAACGGCATTTCCTCCCTCGACACAGACAGCGGAACAATGTGGCGATGGTGATGTCTATGGCTACGGAAATTGTCATGAATTGTTTTTATCATGTCTCATTATTATTGATATTCTTAAACTGTTTATATTTGTATGTATGTGTGTATGTGTGCATGTCATATTTTGTAATTCATTGATTTTTATGCCGTATTCTCTTCTTCCTTTGCCTTTTTCTTTTCAGAATCTTAAAAATCAAATCATGACGACAAATGTGTGGGTGGAACAGGTAATTACAACGATATCCAATTCATTTTGTATGCCTATGCATTTTCTTTTCCATGGATGGCAGCGGTGCGGGCGGCGAGCAGCCGGAAATCCTCCGCTTTTTGTGCAACCAGAATAAATGTTCAATATTTGTCCGCAATAAATACAAGCCCACACTGGCGAGAGTGTAACTTATGCCTATTTGCGTTTGATGGCACATCAGCCACCCGAAAAGCAAACACATCTGCTTGTAATGAGGAGGAGGAAAAAACTGCATATTTTTTAATGTGGGCAGACAATGCGTGGTCACGTTTCAACAGAACAAATAATGTGACACTGCACTTGGCATTAATCAGTGCTGCTCCTCTATCCGCCAACACACGGCCCAGTGGGATGGTTAATCATTTCTATTCGAATTCAAATAGTTCCAAATGTCCACTCCAACAGCTCCGGGTGTGCAAACAACTGTCGCACGACGACATGTGGGCATCGGAATCATGTGGCCATCGCTTCATGTATGTCTGTCTGTATGTGGATGCCATAGCTGCCCTGCTAAAATCCTCGGCAGAAAAGTATTTACTTATCGAAGTAAAAGTTGATAATAGCAAACGTTCTATTGCCATTCGAGGCCTTTTTTGGCCAGGTGTTTGCACAATGAATTGAGGAATGAAGTACGACTCCCCTAACTCTCATGCAAATATGCAGGTCTCGTTTTTAAAACCACTGGCCCCCAATGACATCCATATTTACGATATTAATATGACCTACCCATGTTTAATCTGACAACATGTATATTCTTTCCCTTTACAGGAGTGGAACGACTACAAATTGAAATGGAATCCCGATGATTATGGCGGCGTTGATACCTTACACGTACCTTCTGAGCACATATGGCTGCCGGACATAGTTCTGTACAATAAGTAAGTATGCCTTTGCTACATCGTCCCCGTTCCCAGTCTCGAATAAAACTCTCGTTGGTATTGATATTTCTCATGAAGAGCTTGTCGTCATTATCCTCGGTGTTTGTCTTTTTTGTGCTTTCCTTTATCTGTTTGCGTTTGTTTGGGCAATCTAGCCATGGAACTCAGAGGGGCAGTAGTATTGGGGATTGGTGGAGAATTTCCACCAAGGAATTATTCTAATTAACAATGCCAACGCCCGGCTCTCATTTCAGTGTTTTCCCAAGAACGGATAATTTATGTTAAAACTTAAGAAAGCCAATTATGATACAGCCGGCCAAACAAATTGTGACTAATTATCTCCATGACAGGAAATAGCCATTTGTGGGCAACTTTTCCCACTCCGTCAATGGCGCTGGCTCAACGCGACACGGGGGGTTCGGCGGTGAGCCGTGAAATATTCAAATTTTTGGCAATTGTTGTCGGCAGGCCGAATGTTTTCTATTATTCTCCGCCCCCTGTTTGTTTCATTCAATGCTCTTGAATATCCGATACTAGGCGCTGTACAATCTAACGCTGCATGAAATTCTCTATTATTATCAGCGCTAAAAGCAGGATCTATGCAAAATACAGTGGCATTTGGTAAAGAGTGGCATCTGTGGAACGGTGGGCGACGATGATGTTGCAATCTGTCTACACTCTTTCTCAGACTGGACGCACTCGTATGCAAATGGCTGTAGGAAGCAAGTGGTTGCAATATTTTACGCCGCATAATGTTGCAATGACGCCATCAATGCCCTGCTATTAGCACCAGTGGCTGTTGGCTGTTTTACATATGAAATATCGGGGTTTGGAGACAAAAGGACACTGATGATAAAGGTCAATACCCACCGCACGTCCAATCGAAATACTTTCCAACTGCACTTCAGAATAAAAAAAAATCGATTTCTCCGTCAGAATTTCCATTTGTATTTTAGATATTTTATTTGAAATTCGGAATATTGCAATATCAGATATTCCATTGGAAATTCGAAACATTTTTTTGATATTCAGAAAATCTCATTTAAATTTCAGAATTTTCCTGACCAATTTAGAAATTTTCAATTGAAATTCATAGCAAAAAAGTTATGTTTTGTCAAAAAAGCTTTGTGTCGTGGTATCAACGGTTGGAGAACCTAAGGGTGATGACACGTAAGCCGCTGGACATCATGGCATGACATATGAATGTCCAATTATAAGGGAAAACGACGACAGAATTCGTGTGCGATTGCTGATTCCAATTACCATTTTCTAAATTCGAAATAAAATGACTAAATGTTCTAAATTACTAATTCCGGAATTGTTACTCTTAAACACTGATACAGAATCCTCAATTTAATACTGATACAGAATCCTCAATTCAACAAAGTGAATAAGATGCCACTGTGCCACCATGACGTACTAAAATGCAAATAGATTCTATATTTTTACCAGCAGTTGAAGCCAAATATGAGCACATAGTTCGCGTTCAGTGGTATTTGTGTCAACCAGCCTGCGGGCGCCACCCACCCGACAGTCGGCCATGCCAGTTGTGTGTTTACTGGGTGGTTCAATAAAACAAGATAACGTTGAAAGCTCTTAACTACTTCAATTCGGCTTGGTTTGGTATGCCGAACTTATCCGCCCAATGTTTGTTAGCAAATCGAAGTTTTTGTTTTCTATCCCGAAATGTACGACGGTCACAAACACGGCCTAAAACCGTTTTAAAACCCCACATCAATAGCGAAATATGCAAACAAAAAAACCAACCCCCACCCCCCTCGTGGTTTCCCCTCTGCTCTGCTATGTAGCTATGGCGTTCTCAATGGAATGCACGACGATACATTATATTGGCTGGATGACACTGTCACGCACCGTTTACTTTGGGCTCCACACTCAGATCCGAATGCCACCCTGCCTTGTCGAGTGACTGCACAAAGCGGCGGCTTTGATAGCTTCAACAGAGCAACTAAAAACACATGGAATGCCTTGAAAACAGTGCCCGTCAAGCAGGAACAAATAATTGGCCAAAACAAAAGAAACTTTGGCGCGCTAATATTCCATGTGGCAATGTTCGATCGTTCATAAATTATTACAGAAAATGGTATCGCGGACGACACGCTTTGTGAGAGGCAAACGAATCAATTCGTTTTTCTATTATGTGCCGACACAATGCCACCACATAGCAGGCCTGTGCATGCATATATCTTCTAAATTATCATAATCGGACAATGTTAATTTATTGCGGCCGAGGTCAAAAACTGTTAATTCTTTGAGCCCAATTCCATAGCCACAAAATATACAAATGCGTTTTTTTTTTAATTAGGTAGCTATACGAAGTTTTCGCCTCATTGGTACTCCAGGGCGTATACGCGTTGGTTGCCAAACAAAATAATTGATACGGCAGGCGTAGCCAACTTTTTGATGGACTCCACTCAAGAAAATATTTGACAACAAGAGAAGACTAACGCCTTAATTCGTCTCTTATTTGACCTTAATAAATAGGCCATGATCCTTCCATAACAAAATACAAGTTCACCCGAAAAATAGGTATTCGGCACTTGAGAGCTTGGTAGATGGCAAAAAGGAAAAAAATGGATGAACTGCATTGACAGATGACGGAATTTTATCAAGCCCCTTTCGGAGAAGCAATGACAAACGACTAAACAAAGATCTATCCATGTTTTAAATTAATCAGGCCAAGTTGAAAGTTTCCACTTTAGTTTTGTCAGTTAGTTTTTAAGAAAGCCCGGGTTCTGTAGTCTCCCTTCAGTATTTATACCTTAAGAAATACGTGTTTTAATCCCACATCACAACAATCCAATTTGACCATATCCCACAATTCGTAGGCCTGTTTTGCTGATACGCATTCGAATGAAGTTCGAACGATCACCTTCGATCTTTATGTGTCGACAGGACCGACTGTTGCCCCTTCCACGTTCAACAGTGACATTTAAACTGCATGCATAATTATTCAAGCCCTCTATCACCACTTCCACTTACATTAAAGCAGAAAGCGTTTTCTCAGCGATCCACTAAATTATTTTTATAATCAAATGCTTTTTTGTGACATACTACAGCAAAGAGAAAAACAAACGACCAAGTTAGGTCGTTAACCGCTTTGGGGCCGACTGGAAGTGTTGTCTTTAATTGGTTGAGGGGTTTCTCAGTTTTCAGACTATTTGCAATAAACACTAAACGCTCATTGAGGCTAGCTGTGACTGATTATTTCAATTCAATTGCCTTTTCTTCTTCGTCTTCGTCTTCGTCTGCCTTTGTCCTTGTCCTTGTCCACGTTCGAGGGCAATTTCGTTTTATGTTCTGCCTGCCTGCCACATTGCCAAGGTTCAGCTGGGCTTCACTCATCTTCGTATTTGGCAAAATCTTGGTGCCACGCACCCACGGCCGTTGGCAATCTGAATATGATATCAGTCCGTCTATCCGTCCGACAGTTTCCCTGCCATTTCCTCTTCTCTTGGAGTGAATTTTAATTTCTGGGATCATCATAAAAATTAATTGCTGGAATTAAAACGGGCACAAAAGCTTTTGGAGATGAATTTTGCGGTTTGTGGCATTGAATTGTTTACTGTTCCGAAGAAGAACAGCTCAATATTTAAACATTTGAAAATGAGCGATGGCAAGACCCGTCCCAGTCTCAATGCCGAATACAAAAATAATTTTAATAATAGTCTTGAGAGTGAATCGAATAAATTTCCCATTTCTCTTCATTTCAATTTTAAATTCACATCTTTCATGGCTCGCCTTTGTTTTCTTTCGCCCTATGCTTTCAGTGCGGATGGTAATTACGAAGTGACAATAATGACAAAAGCAATCCTCCATCATACCGGGAAAGTGGTCTGGAAGCCACCTGCCATCTACAAGTCGTTCTGTGAAATCGACGTTGAGTATTTTCCCTTCGACGAGCAGACATGTTTCATGAAATTCGGTTCATGGACATATGACGGTTATATGGTAAGTCATCAGGAAACTGAAACACACACACACACACACACATGCATGCATGCATGCAAACATAAAGACACTGATGTATATTTATTAACAGAATGTCAATTTATTAATTTGTTCTTTTTGCTGTTGTTGTTGTTGTTGTTGTTGTTGCTCGTGAGAACTTTGCAAACGGAATTAGAATGACGCGGAAGGTGAGGTGTAATTAATATTCATTCTCGTGTGATGCCACATTCACTTCACAACCTCCAGAGTTATCTTGTTGGCAGAATTGGCGGCTAACATCGAATACTCTGCAAAAATGAAGTCATTCCCTGCATCAAAATAGAAATTTAAGGAGTTCTGCAGGAGAGGGTAGACCTACCTTTATGCTACTTGTATCATTGTTTAATTCCTTCCACTATGGGTGTAGTGGAAAATTGAATTACTAGCCCCCAAATAAATAAACAAATTAGTAGTTGTTCCTTCTTTCCAGTATCCAAACGAATAAGAACTAGCTTGGATGTGACACAGTCTTGTTTATGTTATGGACGAGTAGTCCGATTAGAAATGCGTTCTTTTGCTGGGAATCTATTAGAATATATCAAAATGTCGAGTTCAGAAACAAAATGACTTAGAATCGATCATTCTATATTTTTAAGTAGCATATATGCCCGAAATGATGTATTATTCCATTTCTTCCATTAGATCTGCTACGCCATAGCTCAAGTAAAAACCCCCGAATCTATTCAGAATCCATCGCATTTTTCCAGACATTTCAGTTCTAGACATTTTGGGGCCTGCGCACATGATATGCCATTTGTGAGGCTTTCTGGCAGATAAATTTCCTCCAGTTTTATAATTTACAACAAATAAACATGACATTAATCTCAATTTTATAAACATTAAATCAAAGTGCCTTAGTGCGTGTACGAGCGAGTCAGTGGGCGTGTGGGCTCCATCGGCTTATGATCCACTCGTTTTAGGCTAGTCTTGTTGTCGGAACGGAGGAGCGAGCGCGCTTCAGTGCATAGGTTTTGTGTTCAGCTGTCAGATTTATTTGTTAAAATTACTTTTTAACAAAGTTCTCCTCCATTGAGATACTTTGTTGGCCCTATTTGTCTTGTTGCCTCTTCGGAGTGTTGGGGGGGGGGATGGCAACAACCAAACACAAATCAAGAGGCGATAAGGACGACAAAGGAACACGAAAAAAATCCTCAACGAGGAAAGGAAAAGAACAGCTGTCTAAATTGACAATAAAATATTTACGCCATATTGGCATAATGTTATCTGGTGACTCCCAGATACAGCCCACCAACCTACCTATCCCGGCAGCAAGTGTTGAAAGCGGAGGGACGGGGGTGTGGTACTGAGTGTGCAGATTTCCAATAGCAAAGCAGAACGGAGTCAGTCACGCGTTGCCTAGACTCTGGGCTGCTGTCGGCGATAGCGGCAGGATCATATGTCACTCATATAGAATAGCTTCGGTTGGAGAGCCCCTCCCCTGCGGGAAGGTGAGGGGGTTTCTAATGAACTTTCACCGCATTGAATGAACGTTTTGAAAAATAACCCAACTGTCAAATAAACAACAGTCATTAGAGCAGCAGCAACAACAACAACGACGACAACAAAAACAGTCGAATATTTAGATGACAAACACCGAAATGTGATTCCCTCTTCCGCTTCTCACTTTAGGTGGATTTGCGACATCTCAAGCAAACACCCGACTCGGATAACATCGAAGTCGGCATCGACCTTCAGGATTACTATATATCGGTGGAATGGGACATTATGCGGGTGCCGGCAGTCAGAAATGAAAAGTTCTACAGCTGCTGCGAGGAGCCTTACCTGGACATTGTGTTCAACCTGACGCTGCGCCGAAAGACACTCTTTTATACGGTCAATCTAATCATACCCTGCGTGGGCATATCGTTCTTATCCGTCTTGGTCTTCTATTTACCCAGTGATTCGGGCGAAAAGATCTCATTGTGTATAAGCATTTTACTCTCGCTGACTGTGTTTTTTCTACTGCTTGCGGAAATCATTCCGCCCACCTCATTGACGGTGCCTCTATTGGGCAAATATTTACTGTTCACCATGATGCTGGTTACGTTATCGGTTGTCGTAACCATTGCGGTGCTAAACGTTAACTTTAGGTAAGTTTCGCAAGAGTGCCTCATCTGTCGCCTGGTATGGACTCGCTTATCACTTACTCTCTCTCTCTCTCTCTCTTGCCCTCTCTCGTTCTCACAGGTCCCCAGTGACGCATCGGATGGCACCTTGGGTCCAAAGAGTTTTCATTGAAATCCTACCCAAACTCTTGTGCATAGAACGTCCCAAGAAAGATGATCCAAACGACGAAGATGACGATCAGCCCCAAGAAGTTCTGACAGATGTCTTCCATCTGCCACCTGATATCGATAAATTCGTTAATTATGACACAAAGCGATTCAGTGGCGATTACGGTATACCAGGTAAGTGCTGAGACGCCGAACATCCAATTTTATCCTTCGTCTAAAGAACGGTCGAATCAGTGTTGAGATTTGATTCATGTTTTGTGATGAACCGAGACTGTCTCTCACGACCCGTTGGAATCCGGATTATCGGAATAGGAATTAATTCAATTCGAATTCGACTTATTACCGCATACAACGCAAGATACACTTGTCATTGAGCAAATAGCGAATGACCCGTACCTTTCAATTAGATTCCAGCCAACCTACAAATCGTACACCTTACCCCGCATTGGGGGTAAATCTCCAAAAAAAATATAGGAACCACTTAAAAGTTTCCGACATGGAATCTCTGGCCATGAACCGACCAAATTTCGGCATTATCTTCTTTTCTACTCGAAAATGTATCTGATTTCGGAAATGTCTTCCAAGTTGCTGTCACATGCTGCCCATGTAATTCATATGTATGTGTGCGTGTGGGTACATGAAGTACAGAAGACATTTGCATGGTCACATCCTAATCTTGATGGGTCAACTTGTAAGTGGCCTAAATATTTTGTGAAGCGGACATAAAATTAAAACTTAGTTAATGCGTAAAAGAATTATTGTTTCAGAGATTTGGCAAGATTTATGCCTTTTTCGCTGCACGCAAGGCCATGCCATGAGACGCAGAAGTCTGGTAGAAGACTATGGGTGCTGGACCGTAACGGATTATAAAAATACAATTGCAGAATTGCGGGTAGCGCACTGCCATCGTTGGTAACTCCTGCAGCCTGCCTGAACGCCCATTCAATTTATCCCACAAGAAGTCTGGGACGATGCGAACATTTATCATTTCTAATTCGAAAATGTTGCTAGCGTAGTATTGTTGTTGTTCTCTCTTCAGAACAATGAACCAACGAGCGATTATAGGGTTTGTCCTATCCTTTTTCGAAGTGTGTTCGCTTCAAGTATGTGCGAGTTTCTTTGCCATTTCATGGTGTGGGTGTGGGTGTGAGTGTGTGTGTGTGTAAATATTTTCAATTTTCATTTTCAAACTGAAAGTTCGGGGGTCATACATTCATACATACATATGTGCACATAAGTCAACGAACATTCGTATATATGTATGTAGGAGCATTGTTCAATTCACACGTATGCAGTTTTGAAGGCATCCACGCACGTTCACCTGCATCTGTGGCAAGGAGGCATTTGTGTCCACGAAGCTTTTGTAAGGCCAACAGAAGATACATGATGAGATGTGGGGAATGGAGAAGAAGATGAAAGCAAACCAACTAAACGCAACACATTTCAATTTTTCTCCTAATCCTGCCTGGATGATTCTAAAGATTTTTCAATTGAAATTGCATGTACACACAAACACATAAACACACACACACATAGACAACCAACAAGCGAAATACGTTCACATCGTTGGTGGTACTTAAACTGAATGCAACAACGCCAGTTGCTTCTGACGATTTATCTCCTCGCGACGAGCGGTGGCGACGATGCCACAGTTGAATGCCACTACCAACAGCTCAATGTCTTGGCGTAATGAACTCGCATTTCCGTTTCCCTTTCCGAGTTTCGTTTATCAGTGCGGAAAGCCTAACAGTAAACCGACTGTTCTATTTCCGCTGGGATTTCAGTGGATTTGAACAAAGCGAATGTTGTTTCTTGAATGCTCTCATTAGCTTCTCTGTTTTCTTTTGCTCTTCTCTTTGCAGCAATACCGGCACAACGATTCGGCGAGTTTGTCAGCAACGCTGGCATATCTCCTTGTTTCGGAGATCCACCCCTGCCTTCTGCACTGCCATTGCCGGGAGCCGACGATGATCTCTTCAGTCCGACCACTGTTAATGGAGATCTAAGTCCCAGCTGTTGTCCGGCCGACCTCAGTCCTACATTTGACAAGCCCTATATGGGCGAAATGGAGAAGACCATCGAAGGATCGCGTTTCATAGCGCAGCACATGAAGAATAAGGATAAATTCGAAAGTGTAAGTACAAGCCACGCAAAGTTTAAGCTTTGCATCCCTTTCTAGTGTCGTTTACCGTCGTTTGCAAATGTCAGTTCAAAGAACGTGAAACAGGGACGATATTTCCTTCGAAAAATATTACTTGAATATTCAAATTGAAATATTGAAAATAAGTGAATTGTTGAGGAGTAAAGAAGCTTAAAAGTCCCGTAGATGCCGATGTGATATTAATATAGCAGGTTTATATGTGTAACGGGTGCGTTCTCCGCAACAATCAGGGTGACATGTGTCAAAACGTGACAGTAAAATCGGAATCTAAACCGATATGGAAATAATTTGTCAGAGGCTATATTCGATGTGAACTATAATTTGATCTGAACCGGGAAGGAATTTTTTGAAAACTAAATTCGCTTGCATGATAACAAAGGCATCAAGGGACCGTAGCTTGATTGGTTCATCACTTACACAAATGAGGCCAATATCTTGATAGGAAAATAAAAAAATAACTTTGCGATGCATCACGTTTGTCGGATTATAAATACAACTCATACATAGATAACATGAATACTTTTCGAAAATCCAAAAGTTATACCCCAATCAGCAGTAGGATTAAGTGATTTCAGGTTGAAGCTGACACAGAAAAAAAAACTTACTGACATTCACAGAGGGAAGGTCGTTGCATATTCTCGGAATGAAATGAATTTAGAAATTAGTCTTCCAATGTAAATTGTGGGCTCGATTTTATATTATTATACCCTCCACCCAAGATTCAACTTCGCATTCTGTTTGTAACACCTCTGAATATTCGTATAATATTCATGTAATTGAAACACTCATATAATTGAACGTAGAACTTTCTGCAAAATCGGCCTAATAGTTTGCATTCTAACTGGGATGATTGGGATTGAAAATGAGTTGTATGGTTAACGCTTTGCGTATAGCCCCACTGAAACGGTACCTCTCGATATTCGACATTACAACATATTTTGGCCACATTTTTTCCACTGAATTCTTTGAAATTTTGGTATTTAATGTTCGCAATAGATACCAACTGCCCTGTGGCACAAAATTATATTTATGTAGACGTACGTTTTGATATAGATCCCGCTTTTTCACTGGCATTTGCAGTTTAAAATTTAAATCCCGAACGAATATTGAGTCATGATACTATGACTCCCACCTCATGGTGGAAAGTATTCACATTTGACCTTTTTTCAACCGCCATTACTTTTCTATTTTCATTTTCAGGTTGAGGAGGATTGGAAGTACGTGGCCATGGTCTTAGATCGATTGTTCCTTTGGATATTCGCCATATCTTGTGTCGTGGGCACTGCGTGGATTATATTGCAGGCGCCCAGTTTGTACGATCAGTCACAGCCAATTGATATTCTCTATTCGAAGATCGCCAAGAAGAAGTTCGAACTGCTTAAAATGGGCAGCGAAAACAGCTTATAGCGTCCAGTTGGGTTCGCAGAGGGCTGGTGGAATATTCTCATCAGGTCTCTGCGAACCCTGTTCGCCGCTCGCGATGACGATCGCGGATAATATCCAGCTGTCATTGTGGAGGTGAACGCGGAGTCACTCAATACAACATTCGCATTCGACATAGGAGAGCAAGTGATCAAAATAGAATTTGATAATGAAGATTAGGAAATAGTTTTAATCACATTTGCAACAACAACAACAAACATTGCTGGCATGGCTCAATACCGGAACAGAGGATTGCAACGCGTACACATAACAAAAGGCAAAGCATCTCGTTTTAAAATTCAGCTAAACACATTGCACCCAACCACTGCAACACACCCGCCCTCACACACACACACACACACCTAAACACACACACACACGTGCACGCGTAGTCATACCCAGGTCCATCAATCCAAATTGTGTGCGGATGAACCTATGGCAAATCCCCTCCAAATGTTCTCCAACCGCCGTTCACATGCAACACATCAAAATAACGGTAACTACCACGGGCAGTGCAGCACCTACTCCGAGCTCCAACCATCCCTTCCTCAAGCTGCTATCCCAATGCAATTGCAATGTAGTGGTGTAATGTTAATCCCCACACACACCCACCCACCCACACACCAAAGAAAAGGGAAACACAACTCAAATGAGATTGCGCGTATGTTTGTGAATGCATGTGTATTGTGCCAGAACGACAAACAACAAAGCAAAACACAGAAAACAAAAACGAGTTCCTTTACCACAACAAAACAAAACAAAACAAAAAACATCAAGCAACCGACAAACCAACAAACAGCACAGAGGACGAATTGAGTCTCAGTTACGCAAAATAAGAACAAACGAACACTGCAATCCATAGACACCCACCCATCCATCTATCCATCCACCTCACCCCACTCCACCCACACACACACACACGCCCATACACACAATTAGTTAAGTATTAATATTATTGAAACAAACAAAAGCTTAAGCACATCAACGAATTCTCTAGATATGTATGTATGTCAATAAATTACTGAGACTCGAATAACCCTCGCAAAACAAACAAAACAAAACAAAACAAGAAAAAGATAAATGTATATCTCTCAGATGTCGCCTCCTTTCCCTTCACATTTTCACACTCCTTCCCTCTCGCACACACTCGCCGCCAGCCCCTTTTCCCACTTAAAATAAAAGAACAAAAGAGATCGCGGGAGAAGAGAGTGTGATCGCCTTCCCAAGAGAGGGAGGCTAGACAACAAAGTCCTCAGATCAGAAATCAAAAGACTTGGCCCCTGTGGCGTATGGATACTATAAAGGAATTGATTATAACTCATTCGTAGCCTAAGGTAACGCCATGGACGAGTGCCGATCGACTGGAGGTCGCGAGCTCCTCCTAAGCGGCGTTGTCTTCAGCCTCAGTAGATATTTTGAAGATCAAGAAGACATCGAAAGTTGGCTCCCCGAAAGGGCTGCCCGGGAATGGGAGCAATGTAATGCATTGCGACACCACACATTGTGAATATGGTAAAGACGGACGGACTGGGGGTAGTACTGGTGTGTTTTGTACAGCAAGTACATGGACAGTGAGTGAGGACAGGTGCCCAAATGGAAGGATTTCCTTTCTTTCATTCATCCATTCATTCATTCACCTTTCTCCATCTTTGGGTGTTTCCAATGATTTCATTATTGAATCTATGACAAACAACAGCAACAACAACAATGCAACTTTTACAAGCCAAATGACATCAAAACCAAAAACATCAATAACAACAACAACAAAAACAACAAGAACAAGAACACAAAACAAAAAAGATAAGTAATTAAATTACCTTCTAAGTGTAAAAATGCAAAAGTAAAGTGGACAAAAAGTTAACATTTTTTTAATAAACAATTAGATTTTAATGAACTTAACTTTAACTTAAAACCAATTAACAACTAAAACCAAAATGAGAAATACATAAAAGTTAGTGTAAAATAAATGTAAAAAAAAAAACAAAAACAAACAAATACTAAACAAATTTTTTGAAATAAAATTCCAATTAAAATCATAATTAATTATTAAAAACAAACTAACGAAAAGAAGATATAAGAAACGAGAGAAAATAAAAAAAAAAAACAATTGAGAAAACACAAATAACAAAAGTAATGAAAAACATACACTCAACCACACACACACACACATTCACACACAAACTAGTGGATCTCTCAGTTCGATCGATAAACATTCCTCGGGTTGTTCTTAACGATGACTGGCCAACCAGACGTCTGCTATGCAACGGATCCATACCCAACTGAGCTTAACGTAAAACACAGACAAACAAACAACAAATTGCTTTCTTGTTACTCCGGCCGGTCTAAACGATGAAAGAAATGCGGCCTCTTGCATCTACGGATGGCAACCAAACAGCCAAGGGCTGATCCCGAAACCTGTTTTGCTCAGGAATAGAAGGCAGCAACCAAGCATACATAATGCACACATACCCGTTGAAAAGTATCAGCTCAGCTAGGCTATTCGAACAAATCGAAGCATTTCCAGAGCAGCCCTGCATGCGGGGCACACTCGAATGAGTACCCCTGTTCTGTGCATTTTTACAACTTGTTGAATTTTTTTTGTCATTAAACTGAATTTCTCAGATTTCCTTTGTGTTCCAGAATTCCAATTTGCTGTGAGATGTAGAGGTGCGAGAGCTGATCTACATATCTCAACATTTTCCTTTTTCAAGCAGAAAAATCTGTGGCAAATAAGAGTCTAGTTCTAAATAAATTCTTGATATAGAAAGATTGGTATGCCTCAAAAAAAAATCGCACAAACACATACAAAAATAGCAATAAATGAAATTTGGACTTCCGAAACACATATTCTTAACACTAGTTATGAACATTATCCAGCATCCGAGCTAGTTTGAGAATATAAAATAAAATTATTCTCCCAGAGGCGTTTAGAGACACATTGATAGTTTCTTTTTTGTTTGTCATATTTCTGCTCGACGATCATTCGGCTCCATATTGGAAGTTTCCATTCTTTTTCAAATATCCCACAATATAAGGTGGTGAACAATTCATCACTGTTTAGCCAATAACGGTACTACGATGTCACTGGAAAATCGGTGGCATAGAGACATGGAATTCGCAAAAAATCTTATGCGTCCAATAGCTGAGAGTGTCTGTTGGAATAAAATACAAGGTGCAAAGTTTTCTTAATTTGCTTTTGACACAATTGCGGAATATTGTGATTGGTATGGAACATTTTTCCCCATTTTTTAGTTTGCAAATCTCTGATGTCGGAATCAAAAATAATTTTGTTCATTTGATAACTGCAAACCCCTACACATTCAAGATGTTTATGTGAAAGTCTAGAATAGGCAGGAGCAATCCTTAGATGTCGCCAATGACGCAAAAAGTTAAAATGTTGTGTGGAGCACTGAGGCACTGAGATATGTCTCCAAAGAGTGCAGTGAAGTGCATCTGAAATCCGACCAGTTGGTAAGCGCATATTGCCATTTGATAGCGTAGGGGCCTCTAAAAGACCGATTGTGCTGCACACCAATCGAGCAAACAAGAAGCACATGCATTATTCTGTAAATATCTCATTGCAACCACAAGGAGTAACGAACGAAAAATAAAATAATTATAGATAAAACGTAAAACGACAACATTTTGTTGAGCTTTTTCACAAATCCGTTTTCTATTGACTTTTTTCCTTTTGGGTTCTTAACTTTAGACAATCAACGGAAATAATAATGCAAATAAATGCGAAACAAAAACAAGTCATTGTAAAAAACAAAACAAAACAAAAACAAAACTGCTATCACACTGCTTTCCCCAATCGCCCAATACCCACATCTCACATCTCAGCCCACTCCCCGCCTCATGGCATCGTTACATGGCATTTTATCTCATGGCTCCGTTTGGCACGTATTTTCGCTCTGTCGCTTGACGAAGAACATGCCAAAAAGGAGTCAAACACACATACACACGGCAAAATGCAAACAACAAACATTTCCACAGAACCAAACAAAAAAATCATTATAAAGTCATTTCGCAACATCAACAACAACAAAGAAAACAAAAACGTATAACAAAAGAACTTTACAATAATATGCTCTCATTGGTTGTGTTTTTAGATAAATAAAAAAAGACAAAGAAGAAATGTTTAAAGAAGATTAGACACTATTTTTTTAAACTAATTTCGCCTCCAAACGTGTTATGCTGATTATAAGTTAAGATTCCCCCTTCTTCTGCCCCCTCCCCCTCTTTCTCTCATATGAAATTAGAAAACAAAATATATATATAAAATAAAACAAGTAAGAAAACATAAAGGATAACAGTGACAAACTCAAAGTTGCACTAAAAAGTAAAAAAAAAACTCAAAAAGGAAACACAACAAAAAAAACGAAAAGAAAAACCCAAAAAAAATGAGGCTAAAAATAAAAAAACAAAAACTAAAACTTTTGTAAAATGAATTTCCTAAATGGCGTTTGTTGAGTCATATTTCATTATATTTTTATTAGTGTTTTTTGTAAATTTTTTATTCGTTGATTCTTTGTTATTTCGCTAAAGATAAATATAATAAAATAATAAAAACAAAACAATACAAAAACGAATAAAATAAATGCCACAAATTGTGTTTATTTGTAAAATAATTAGTAATTAAAGCTACCCATCTCTCCCACACACTTACTCTCTCTCTCTCTCTCTCTCACCCACACACACACACTCACATACATACAAAACGATTTAAAACCAACATAAACTAAATAATAACAAAGGATTGAAAGAACAAAAAAGAAAAACAATTATTTGTACATTTAGGATTATTATAATGGTAATAATAACAATAACACTAAATTGAAACAGCAACTATATTTAAATGTTAATTAAATATCAAAAGCAAACAAAAAAAGAAAACAAAAACAAAAGAACAAACTGCCACAAAAAAGACAAGAACAAAAGTAGTTGACAAATGTCAAACCAGATGAATTCTCTGTCCCTCTCGCGCTCTCTCTCATACATGCAACACTCATACGCATCCACATTCCTTACATCCATCCACACCTACACAAACCAACGCACACATACGACACAAACGTACACTTGTAATTGAATTAATTATTAACAAATTATAAACGGGGTTCGAAGTTAACATTGTGGGTAAGATTGTATTTAATAGTAATTGTATGTATAAGCCATAATTTCTCACAAAATAAAACACCGTTACATACCGACATACCAACACACACACACACATACATACATACCCCCACAGGCATTTGTAAATACGTACCATTCCATTCCATTCTATTCCACAACAAAAGGCAAACAACAAAATCAATTGATGATTATATCTCAGCAAGGTTTAGCGTTATCAATTCTAAATGTTTTAACAAATACCAACAACAACAACAAATCACTCATCCACTCGCTCACCACGCACGCCAGATACAAAAAAAATCAACAAGAACAACAATTGTACTCGACGTAGTTAGTTATGCAAACAAAGTCCTTGCTCGTCAACTCAACCAAAAAGCAGGTATCAAGAGCATGAAAGCTCGTTAATTTTTTGTCTTCGAGCGAAATTTGCGTTGCAGCAACTGTGCCAACAATTCGCACACAGCTTGTAGTTGTTTTAATTGTCCAACCGTTTTTTTTTAACATTGATGCTACTGATAAGTCCAACAACAAATCCGCACATCCAACTTCTATCTCATCATGCCTGCCAACACATCCATACATATATGTTGCGTGGCACAGTTGAGTCTGTCTACTTGGCAACCAACACTTCTATCAGGGATGGGAAATAAAATTAAAAAAGGTACTCGGACATGCTTTCTCACGGGAGCAGTTATTATGAAAAAATGGGACATATTTTATGTTCACCCCATTGAGGGAGAGAGAATGAAAAAGCCAATATCTCTTAAATATTTCAATTAAAGATGGCCATACGAAAGTGATCTCGAAAGAAAAACACGATTTTTTTCAAAATAAGCAAAAAATTAAAAAAAAAATACTAAAACGCAAGGAATCAGGGTGGTTTTCTTTCGAGTTCGTACTGTTTTCTGCATGAATAGCGTGACATGTGTCAGAGCATAGCAGAATCGTAAGCAGAGAATATTTAAGATCGCATTTTAAATAATTTAGTTTCAACTTCGTTTTTAGCATGACACAATTTGAATGGTACAATTTATTCCAAATGATAATTTCCAGCTCCGATTTTTTCTGTAAATTACCTTCATTGAAGACAGTTTTCCATCTGTGATTTGAGTTCCAGCTTTTACTTCGGAATGTTGCCTACAAAATTTTTTAAATGCTGTGTTACAGGACCTACAAGAATCTGCTAGTTTCCAATTTCTTTCTATGTCATAAAAATTATCATTTTTACTATATTTCATTAATTTTCGCTTTAGGATAATTAATTCCACAAAAAAAACGCTAGCGTCTGTGACTCTTTCTCTCTGCTGTAATAAAAACATCAGTAAACTGGTAATTATTTCTTTAAACTAAGTTTAAGCTATTTTTGACTGCATTTTTGTTTCACTGTCATCAAAAACTTACGAATATCACTTAAGAAGGGGTTTCTCCCTCTTGAGAATTTGTCTTTTCATATTTATTTGGTCCATCTGTGATAGGACACAGCACATATTTTTGCCAGATCATCGATAATCATGAAAAACAGTTAAGAAAATCAATTCAATTGAATATCCTTTATCTTCTCCTGAGCCATGGTAAAATTATCAAGGTAGCCTCGTGTAGTGCTAACTTTACGGTTCCTCAAAACTATTCTTTGACAACAGAGATTGGAACCTGTTTTCTATGGACTTAAATTTGACAAGGAAAATTACGGGAATAAATTGAAGTGCGGCTATCTGAAACTAGTAGTAACATCTCTTGAGCTGATGTTTTCGCAGTTTTCGTATTGGCAATATCCATCCCTGATGTATAGGAAGTAAAATATCCTGCTCTTATTTTAGGTTTACAATAAACTCCGACTCAAATAACTATCCCCAAACAACCGCCCATTTAGTAAATAACGAAGCAATTTATTCGCTTGCATTGTTGTTGCTGCAATAACAACAACAAGAACAACAAACATGAATTTACTTCAGTAATAAAATATGCACCACTGAGACGAACAACGAATAAGAAAATAAATAAATAAATAATTAAAAAAAGTCTATATGTTTGTATGTATTTTTGTTTCTTTGTTCCCGGGGCCCTCCACGTTGTGTTTTGTGTGCTGAAGCTTTACGCTCCGCGTCTTTTTGCTTGATTCCACTCTTTTGCTCTGCACAAGCCATCACACGAGTAACAATGCTATTTAAATTTAATTACAAATAATAATAATGAAACAACAACAAACTAAAACGTAAAGTGCGACGTGACCCTGATTTATGAAAATAACAACAACAGCATCTAAAGAAAACAAAAAAAAATAAAATAAAACAAAAGAAAAATCAAAAGTCTTCCAAATGAAAGGTCGTCTTTGCCTAAGAAGAAGAGCACAGCAAATGGAAGTTGGAGGAAAGCAAAACCTACATCCTTCGGCGATTATTGATACGCACCAATACACATGCACGCACACACACACACCACTGCATACTATGTAATTTCTCTAATGTCTCGATACAGTTTTTATCTGTTTACACCATCAAAGGGATAAACAAACGCCAATAGCACCATTTTTCGGTTTCGCCTGGAGTCTGGTTGTTCCCGTTCGCCACCTGTCCAGCCTCCATTTGAGAACATTATTGATTAAAGTACCTGACAACAAAAGCAATAGAAAAATGCAATACCTTCTTCTGATCTCCGAACGTTATTCACGAGTTGCCGTGTTGTTAGTCCACCCCAATGTACTTGCCCTGAATACAAATGTTCTGGAAATGTAACATTTCGCGGGATTGGCATTGGATCGCTAAGTTGGTGCTTTGAAAGGGTCCCCATGGCTTCTTGCCTGGCCAAGTCATATTCTATATTGGATGTTCTTTGTTTTTGTTCGATTTATTTGACATTATTCTACCAGGCGATCCTCTGGTATCCTTCCAGTCATGCCAATTCAAAAGAGGCATATCATCTCTGTATTGCATCCAGCCAGATTAAGATTCCACTGGTACCGGCCGTTTGTAAGATTTGATGCGAATTTTGTGATATTTTTGTCATAGTTTATTGTTTTTTTTAAAGCAACCAGAAAAAAGCAGCCGCCCCATAATCATTAGCACAACCATTACATAACACACCCACCTCCACCCCTCTTAACAAACATGCAACAACATGTAGCACAGGATTGTATCGGTTTCAATTTAGACCATTAAAACACACACACACATACGCACTCATAACAATTCATGCGATATCATTGCTTTAAAAGGGAAAGCAAAAAAATAGCACGCACACAGTCTCATTAATGCTTCTTCACACATACCCACACAAACGCTCATTAACAGACGCCAAATGCATTAGGTTAAGCGTATATCTACGTACGTATCTTGTAATTAAAGATCAACACCAAACAACAAAACAAGCTAAATAAGGAAACATAACGAAACAACAACTACAACATTTATTAAAACAAAAACGGGTACTTTTAGAAGAAGAAACACAAAGCAAAAACAAAAGGAAACAATTGCAAAAAAAATAAAAAAAAATAAAAAACAGGAAAACAAACGAACAGATCAATGTTATTTCTTCCGCCAGGGTTGTGATTGAAGAAAACCATCCACATGATTCGCCACCAAGACGGTCTGTTGCCCTCTTCCCTTCATTTTCCCACATCACTTAGTTCCCGATGCGTTTGCATTTGGGCTTGGGTTTGTCAGAGCGAGCGAGTCTGTCGACATTGCCAAAATTACAAGGCTCAATTTGTCGGAAATTCCTAACGAAATAAATGACAGGATCACAACACGGGTCCTATGTTTCTATGCGACCGTCAATTCCTTCCGCATCCCACTTCTCCTCCATTCCATTGTGTATTGTAAACAAAAAATATGTCTTTACCCTGCTACGCACCGCCAATCCACCACAAAAACCAACCCTCCCCCCCCCTCCAGGGTCAAGATATGGCTTTGAAGTAAACTTTTTTCGTTAGTGTACATAAATTAACAACTACAACAACAACAACAAGGAAAAAATTCACTAGCAATTGAGATTAGGTTAAGAAGTAATCTTTAAAAAAAAAGCAAACAACAACAGCAACAAAAAAAGAAAACACTACTACATATGAATGTAAATTTGATTTAAGTAAAATTTAGATAAATAACACATTTGAATGTAAGTCTGCATATACACGAAGACATACATGTATACATATTTTTTTGTATGCATTCATTAAAATTTAAAAGAAAATTAAAAAAAAAGCAACTACCCCAACAGCAACAGCAAGTACTAATTCCAGATAATTAACAATACCAGCAGCCGCAAACAAAATTAGAACAGGAACCAAAAAAAAAAACACACTGACATACCTGCAACAACAAACCCCGAAAAGCGACAAACAAACAGAAGTTTAAATTCAAAACTCATTCCAATTTCAATGCGCGAAAACAAGAAAGGCCCCATTTGAAAATGTCATGAGGCATCAAACCAAAGAGTATGCAAATCTATTCACGAAAAACGACTCATTGTTTGAAAACAAAGGACTCCAAGGATGCGAATTCCGCTGACATGAATGGCAAATGGAGTATATAATTGGCCGGAGCGCCGAAGGTAACGTCTCGTATTGGTTCGGTCGGTGTTGCCACATTTGTGTTTTAATGGCAGTGTGATCTTTTTTCCCAACAAAAACAATGTGTTTTAATAACAAAAGCAGACAACAGCTGGTCTGTGACACGGCAAGGGCATTAGTTGTCTTTATTTGATGTCAAAACACAAGTTTTTGTTTACAACAACAGTGTGCACGAATTTGAAATGCAAAATAAATCAAACATTTTTAAGTTTTTTTTTTTATATATTTTAAATGGAATCTGCACAATACAACTTTTCACAGCAAGAGAAGGCTTTGGCATGAACTCGCCTCCTCTGAGACAGTATTAAATTGACCAGGGTGTGACCAATCCTGTAATTACCGAAATTTCATTTAGAAACCTCAGTCGTCCACTTTTAATGCAGAGATGTTTTACAGATTAAACGACTTGCCTTCTTGTCGTAATGTCTTTCCAACTGTTTTGGAATCAGATTGCCTTCCGATTGCCGATTTCTTTAGCATTTCTGAGAGACATTAGATACCAACAATTCTTGACATTGCACCCAACGTCTTATGTTGTAGAAAAACAATCGTGTTTGGTTAAACCACAAAAGCAAAGAGAATAAAAAAATGTTTACTGACATTTTTAGGATTGTGCAGGCAACAACTGAATGTAATAGCGGAACTAATTTTTACCAAATATTGGCTGCGATTCTCAATTTTGAGTCCAGAGTCGATTCCGAAACCAAACCATATTCTGCCCTTAGCCCCATATCAGATCGGATTAGGTCTATTGTATTCACTCAATTAACATGAGTTTTGTCCTTTCAGTCGTTCTTTCTACCATTTTTAATAGACCTTTAAGAATTTTTCTCGAATTTCACGTTATTTGACGAATATTTTCCAAAAGATGGCCCATTGATTGGTCTAGGAATGATTCGATTTAAAAGAATAGAACAGACAACCAGCTTCCGCTTGATTTTGTGCCATCTCACTCAGTTTCCATCTAGGAACATCTAAAAATGGAGGCACTCTTGAGAGATGTCTCTATTTATTACGCCGGGATGATATATATCCTCCACCCATATACCTCATACATATATGTATATACATGTAAGTACTCTTCCATTTTTCGTTCACTCACAAGCCAACTTTGTAATAAGTACTACCATATGGTAGTAGCAGATTTTTGGAAGCTCTGGAACAGAGAAAATGTCTCGCCGCTCGAATTGCTAATTTTTTTATTATCCTAACTTATCTTTATAAAAAAAATTGTTTTATTTTTTCGAAACTACGATTTCATACGAATCCGAAACGCCATTGTTTTAAAAAATGTTACATACTTTGGCCATCCCTGGCAAATCTCTTTGGTGCATTGATAGCGAGAGGATTCAATGGGCAATTTGTTGGTCTAGGTCCACTCTACATTAAACCCCCAAAAATCAACTATTTAAGATACAGACTTAAGAATGAATGTTTAATGTATTTTAACAGAACAGAAACGTAACAATACACACAACCAACAGAACAAACACGATTAACTATTAGAAAAAAATGAACAAAACAAAGCAAAACCAAACAAAACAAAAGAAAAACCAAATAAACAAAGTAATGCATTTACATTCACATATGAAGAGTTACACTTTAAAGGAAACAATCCAAGTTTTACAAAAGCGAAAATCTCCTTCTCTCGACCTAAACATGGCAAACAAGTCGACGCACACGCACACACACACACACACACTCACCAATCATCTTACATACACGGGTCAAGTCATTACAACACACCCACACATCCGTTCATTACAAAGGTTAGGAGCCATTAAAAACAAAAATCGAATAGAAAAAAGAAGGAAGAAACAAACAAAACCGAGAAACATGTGTATAAACATTTTATAGGCTAATTAAAAACAAATAAATAAATTAATTAATTAATTATGAGAATAACAAATAATTATATACCAAATGAAAAGACAAAACAAATTTATTATTTGAAAAATAATAAATTTCAACATTTTTGAACTTATTCAACACTAAAAGAAGACAAAACAAAACAAAACAAAATACAACAAAATAAATAAATAACAACTACAAAGAGAATGAGAGGAGGACACGGACAAAAAAAATGGCAAATCGATGATAGGCTAATTGTAAGAAATTATGGCATTATTAAGTATTACAAAAACAACTACAACAATTTCATCACAATTCGAATAACAACAAAAAACCAAAAAACCAAAAAACAAAAAGAAAGAAGGCAAATAAACTTCAAAATAGTAATAAAAACAAAAATACACACACACACCCACAAACAATTACGAAATTTAAACTAATGGCAAAGACAAAACAACAAATAAAAGATAACAAATAATAACAACAACAATAATAATAATAACAAAATAAAAAATGAAACAAAAACAAAAACAAACCAAACCGAAAAATGATATAACAAAACAAAACCAACAAATAATTATTATATAAATGTTACGCGTTATTATTAAAATAAAACAAAAACAACAAAGTAAAATGAAAATAATTTGTTTTAAAAAAAAAAATCCGTTGTCTGTCTTTTATTTCAATTGTCGCAATAGGTCTAACCGAGGTAGCAAAATTTCACATTCGATTAATAGATCGATCGACGGTCTTCACATGAAAATCGTCTTCTTTGGCAACGTCTCAACCGACATGGAATGGCGCCCCAGAATCAAATCCAGCAGGGAAAATCGACACATCGCATACTCCGTGCTGCAGTCAACGTGGGATCGCTTTGCTCTGCGATAAACTCGGGCATAGTGATGGTGTTCCGTCGATTCCTCTCGCGTCAAGTTGGCCGAAGGAAAACTAAAAACCAAAACAAAAAACTCAATATCACCTGTAAAAAACAAAACAAGCTGTAAATTCCGGACCGAACTTTTAATAAGACGTGGACCCGAAATTTCACAGATGGTGGTACCCATTAGGAACTTTAAATACGAAATTTGAATCAACTCCGGTGGATAACGTCGCTATAATAATCAATATACCGAATATAGGGAAGTACCGTTATATGAGGGCTATACGAAGGCGTAGAACTGTTTGAGAAATTTTCTGCCATAGGATGTAGTACCCATTAGTAACTTCAAATTGGAAATTTGAGACATTTCGGCGAAGAGAATGACACAAATTATCAAAATAGCAAATATTTTGGGGTACAGTTATATGGGGACTATATCAATCACAGACCTATATTAACAGTTCTATACAAGGGTGTTTCTTACATAATGGGAAAACATGCTGCCTTTTATGCTGAACAAGAATATATACACTTCGTGAGGTCTAAAATATATATTACGAGGTATTACAAAGGGAATGACAAAAGCCACACTTCCAATATTGCCATGCGGATTTCCAATCTCCAATTGTCACATGTTTTGTCTTTTGCAAAATGTGCAATGAGTTTAACAGCCAGTTTTTGGCATCAGAAACTAATTGGACTAGGCTTGAAATTGAGATTTCAAATATTCCAATTGTTGCTTTGCATCAATCGATTCAATCGTATCACACAATTTTTTGGAAAGTGGGAACTTATTGGGGTTGTCACGAGCAGCTCAATTCCTAAAGATAAGAAATCAAAACATTTGGACAAAAACAATGGTTATGGAAAAGTTGAAATTTCAAAGATTTTCGGAAGTAGACGAAAGCTTTCAAACTCTTAATAAAAACCAAATGATTTTATGATTTCGTAAAAAACAGGCTATTAACACCGATTAAATACACCACTATAAGTCGTTATTGAAATTCTTATTTGTTGTTTTTAGTGGCCGGAAAACAACAACTTTTTTCGTGCGACTTGGCGTCGGTGCGTTGATAGCCAAGGAACTGGGATGACGACCAACTGTTCTGCACTGTTATGCTTTTTAAATGTACTTTTCAACACTTACTCAAATATGGTTTTGATCAACTCCACCACCATATTCCCTCTGCGCTGGCGAAGGGCCTTCATAATTTGTCCACTCTCGCATAGAGCACGGGCTAAGCACTCCGTTCCGGGAAACCCCATGCTAGGTAAACCGAAGGAAAAAGTCAACAGTGTCAGAGAAAAGACTTCCCGCTTCCATACTTACTTGTCAATAATTATCTCCAGCTTCTTGTACAAATCCCGGCGTGATCTTCTTTGGACTAAGGCTTTTGGGTGGCTTGAGAATCCATTGGAATGCTGGCGTGCCCAAGCATAACTTGGCAAGTCATAGGCTACACCCCAGTTGACAGACGAGGTAAGCAAATCAGCGGGCCTTGCCACAACGCTTATGGTCATACAAATCGCCGCCTATCAACGGAACTAGCTAAGGGCTGATCTACAAATAATGGCTGAGGCCAACAACAGCTTACCGAAACGGACGAACCTTCAGGAAACGCTACATATCTTCGCTGTCGACTAAGCAGGCTTTGTGTCGCATTGCCTGTACTAAACGCCTCGCACCAGGTAATGACCGTGCTAAGTAGAGCCACAAGTTCTAGCAGTTGCATTTCGTTCGGAGCTCACTCTTACTTTGCTGTTGAGCGTATACTTGACGAGTGATTTGCGTAAATTACCAAAAACCCCCACACACACTCTCTCTCTCCCTATCTCCCTCTCACTGTAGCCCTTAATGGCATCAGAATGTTTTTCTATTTAACTGAGAAATTATCACTTAAATGGGTTTTCAGAATTAATTGAAATTCTTTAGTAATGGAAAAACAAACTTTTTACATTTTCAAGCCAAGACCAACAAGCAACCACAGAACAAACCGATACAGGGTGTACCGAAAGACAATGGTGTGAAAGTTTCTGCCATAAATGACCGATGCAAAACACTTATGACAGAGAAGGAGAGACAGGGGAGAGAGATAAACACTTCTATAATTTTGTCCAAGATTTCAATAAATAATTCTCTTTAATGAAGCTTTTAATTAACAACTAGCTATGAGCGCTATGGTTTGTTGTTTGCTCAAAAATGTCCAAAAATTCATTCACAATAACACACATGTATATCTACACACACACACACACCATGGTATATAGGCATGCATGCATAATTGAATGAGTGAACAACTTTGCCAACCATCAGCATGGGCAAGCAGCCAGCTAAGCAAAAGGTGTTGCTGGAAAGTCAACCAAACACGAGTTGGGAATGCATGCCATCGAGTGTGAGGGAGAACACATGGCCAGTGATTGCTGCATAGAATATTCGAGGGTTGGGAGAGGTAGGGAACTATGACGACGTTGTCAGTTTCCGTCAGACAAAATGAGCTTTCTTCACTGTCGATTATCATGATAGTAATGGAGCTCCATTTTGTCAAACATTTGTTTTGAACAGACACTCGGTAAATGAAACAATTTCTACAAAAACACCTGCTTTTTGTTCGTCATGTTAGCTACAATGTCAATTCATTTGCGAGAAATAAGGCTTCTTGTCGTCTGGTTGTATATCGTGTCCGACTTAAAAATGGCACCACACCAGACACTAATCGCCATTAATCCACCTAAAAGTAAAAATGTCAATGAATGCATTTTTAAACGTTTCGAACGTCAGACATTTGGTATAGACGTCTCATAGAGAGCCTTCATCCAGTTGACCTCCCTACCATCCAATTAACAGGGAAACGCTCCGTCGGTACGGACTTCGGTGGCCATGCAAAGGATATGGAGATACAATTTTTAAAAAATTATTTTGGCCAAGTCGAACTTGTAAGAAATATACTAAAAGGTTTTTTTGGTCCTTCCCGCCTCGCAAAATATACAACCATCTCCATGTGGACATAAGTCAAAATGGTGTGGAATATAAGTTGTGACAAGGATACGAACTATAACATGGTCGACATATCAAAACTAAGGATGTAAAGTCGTATGCAAATAAAATGCCATGTCATTCGGAGCTACAATCTGTGGCATAACATAAGAAGCATGGCATAAATGCATACAAATTTTCTGAAACTCTAATGAAAACGGTTTCTAAAGTTCTGAATGCTATGCCAGAGTTTTCAATGTAGAAGGTTGGTCGTTGTAGGTGTGTAGCGTAAGGATACGAAAAGTGCAAAACGTACTGTAGTATGAGATTCAAGCGGACAACATTTATTGAAATCTAGCAGCAACAGGTAATACAAAACGGAAGGAGCAAATAAATAAAAACACTGAAAAAACTTGAGCTTCAAGTCAAATTACTGTCGGAACGGCTCATAGTTCACGTTTTCACTAGACCTTTGGTTAAGCAAACAACATAAAGAGAGTCTTAGAATTTATTTACTTAACGAACACAAACACTCCCAAGAACGTGTAAGGCGTACGCGTTTCGCTTTCCCATAGCTACACCATAAATCCGGCTATTTTTGAGCCATGTGCCAATTTAGTAACAACCTGCAACAAACTTAGGCGACAGTGGGGTCCGTAAAGGGCTGCACATTCGTTTATGGTCTGGTGCTGCCGGAGAACTTGTCCGAACGTGTGATGGTGACGGGCCCAGGGAGTTGTGTGTCTAAATTTGCATTCCAATCCAAAAGAGGAGAACTTTCATATTTTATAACCATCGGCAATTTACAAACATACATCCATCGATACATACCTCATGAACACATGGATGATGTCGTGCATCAACGAACAGCCGTATGGTAGTAGGAAGTGTCTTGCTTCGCATAGGGTCCGCATAAAGCAATATCGCGGTAAAAATCCGTGGCTATCAAAGATGTAGAACATTATTAAAGAACCGCTTGTCAATATTGACGCGAAGTTACCCACATCTGGGACCATTTCTCGATAATGTCGTAGAACATTCTCTGTGACGTTGTTAGCTGAGGTACTGCAACGACACGTTTAGTTCTTCTCAAACACATTTGCCATGTCTGATCCCTGAACTCAAGCCACTGCCGTCTCGGACATTTCTCATATTTTCTATTCGAATTGTTGTGTCCATTTCGCATAGGACTCCAAGATTCTGCTGCATCCCAAGGAATGATAGGCCTGGTCGTAGTGACACTTGTTCTAACCGCTGCATATTCGTGCTTAAATAAATCTAAGCCCGTCGGCAGATCATACACCAACGTGTATTCGAAAATTTCATTGAGTCCTCTGGGCGTGCCGGATATAATGGATTTGGCGGTGTTACCCTGTAACTACATGCAATCGTATTTCAATATCTGAAGACGTGTCCTTATATGCTGAAGTCAATAGTATTTCCTTACTTACGGTAAAAGAGGACCCCTTCTCAAACGCCAAGAAACGTTTTTGTCTCTTGGCCATAACAGCCTCCGAGTGACTGGATGTTGAATTTCCAAGGAAGTTGTCTCCTCCAATGGAGCCACAGAGAAGGAGTATGAGAAAAATGTGACTGCCAATAGATATGCCCATGATAGCATGTGTTACCCTACAACGTTCTTACCATCAACTGAAAGTCAACCGCCACATGTTGTTCCTTTGGGGCATGTTGTTGTATTCAATGCCAAATATTTGTTTAGCTGGATGCTGCATTCGTGGTAGTGTGTGTTTTTTATTGTTCCATGTCGTAATGCAGCAAACCAAACTGTCCGAGTTTGGTCCGACTTCGAACCAAAAGTAGGATGAAACTTCCGATTTCGGATGCCGACTTTTGACCGAAAGATATATGAAGTGGTTGACGTGTGGTCAGACCGAAGGGTCAGATGAAAGTCTGAAGATTTAGCCGACATTCCAACCGTACTCGAACCTAATTCGCAAGTGTATCCGTGGGCAATTCGGAAGACAAATTAGAGATGTCGGACAGAACTCGGAAGTAAAATCGTGCGCATTTCTAATTTTTTCTGCCAACTTTCTAACAATTTTCGGCCGAATTCGAAAGAATGGTCCTATGAAGTTCTTATGTACATACTAACAAGTGTCATAATGTAATGACAAAATAAATTAGCAATAACAGTCGAATGTTCTTCAGTAGTAAGTGTCGAATATGTATAATAATATAAAAATCTGGTACCAATAAAATGTAAAAATTCACTTGCTTCATAAAAAACACTAATTGACGAACGCATTATTTTCCCGACTCCCCCTACAACAATTACGCATCTATTTCAATGTCACAAAAAGCTCTCAAAGTGAGAGAGAGAGAGAGAGAAACGCAACCCTTTATTTTGTTTTTGATTGTTTACAACAAATATTACAACACAAGCAGAAGAGAAAATACTCTGTAACAAGAAAAAAATCCCTCAGACAAGTAGCTCAGAATTTGGAGTGGAGAGGAAATGTGTCGGAGGACGTGCGAGATTTGGTTCGCTGGGAAGCTACCAACATATTTATGTATTTAAATATATATTTGCATGTGTGTGTAGATATGTGTGCATTCAGCATAACTGTCAACAAGAATTGTACAATGCATCATACCATGTCATACGTAGATTTTATTGTATGCAAAACATAGTGATCTATCGTCCAAATAGCATGCGACGATCACGCAGACACGTTGAAAAAACAGAAGTTCTTCAAGTCACTCATAGAATACTATTCTATGTATCTCGGTCAGATAATATGGATACAAAGATTTGAACTGCTACAACTACTGGTTCACAAGGGCGTTCATCGTTCCTCGTTCTGGGAGAAACTTGCCACTTGTCGACGTGAACCGTAGATGAAACCATGAAAGAAGTTGTTTTCTTTACGCAATCAATTAGGAACGAGCCGTTACCAAGTGATGCCAGTTTCTCTTGGTTTTCATTAAACATCCGCGATTTAACGTTTAAGCATTTTTTTATTTATTTATTTCAATAATCTAATTTGTTATCTATATTACGACAGTATCGATGACTGAAAAGGACGACAAAAAGTAATAAAACCCAAGGAAAAATGTGATATTTATACTCCCTCAAATTATCTACAGTAATATTTGTGGGTAAGGGACGAAGGAAAAAAACCCAACTCACCTCACGTGAAAAACATAAATCGAATGCCATAATAGAATTGATTATGGGTGCATATCGGCTTAACAAATTTGCTTCAATTGCACGAGGGGCGAAGAAAGTTTTCTTCTTTTTGGAGAACCTTACAATGCGAGGGAATAAAACGTTCAGCAATTAGCAGTCGTGATGACCCACTTTGTCGACCAACCACCACAACAAGTTAACAGCAAATGCTTCCATCAGCCATGAACCGGGCAGTCAGTCAAAGATTTCTCGAAACGCAAAATAATGACGACCAAACGGGGGACGGGCAGAGTGGCGCCCAAACACTATGACAAAAGTACTCAACACACTCTGATCAACAGATGCTAGCACTCGTTGCGGCGATGGAAATGTAAAATAATCATTGAAGACGATGTTGTTTTCTCAAGCGACTTCTACTGGCGAAGAGCAGAGCAGCAAATTAACACAATTAAAAAAACCGGCTCAAAGAATAGAGTAATTATACCAAAAATCAAAGTCATAACATTCACGCCCTTTCCGTTTAGCCCCATGGTCTAGGCTACTTCATTTCTTATTTCAGCCCGGAAAGAGAAACATTCTAAAGTGCGTGCCAGCCGAACGCGATCAAAGGAAAACCAGAAAATCAAATAGATTCGTCGCATCAGCCTTTCGTTGAGCGTGTGCTCTGGTCTGTTGGTGAGTGTGTGATTTGATTAGAATTTAGGCAGGGGTAAGTGGAGTGCATTGCATCGAACTTCGACAGAAGGAAATCAAACAAATGAAGTCCATGAAACTGGGCAAATTGGTGGAGTTGAGTGGTCCATTCATGCTCTTGCTACTATGGCCTGTGAAACTGGTTTACAGCACTTCGAACATTTTAAATTTGGATGCCAAACACAAGGACATCGCTGTGGCAGAGAGTGCCGATGACGCCGACTTTACCAGTGACAACAATAACAACAGAAGTTACAGCGACAAAAACGGCAACATAGGCCGCTCTGGACCAACAGCTGTGACTGATATTCATTCGAGAGCCAAACGCTTTATTTCCTTTCCAGTGGGCTCATCTTTTTCGGTAAGTCTTCCCATTTTCTCAGGTGGCTGAAGATGACTGCATTGTTTGTATAAAAACCGAATGGTCTCTCGTTGTTCATTAACAGACGGCTGTTTGTCTGACCACCGGCGTCATTGGTAATCCCCATGTCGACTATCTCAGTATGGGCTTGAATTGGGGCATTGCCTATGATTTGCCCAACACCACGTGGGTGTTGGAACATGCCAAAGGATTCGGAAACAAGGACGACAGTGGTGCTCAGATAAAACGACGTCATCGTCGAGATCTGTACGGCAAGTTGGAAACGCTTATCAGTGGGTAAGTTATTTGTAATTTTGTGAGAACTGGAAATTTTGTGAACCGGACAAGGCACAAGCTAAAGGCGGTTTCCAGATACAAATCATTGCCGAAGTTCCAAAATAAGGTTGAAATACAACTGTGAATTTGTTCCTAGCTCTATCCCAGCAAAATATGTGGTCCTAAAGGTAGTCATTAGAATTGATCACTCCAGTGATCAATTTGATGGCAGCAAAGCCTCCGTTGTTCGACGTTTCCAACGCATGGCATTGCACATATGTATGTACACATAGTTCACGCCAAAAGTGCACAGTTTGTTAAATTCGTGGAAACACAAAAAGAAAGTCACAATATGTAAATGCAGTTGCTCTGTACCGATACGCCTTAGAATCGTCCGCTAGTCAAGAATGTGTACACATGCTCATACCTTAGATTGGAAGACTTTTGAACTATTTCGCATAATGATGATGATGATTGATCAAATTTTCTCCAGGGTCAATTTCCCCGGTCCGCTGGCGTATTTAATTATTCCTCTTGGGTTATCGCAGAAATCCCAAACGGAAAGGATTTTTCGATTTAGGAAAGTTCTGTCATAATATAACAAGAAGTTCGAATCTCCTCGCCAGGGCACCCTGTCTCTTTAGTGTTCGGCATATTTTGATACAAAATGTCTTCTTAATTATATTTTCGATGAGCACTGTCATCGCCAATAAGATGCTACGTGGTATGTTTGCGGATACCCGCCACCATTTATGATCTTCTGGTAAAAATAAAATCGTGGATCCAGTAACAGACTTTATTCCTCAGACCGTTTCTCCACAATCGATGTCAATAAAATTCCTTCATATCGCAGAATTTCATCTCAAAAGCAGTCAGAGATATCAAATTGCCGAAGCTTATTTAAAAATATGTTCACAGACTGTCTACCCAAAATTAATTTAGCCACACATGTTCCTCGTCGTTGCATACAACACGCTGCAGTTGTCCGCACACAAAAAGTATTTGCTATGATTGGCTACCACATTGAATGTGCACGCGGAGGATGTAGTGACGGAAAACCGAGGAGAGGGTGAATAACAAATTGGCCTTTGCCAATCGGTTTGCATTGAAGTGGTTTTGCCGCTCCACGTTGCCACATGGCCTTATTGACGCACAAATCTAATCAATTGTGGTCCGATTTGTTCTGAGCCCCAATAGCTGTTGGTCGATTGCTCGGACTATCCGTTTCATGTTTCATCATTACATCAAACAATGTGTAATAATTAAATTGGCCTCCAGAAATAAATATGGCAACGCTGTACTGATGTTGTGGCTTTATTCGCTCGATTTTATTAGAACAACTACAAATTGATATCGGTTGTAACGGCATTCGCCACATGGTCTATCCGAGTCTATCAACGTGGTTTTCCAATTAAAATTTCATGGCAAACAAAGTGTGGCCGTTCGCTAGGTGTTGGCTGATTGTCCATAACACCTTACACTCCGCCCTTTATGTGGTGGACTGGAGGTAGGGCAAAATAGCATTTCGTGGTGGTGATTGACGATCCGGCTGAAGAAGTAAGCGAACTTAAACGAAATCTTTTTTCATCGGCCAATTGACTACCCAGGATAACAGTCAAATACCTCCTAGGGGCTAGGAGTTAACCTTCAAGGCAATGAGCGGTAGTGCTTGATGCCTGCCATCCGACTAGCGGTGCGTTCAATTTATTAGCAATTTGTTGGCTATTGGACGACATAAATGTTTGTTTTTGATTTTTATTAAATTCTCTCTATCTGTCTCCCCCATACACAGCCCCTTCTACGCATCCGTTTGGCAGTTGTGTTGCTTTGGCGTTGCTTTATTTCCATTTTAATTTCATATTCCAACTGCGATGCTGTGTTCATTTCCATTTTTGTGGTGCCTGGTGGCCCTGGGCTGTTTGCGTTTTTAGGCCAGGATAAATTTAGTTTTCGTCTTCATTTTTCTTCATCAGACTTTTTGAATAGCCAACAATTGTAGCGAGAAGAGGACCTCTTTCCAATGCTCTACACGAAAAAAAGAAGAAATAGTAGCAACCAGGATGGATGGAGCAGCCTTAGGTTAGGAGGACATAAAACATGGCTAGTATTGTTTTGCGCTTCTCCGAATGTCACAATTTGTCTTAGGCCTTTGTTAAATTCGTTTGGCAAATACACCAGTCACACACACATACATACTCTGCACCATGGGGCGTATGTCATTTTTTTGAGGCCAAAAAAAAAATCTTATTTTTAAGTTAGTCGTTTGGAAAAAAAAATAAATGGAATTATGAAATTTCAAAACATCGAAAACAAAAAAATTTCAATCCCAATAACTCAGAGCCTAATACCGAGTTGCCAAAGATGTCATATTTTCTTCTACCTCATCCTGTGATTTTTTGGCCCCATAGTGCCCTGTCTGCTGCTTGTCGAAATATCTGTGAGGGTATATTCGTGTGTATGTATGTGTGTGTGTTTACATGGATATGAACATAAATGACCACAACAGCAACGGAATCGCCTATTAATAAGATTGTTATTAGCTTTTGAACTCAATCAGAGCATCTTCACTTCTTCCTTCCTCCTCGCCGCGTCCTCCTTCCATTTGGCAGTTCTCATTTTTTATCCAATACAACAATATAGTCGTCATCGGCATGAACCAATTGAAATGCCTTAAGGCCGCTTAGTGGTAAATTATGTTTTTCCATTCCTTCTCTAGCATTTTGATTAAACTGTAAATGTTGAACAATGCCCAATGAGAATCATGGAACTATGGTTAAGAGAGTGGAGATGTCGCAAAAGGCCAAGGACATGGTAAGGAGGATTTGTAGATGGAAGTAGAATGATGTTGCCCCGCTTCCTATGTTCTCGTGAATAGATGGCTTTGGACAAAAATTAATAAAGACGGTGGCCTCACCTCTAATGGATAGTCCCTGTTGTGGATACCAGTTTCTCCTTTTCGATACGAAAGTGAATGCAAAAAACAAACAGTGTTTGAAATGTATCTGGTTGTACGTCTCATCGGTCCGTCGTTCTATATATAATCTCCATAAAGTATAGCTTTTCTAATAACCCAACTACATGCACACAATCACACATATATCTGTGAACATGACGCCATCAACAGTTCTTACACGTCAGCTGTTCAGATATGTGGTTCGAGCGCTACCTCCAACCGAACGAAGTTGAGACAAATGGAATTCTACTGACTCCATTCTAGTTGTCGTCTCACCTGACCAGGCTTAGAGCAGACGCATACGTAAGAACACGCACTTCACACTTAGATGTCTCATTGATGTGCAAGATTAGTTCTTTCAACGCTCCAGACAATAATATACTGACCCGTCCTCTGGTTTTTCATCCCTCATCTTCTTTTTCCCGATTTCAGTTTGGAACGACGGCAAGCATACACGTTCATACACGCGCATACACGTTCGCTGTTGCAAGAAAAAATTAATATTAGAGCTACTCGCACATACACACAGCATCAAGCATCCGAATCGCATCATCCATTTCATCGCTAATGGGGTTTGAGCACAACTTCAGCAGCAGGTGGGTCACAGTCGCAAACTCCCTAGGTGTTATAACGCAATGACTGGTCACTGTTGCACTGCACGAAGCTTGTGCTCTGTTCGCTGCAGCCAGTCGACAGTAATGTGCAACCATATGTGTGGCACGTTCGCCAATTAGATTTTGCTGGGAAACCACAATTTCATTCCCATTTAGGAGCTGACGGTGACCACAACGATGACTGCAACCAGGTCGGAGCATAAGTTAATCTATTGGATGAAAACAACGTTGGCATTAATGGCATGCAGCGACTTGTTGATATCCTCAGTTTGGTTTCATTTCGGAGCGATCATTCCGTGCTGTACCGTTGCCAGCTATGTGGCAGGCGAAACCCTGTTTAGCAATGGAAAGCCAAACTTTTTTCAAACATCGTCGAAGGGCCGAAATGGTCGGGCACTTGATATATTGTCGGGAACCAAGTTGGCCTCGGGGGTCGGCAGTCAAGACAGTGAAACTGCAGCAATGACGTCGAATGCATCATCTGTCCTGTCGTTACTTCCCCTGCCACCGCCACAGCCATTATCGTCGTCGTCCAGATCATCGTCAGTGCAAACACGCTTACTTTCTCGCTCGAAACGTTATCTATCATTTCCAGAGGGATCGTCCTTTTCTGTATGTCGCCCATTTGTTATGTGTTAGTGTGTGTGTGTGTGTGTGTACATGTGTGTTTCTGTTTGACGTTGAAAGAGATGTCGCAATTGTGTGTTCATGCTTGCGACATAATTTTTTGGGGGTTTTAACATACCCCTCCCTTCACCCTTTTACGAACATGCTCCTTCTCTTGTTCATGCCTCTAGTTCCCTTTTCCCTGCATCTCTGCTTTGTTGAGATCAGGTTGAAAGTGGGGCTGAGATCTGGGCATTCATCTGCTTGTTCTGCAGGTGGCTGTTTGTTTCACAGTTGGGATTATCGGCAATCCGAGGTACAACTACATGAGTTTCGGTCTCAACTGGGGCGTAGCCTATGATTTGCCGAACTCATCTTGGATTCTCAATCACCTGCATGGCTTCGGCAAACGACCAATACCCGTGGCTATGTGGCATCGTAGATCTCGCCGGGCTTTGTATGGCGAAATTGAAAGATTCGTTGAAAAGTGAGATTAGTTATACACTCCTCTTCGGGAGAAGCCCTGCCAAGCTACAACCCACTGACAAGTTTTCATTTGTTTCATTTGCAGCATGGGCTACAATGGACGCGATTGCATTCTGAGGGCTTTGTGTGAGAGTCGCCTGTACTTCCAGAACACGAAAATGGGCATGATTGGAGAAATGTTGCGAAGCATATTTAGGTGAGTAGAAACAACGTCGATATTAAAAGTCACGTCATGTCACCGTCTACTTTCACTGCAGCCTGCCTCGACAGCGAGTCTACCGACGAGAAGTTGCTGAAAGTCCAGATGCGACCATATACGATAGGGCATATCGTCGTCCTCGTTCCACAGGTTCCGAGGACGACTGTTCTACCCAATACGACTGTGGATTTTCGCTATTGGAGTTGGCGTTTGGCAAATACTCCCGACCACCACCCGGTTACTATGAACAGCATTGAAGTGTAGATCCACTAACCACTGCTTGAACCACTTACTATAGGATAGCAGCAAAACCGAGCTGATCTGACTCTGTCTAATTCGATACGAGGACGTTTTGTGTTTTTCCATTTATTTAATTCGATACGTTTTCGGGATACAATTGCACTTTTTAATAAACAATTTCACTTCAGTGAATTGTGGAGATTATTTCGTTTGGAATAGTAAAAAAACGTTGTTATGCTTTACAAAACGGCAGGGACGATGGTGCTAAAACTGGTTCCGCAATAAAGAAACATTTAAAACGCATTTTGTAATAAAAGTTTGTGTATTTTCATTCCAATTTGAAAGGCATGTTGCTTGCTCCACGAATCCCTAGCGATTCCTCGAACTGACAACCATTTACTCAGAGGAATTATATCCTAGTACTTGAGGTGAGTCATCTGCTGGCTTCTTGGTAAAAGAACAAAGGGGGCGTAGGGTAAACAAGTACAAATTACTGGCCGAAATTGAGCTAAGTCTTGAAGGTGGGAATACTTAAAACACTTTTCTGACTAGTTTAAGTCATCGGCTGGCTTCTTCGTGGAGGAACAAAAGAGTTTTTGGCTGACTTAGTTCGATTTTGGCCCTATGCTCCTTTGTTCTTTTCCGAAGAAGCCAACCCATGATATAAACCAGCTGAATACGCGTTTTTCTCACCTTAAGTTTACATCAGAGCTTTTTGTAGAATGAACCTTCTTCGTGAGGATTAATTTGACGTCAATGCATTGGGCAATCCTGACACTAGATTTGCATCAAAATTATCATATGCATTACTTATACCTCAAATAAATCCTTATACCTGTTCTACTCTGGCCAGAGTCAAAACTAATTAAGATAGGAAGCTAAAATTTTGCACAGATCAGTATTTTGTCCACGGTATCAAATAGCCGCGATATATATATATATATATATATATATATATATATATATATATATATATATATATATATATATATATTTTTTTTTTTTATCAGCGTAAATATCTTAGACGATTTAGCCCTGTACGTCTGTTCTACTCAGGCCAGAGTCAAAACGAATTAACATAGGAAGCTAAAATTTTACACAGATCTGTCTGCTAGCAGGTCGAGTTCGAAGATGGGCCACGGTATCAAATAGCACCTATATAACGGTACCCCCGATATCCGGTATTTCGATAATTGTAGCCAAATCTTTCAATAGAATTGTCCGAAAATCATCACTAGAAGTTCTTTCTAAGTACTTTACCCCTACGATGAGAATTGTCTATATAGGTCCAAGACATCAACGTAACCCCTTGATATTGACAATTCACCAGAATTGTCTCAAATGTCGCATTAACCAAGTCAGCTTTGATAGGATCCAAGATATGATTTATGTACCAAATTTTTGTTAACGATAGAAAAACGTTTGTTTTTGTGACCTCTCAGAATGGCGGTCCCTTCTTTCTTTTCACCTCACAGGCTTTTTCCTACATCATCCATTACCACCACATTTCTACACAAGGAACTTATCTCCGAAAGCTTTTTATCGACCTAACCCAATCACAAAACTTGAACTCTCCCATCATCCTGGTTTCGGATTGCCCGTCCGAAAATTAAGTCGTAACACAACACCGATATTGAGTATCTGAATTTGGAATTTATTTGTTTTTTCTTTTATTAAAATATTTTCAAACTTTGAAAGAGAAGATCAAAATCACACGTCGTCAGTGAAGGGCGATATGCTATTGAAACTCAGGGGGCAGTGGCTGTGTAAAATCTGTTTGCAGTTGTCGTGGTGCAGGTGGGGGAAATGTCGTCTGTCCTCCTCGGTCAGTCTGGAAGAAAAAAATATAAATGAAAAAACAAATAATTCAAAAAAAAATATCAACAGCTGAAAATGAATGCGGAAATCGCAAAATGTGGTGGAAATCGGTCTTACGTGAAGATGTATTTCAATAACTTAAATAGCATGCCCTTATTCTTGTTTGTCCCTTCGCCCAGGTGGGCGGAACAATACGCTTTCAGTATGCAAGCTTCCCCATCAAAACCACTCCTGAAAATTCAATGTTAGTCTGAGAAATCGGTTTGGCGAAGGGGTCTGGAGAGAATTACGCAAATACCCACAAACCCAGGTAGGGGATTCCCCTTGCTGTTGGGGTAGTTTGATTCCCTGTCCAGTGGCCCAATTTAATCCTACCCCACATACCTATCCATTAGTTCCCCCAACACCTGATAGGTGTCGCGCCTAAATGGCCTTGCCTTCCTGATATTCTCAATGGGATAATTGCAACGAAACCCGTAACCATGTGCCCATATCGTCGGCTTGGAAATGACGTTGTTTTTGACGTTGACTCGGAACTGCGGAATAAATCAAAAGTGGCCAGTCGATTAATACAATTCTGCTCGCCCGTCCCATTTTGAAAAGCGAACGCCTTCCATTTGTGTTGCAATACCCACAATCATGCGGCTGCCTTCAATGAAGTCTAAATATCTTCTGCTTCGTTTTAGTGGGCGCTCCCTGCTTGGTCTGCTGGTGACTGCCACATCCCCGGTAGCCGTGCTAGATGTTGTTTTGCTGTCATCCAGATGACTTCCGTTGGCGGAAATAAATGCAATTTCCTTGTCCGTATCACTTGAACTTGATGCCTGCTCCGTAACCAACAAGGAAGCGTTTGCTAAATTCGTGGCAGAATGCGTAAAAAACAGGACGACACCAAGACCAACCACAACAACAACAAGGTCGGGAGACGCTTTGGTACAGAGCATTTTTTGAATTTCTTTCAGTGGCGTGTGTTTCGTGTCAGCGAGAAATAAAATAAAAACGCTCCTTTTGTTGCGGCCAATACGACACTCCAACGGGTTCTTGTGGTTATTTCGTGCGTGAATGCGTCTGCGGTGACCCACCCGAATTGTGTTATTGAGAAAATTGTGTTTCAAACATTAACCAGCTTGTGTCGACAGATTTTGAGGAGGCGGCAGCCACAGGTGTTTTTATTTTGTTGTAGTTGTAAAACAATCAACATTCTTGCCATTCTGGTTGATAACTTCAAATCAACTCCGTTTCCGAAGGTGTTAATTGGGAAAAGGTTGACGCACTCTTCCATACACGTGACTACACAAATTGCGACGGTTCGACTGACCTGATAAACGACTCTAACGGTAACGTTCTACATAAGCAACTCGTGAAATCTAGAATGTCAACCAAAACGTGAAAATCGAAAAATCAGCAACTACTTGTCCGGAATGTCATTGCAACTAGAGAAGAGTTAGCCGAACGGATAGCTATTCTTTGGTAAACAGTGAAATCTGCATATATACATTTTTGCCAACGTCAAAAATACCACCACATAGCCGTGTAGACCAGCATTACGTGCAAATAATGAGGAATTCGTTTTTCCCCTAACGTTAAAAAAATCCGCACCGACGACAGAAAAACGTACTCAAATCACATATTGTTGAATTGGAATCGAATATAAACGTCTATGTTGGACCGTTTTACATCGACCTTATGCCGACCTTTTTCAAATACCTTTATATATTTCCTCAGTAATTTATCATCGGAAAATTGAGAAAAATTAGAATCCTAAAAAAATAAACTATAAGAAGCATTTGGTGCAGAAACGTTTTTTTTTACAGAATCGCCCTAAAACGCGTTTTCGATATGAGGGTACTGGGTGGTATTTTTTATGAATCTTCGATGGATGAATTAAAGACCAACAAAACTATTTTTATTGGCATTTGTCGTTAGTGGTGCTACGTACGTGAAGATTAACTTCAACAGCTTGAACAACATCCCTTTCCCCAGGTTCGAGTCATCACTCATGTGGGCCGTGCAGAATGACTTTAGAAGACATGCTTGTCCATCGAGCCCATGCCTGAAAATAAACGCTTTAATTAGTCACGATTCACAAACGACTTCACAGCCTTACCCCTCCAAAACGTCGGACAAGCCCTGAAAAACATCTCTCTTGAAGAACGGTCGGCGCCTCTCAGATTTATCGGGGAAAGGGAAATTGGCACGAAATCCATAGCCATAGGCCCACAGTGTGTTCACCTTCAAAATGTTATTCTTCACATTGCAACGCCACTGAAAGTGAGGAGAAATGAGCGTTTGCGGTAGACCCAATGTGGGTGGGTCTCGTATATATTTATCTACTAACCGACATACGGGACCCCTTGGTGAAGTCCAAATAACGTCGGCTTCTGCTCAATATTGTGGAATCGCTGCCGTTAGCCCCATATCCTTGAACGAGTGGTAAGCAGGTTGTCGCCACGACCCAGGTTGTGATCAAAGTAAACAGTTGCATCCTTTTCCCTTTCGCTGTGTCCTGACTTGCATCCAGATGCAAATAAATAATAATGGAAATATTTTTAATCGAACTTCTCCGCCTGGGAGGCAGTGGTCGGTCTTCTAATCAGCAGAGCCTCGCCCTCTTACTCCGATTCGCAAAAAAGAAGAACACAAGAGTTCTTGCTCCAACAGCTCCAACGTCTTGCGAGGAGTTTTTGTTTTTTCGCTTCTCTGCCCTTCGTTCTTCGCAGTTGCGCACCAACGAATGCCTTGCTAAATTCGTGCCCAGCAACGTAATTAATTATGCACTTTTAATATGGTCCTGTATTTCCGATGTCAGGGTTGTACAGTTGTGGCGATGACCACATTTAATCCTCTTTGCCACACAATGTTAAGGTTTGAGTGATGACTTATGCGCTGAGATATTGCCACGGTTCTGGTCTGGAGTGCCACGGAAATGAGAGTACGATAAACCGCATGCATGCAGAATGAGGCGAAGTCGCTGCGAGGCCCGGGATAAATACAACCCTTATCCATTTTGTTTGTTTTTCTTGATTTGTCGTCTTTGGCCATTCGCACTGACCAAGTCGGAGCGGGTGTGTCACCATCACCAGTTAATTCTCGTTAAGGCAACAACAAATCCCATTAACCACATTTAAAGTAGCCAGGTAGGGGCAGGCGGAGCGTAAGTGGAGACAGAAAGTATACATCAGAACGTGGAGTCTTGTTGACACTTGACAACAATGCGTTGACAATTACGGAGATAAATAAGACAGGGCCCACTAGAATGAACCTCACTACTGAAAATACACACACATACACGCGCATGTGTAAATAATAAAATAGCGGCGGAAATATTCCGATACGTGTTTGCTAAAAATTGGAGCAATTCAAATTCTTGTGAATAACTTCAAAATATGTCAGATCCGAGACATATAAAAACAATTTTCAAATAAAAGAACTGCAAATCGAGAATAAGACTATTAAAACATGGATTGGTGGCTCTTTCCGAAACCTAGGTATTCCCTGCCTTACCCCCTGGTAAACATTACCATCGTTCTCCATTAATAAACAAAAGTTGTTTTTATAAAAACAACAATAAAGGGATAAAGCCTGACCATTTTGCAACAACAAAATAATACGGTATCCCGAACAAACAAGCCACACTGTTCTTGTGTACAAGCCTCAATAAGGTCCAAGCTACAAGAAGAAACATTCTGCAAAAGTCATGCGACTCAAGAACGTTTTACAATTTCGGAATTCATTTGGATGATCATGCTCGTACGCATAAATACTCACGACCGCCCGTACCGCTCACACGAAGTCACAGACTATTACTTTTTTTTCGAATTGTGTTGTATTTCAAACAAAACAAGGCCACAAACATTTCAATTCCAGAAGTACACAAACAATTGGTCTGTTTTTACTACGATAACCTATTTCTTCTTATGCTATCAGAAAAAAATTGCAAACATAGTGAATCCTAGCATGTTCTGGAACAGAGCCTAAATCGCCATGAAAAGTTTCCAAACGTCTGTTATGCGTAATGATGATTGGGGCATTTGGGTTGTCATTCTAAATTAAGTTTTTCCTACCCTCTTCCATTGTATGATGGACATAGAAAATGAATAACAATTAAAAAAGCACCTAGGTTCGGCCGGGTCGAACTTTCAATACCCTCTACCATTTGGAAGGAACTGGAAATACTCAAGAAAATTTCGTCGAAAAATACAAAATCATATAACGGTGGACATACGAAGACACTTTTCTGTCATAGGTCGAAGTATCCATTGAGATCTTCCAATACGAACTTCGAAACAATTTCGGTCTATAATATCGCAAAAATCATCAAAATAACGAATATTGAGGAGTACTGTTACATGGGGGCTATACGAAAACGTGAACCGACATGACCCATTTAAGAACTTGACCTGCCTACTGGCAAAATACACATGTGTGCAAAATATTAACCTTCTATCTCAATTCGTTCGAGCCTGATTACACCAGACAGGCAGACGGACGGACATCGCTAAATCGACTTATAATTTTAATCTGATCATTTTATGAGAGATATAATTTTTCAAAAATTTGACGCGGTGTGGGTAGGTACCAGAAGGAGTGAACCGATGTTGTCCTTTACCGAACTCGATCCAAGTTTGACAATAATATTACGATGTCACAAGACCGATTCGCTTACTCCCTTCGAGAGTTATCGTGTCCAGATGATATATATCCTCTGTAGCCATATGGCTGATAGATGAGTTCCAATATAAAAATAGATGAGAGATGAGTTCCAATATAAAAAGGGTTGCCATTACCGATTTGGCAAATGAGATCACCTTGTTGGTTTTAGCATGGATTCGACGTGTACATCATCGAAAATTGTGAACAACTTTATAGTAGTTTCTTCTTTGGGTTGACAGCAAGACGAAAACAAGACCTGAATTCACCTCCTGGTCCGCGATCCTAGAAAGCGCACGTACCCTCTTCAAAGGAGTTACAAGTTTGTGTGGAAAAATTTAGTTTTTACCAGTTCACAACCCCACTCCCCTACCACACCCGCATTCCTGCGTACGTCCCTTTCTGAAGTTTTCGGGTGTGTTAGTAAAGCGAAATGGTATTTCGATCAACTTGACCAGCGTAAACACCACCTCGGGTGTAAAATTGATTTGTCAAATACGATCGCTTGGAATGAGTCAACGACTGCTCTTCGTCGCATACTGCGTCAGCATGTCAGTGAACCTGTTTACATAAGTATTTAGAATTGAACAGTACAGTGACCCAAATGAAAGGTGGTAATTGAGAATTTACGATTCCATAAACACGATTGAATTTAGTCCAGACGAGTGTTGACTTGTGCTTTCGCTCAGAAACTAGAGCAACGTCGTGAGATTTGATTTAGCGACTCTAGAATGTTTTTCTCTTGTACGGAAGCGAATTTCACACTAATGTGTGAAATGGCCAGATTGCTAGCAATTTAACGGTACTTGTTCATGTGAAAAAGACACACAGCTATTTCTAGAAATCGGCGGCAGAACAGATGTGATAATGGAAATACATGAGCGAGTACTATCCGGCATATGCCGTTATATGCAAATTGTATCTATCTTCGCTCAAGTTTAATTTATACAAGTTTTATAAAAAAGCTAATTCGACATTTACAAGGTGGCAAGGTGCATTTACAAGGTGACACGGCGGAGCCAGTTGCTATCTTCTTCTGCTGTTAAACACACACTGATTTATAGACAATAGATTCACATATACTCTGTTCCAGTACCTGCCAGGATTTATTATTTACTTAAAATGTTCTTCGATGCCATAACGGGATTCTTGCAGTTCTGGAACCGAACAATAATCCCACATTAATTATATTCAACGAACTCGCTCGGATGCCGAAACACGTCAAACGTTGCAAATCGAAATGAATACAAAAACAAACAAGTTAAAAAGTATCAGTCGGTATTGCCGACAGATATATACCCTCAGCCTATGTTCGATTAAATAATCGAAATATATTTGACTAGTGTTACAATTATTCATACGTTTGACCCTCTATGGAGCCGGTTCCGAAGAAATGGGCCAATATTGTCCATTTCATATCAGACTCAAAAATATGATAGAAATATTCCAACGTTCCTGGTATGGATTATATCGACTCACCCCTTACTTTATATGAGATATGTAATAATCTTTAGAAAATGTTAACATGTGCGTGATGTACCATATAGAGTCTACCGAAATATTCCATTTTTTTACTTCATCTGATACAAATAAAAAATATTGAGCGAAATATGGGGCAAAATTATAGGAAAAGATATTTATGTCAAATATTATGCGAAATCATAAATTCCGATAAATTTCATATTCATATCAGTAGTGGAATTCTCTAACGCATTTTTTGAGTTACCGACAGAAGTCGGTACAATTAAAATGCTTATAATTTCGGTAATTAACGACATTTTTTGGTAAGTTAGCGACGAAATCAAAGTATCAAATCGGTAACTCAAAAAATGAGTTAGAGAATCCCACTGCAGGCTTCTTATTGAGAGAAATATTTGAGCATAGCAAGTAGTAAAGAATTGCTAAATTGTTTCGAAAGTTATCACAGATAAAATTATTGAAAATTGTGACCCTTTGTGGGTGAGGTACCATAAGGGGTTCGCAGATATATATAAACTTCACAAAAGATTTTGTGTTAGCAAAAAAAATTTGTGTGTGTGAAATTTGAAAAGAGTTGGATGCTTATTAAGCTTTATTTGTGCGTTTTGTTTTTCAAAATCTTGAACCCTATGTATAGGGGAGGTACCAAAAGGAATGGTTCGATCTATACCACCTTTATAACAGATCTTGTGTTGATAGAAATATTGAGATGTCCCAAGTCTAAATGGAACCGGATCTTAATTTGGCGTTTTATGAGCTTTATGGGTATTCAAAATTTCGACACTTTGTAGGGGAGGTACCTATATTGTCCATTTTCGCGCCTTACCTAGCACTGATGAAAATATTATCATTTGCAAAGTTCGAGCAAAATCGGATTATCGTTTCTCTTTGTGTGCAAAAAAGATTTTTTGAAATTTCGACCTTTTGTGGAGGAGGTACCAGAAGGAGTAGACCGATATATTCCATTTGCGCACCAGACCTTGTGCTAATAAAATTATTGCGATGTGTGAAATTTGAAGACTATCGGACTCTTACATCACATTTTATAAAAGTTGTAATTATTCAAAATTTTGACCCTTTGTGGGGGAGGTCCCTGATGGAATGGACCGATATTGTCCATTTTCGCACCTGACCTAGAGCTGATTAAAAAATATTAGGATTCGCAAAGTTCGAGGAAAATCAGATCATCCTTTCTCTTTCTGTGCAATAAATTATTTTCTTTGAACATTTTGACATTTTGTGTGGGAGGTCCCTGAAGGAGTGGACCGATATTGCCCATCTCCGAACTCGATCCAAGTTTGACAAAAATATTGCGATGTACCAAGTTTGGGTCAAATCAGATACTCCCTTCGAGACTTATCGTGCGCACCATCCAGACAGACAGACAGATGGACGGACATCGGTAGATCGACTCCAAATGTTCTGAAACGGATTTGGTCCAAAGAGACCTAGGGTCTAAAACCATTATTTCGACTAGGCACGTTTTGACCGTATCAAATGATATATACCCTCTGTAGCCATATGGCTGAGGGCATGGTACAATAAGGAGGTAGAACAGCTTCGTAAAACTACATAAATACAGCCCTGAGGCTATGCCCGCTTCCTGTCAGAATAATTCAAAATTATATCCAACAACTTGTTTTCATTTATTTGATACTTTTTGTTCATTTTTAAAATGAGTCAAATAGTTCGAAAGATGAATGAAATGCCCGGATATTCTCTCAAAAATATGATCCTAAGTTTTCAATCTTTCAATTCCGTGGCAAATCTGGTTAATATCATTAGTGAGCGCCCTGCAATTTAAATTTCTTCCATTCATTGATTTTGAAAATATTTTGTTTTTATTTTTCAAAACAATAAATACATACACAAAATTGGCATAAGTCGGGCACACTTAGAAAAAAATTGTAATCAGCTGGTAGCTCTACCATACCTATTTATTGTACCATGGCTGAGGGTATTAAAAGCAAATGTTTGTAATGGGAAAATGTCACAATTGGATACATCCAGGAAAATCATGGTACAATAATTACAGGTACCAGCAAACCCCAGTTGATTTGCCTCTATAGTTATACAGATGTCAAATTCGATCTGACGTTTTGTGGTCTAATTCCACTTCCACCTCCAAAAAAAGGCCTTTCCTCCATACACCTTGGCAAATAATGTTAATTTCTCTCACTTATATATAAAAAACCCAACTTATATCTCCCAAGTAAACGTCAAAATAAATGCCTAACCAACCGCCGTTTTATTGCATTCTCTCTCGAAATCGAATGGCGATGTACCGATTCAAGGTGCAATAAATTGACCCCTAATTTCTCCAAGTGTAAATGTCGAAGGTGTTCTTTCTTTTTCGAATTTCCATTAAATGTGGATTCATTTTATCGACTTGAAATTTGTTTACGATTGTGCGCCACTCGACAATGAAGTGCTAAGTAATTGCGCCATTAACGATGTTAGTTGCAGCGTTAAGAGCAAATATCAGCCCGGACGCCTACATTCTCAGACAAAAATGTGTAGCGTTTTGGGGTGGGAGTAGTCAGACACACCCATTAGTGTCACTTATTCTCGTTACTGTTACTGTACGCCCGAACTCCATTTATTAACCCAATGGTAATTAAATGTGCGGGCAGAGGCCCAAACATCTTCGGTCATAAATCGATAAACGGTGATTACTGAAAGCCAATGCCTCTGCTGGCTGACCAATCTAGAATTTCACTGACAGCGTATTTTGTAGACACTTGGAACGCTTGTGTGGAACGCTAGTGGTTATATTGATAAACCCTTAGAAGCATAGCCTAGCCAACGAGGTAGTCCAGCAATCTAGGGTCGCGGCTGAATGCGAATCATAGTCATTAACTTTGCTGGCTGCCTCATTGGGAACTCCAGCTCCACGTTCGAAAGCTGGTATTAATTTAACGCTTGATTAGCGTGCCGCAGTAGATGGAAACAGCCAAGCAAAGTCACAATAAAATTTGCACTGCCGAAAGAGAGGTGGCCCATGCCACTGTCACCATCCGCCACAGCCAGTGTTGGCATGTCTCCATGCATTCCCGTGTTTTTGATAAATGAGAAATTGTTGGGAACAATTAAAGTATTTTAATTAAAACAAGAGCAAAAACATCAACCACTCACACACACCCACACACAAATATACACCAGCACACCCGACACAAATCCAGCAGTCATTCGCCAAATGACGGAGCAAAGTGCAAAAATGGCAAAGCTACAGCAAAAAACGCTTAACTCTTCAACGATGATAATAATGATAATTGTGGGTGCAGCATTTGTCTCCTCGAAGGATGCCCCGGATTCCAAAGAGCCCTTCAGTGATGGCATTGGCAATGCGAACGCCCCAGAGCGTACACGCCGGCATCATATTTCTGAAAGCACTTTGTCGGGGAGGAGGGACGGCCTCACGCATGGCCTGTCCTTCGGTGCTCCCTGGCGAAAACCAACATTTGTCACAAATCAGCCGCCCCTGTCAATCCGTGGAGAGGCACATTTAGCTCATCATGAAATTGATAAAAGCAATCAAGAAAACACCAATTCCAGCCGGCGGTCCACCAACTTGACACAATACCATCGTCATCCAGTTAAATATGCTGAGTCATCGCAACTGCCATCATCGCCCTCTTCGCAGCGATCCCCAGCGCCGTCTAAGAAGGACACTCTCTTATTGCACCGGCACAAACGTTACCTGGTATTCCCCGAGGGCAGTTCTTTCCAGCTGTGTAAGTAAGGTCATTTCCAATTAAAAATACTATTTGGTCGATGAATTTTAGCTAGCCAACAAATTGGGTGAGCGATAGAAAACTGGACACCAATCCACGCAAGGCGACCTGAGTGGTCACCCATCTTTAAAATAAATGGGGGGGGGGGGGGTTAACAAAGTAAGATATTTTATAATTTCAAGAAAACATAAACTAGAATCCAAATGAAATGTTCATGACATGCCGTGAGATGAAACACTTATGTTAGCCTAGTTTTACCAATCAGCTCCTGAGAGACAGACAATCGAGCACTGATTGCTAATACATAGATAACGCCTTGATGGCACGGGAAGTTGCAGGACAGATTACCAGTTATGACGTCATGTATTTTTCAACTCTCTTCCTCTACTGCATGCAAGAAAATGGAGCTCAATTTATTTTCGTAGCTCATATTCGAGATAGCATGTCTTCAGTCAAATGGAATGAAGAGCATTTTTGTAGGAATTGAGTTAGATTTGAGTGAGGACATGTTTCCGCCCCATCACAAATTGACTTGAATTGAGATTTATATCCAGATATTTATGGGGCATACTCCAGATCTCCATCAGTAAATGACCACATCAATTGCAACTTTTATTACAGCCTTCGATCTAGTCCTACCAATTGTGGATTACACCAATTATGCCATATTGGGCATCACATGCGCAATTGCCTGGGAACTGCCTAGCAAGCCTGCCTCCGAGATAATCGAACATTTCCGCCAGAAACTTAATCGTGGCACATTTGGTCTTGCCAGACGTAACGACTCCGTAGAAGAACTCCAACACCTACCACCCCTTGACAGGTGGGGAAATGGAGGGATCGATGGTCAGCCGACAGATGTGATTGGATCAGCTGAGAATTTCTATTATAGCAATCAGCCAGATCCATCTTACAGCCGCCCAACATGGCGTCATTCATTCGATAGCGCTGAGAGGCAATCTCCAAACACGATGACTGCTGAGTGGACGAGCCATACAAAATGGTAAGAGCAAATAAATTACGAATTTTCGAAACATACATAATTGAAATTGCTGCTTCTTTTCCGCCTTCTTATTTCCTTCTTTCCTTCCTTCCACCACACAAAGGCGTCGGTCGCCGGACATCGAACGGCAAAAAGTAAGCAAAAATCGAAAAATTCTAAATAAACATCCCCAACATCGCATCTACCCCTTGTATGGCAATCATAGAAGACGTCGTTTCCTCTCCCCTGCCATGGATGACCAGACCAGCAAATTGCATAAAATCCATACCAAAGACCATCTGCAAACACGCCACAAGTTGTATGGCAAAATTGAAAAACTTTACAGAACGTAAGTCTCCGAACACTTCTCGAACTTAGCCACCAATCTAACACCTTTCGACTGTACTTACTTCCAGACGTGGCTACAACGGCTCCGCCTGCATTCTCCGCACTCTCTGCGAAATCCACAGAGAACACCGACAACACGAACAGCTGCTGGGTCCTCCAACACCTCGGTCGTTCGTTATGGAACTTTTGCGTGCCATGTTCACCTTGCCCCAAGATACAGTTGCGGCCACATCCAGGCTCCTTGGCCCCCACTACGTCGATGCTGTCCGGTGTGCACACCAAGTCCCCTCGTGCCGTCAACGTTACGAAGGTTGTGAGCTCCCAATTTGGAATGGAATGCAGTTCTAGAGAAACGCCAGGCACAGCATGCCACTGCCACTACCATTGCCACATTACATGTTTGACGGAGCAGCAGTTGTGCTCCCAAAATTGCATCGAAATGTTTTAATAAACCCCCGAAAATGTTCCTTTCGAAATATTCAGTTTCAATTATTAGTTTGATGCAGACGGGGTGAAGAGTGTTGGCCATAGGGTTTTCCTGAATACCTCACACGCACACACACACTGACACTCTTAAGCTTTATTGTTTCTACAACATATGTTTGCCCAAGTTCATTGTAAAACTCTGCTAAACCGGGGCGGGTGACTGTAATAGATGGCAAGCACACACAAACGCTCTTGTATCCATTATTTTCCATGTGTTTTCGCACACATATGAAGGGGTCTTTAATCTGCACACATGCACCTACATATGTTCGTAAACCGCTCAATATTGTCAAACTAATGTTAAAGTTTGTAATCTGCTGGAGCGACTATGATTTGAGTTCTGTTCCTTAAATCCCTTCAACATCCTTGATCAAACCCATACCTCGCATATGTAGGAAACTATATATATGTGGATGGAGGAACAATGTCAAAATCTAACAGTCCATCGGATTCTCTTTTGTGTTGATCTATCGTCGATTTCCTCAACAAACGGAAAAATATCTGTTTTTTTATTTTTGAAATAGATTTTAGATTTTAGTTTTTAATGTATTCATTATTAATTAATTATTGATGTTGTGCGATAATCGAAAAAATAAAGACAGCTTTGGAAACAGCTTCTTTGAAGTATTTTGAGGCATTTCTGTTTGGTGTTATTTTGGTAAAGTGGCGCCCAAACATTAAACCAATTACATTGTGATCGCAAAGGATTGCACGATTCTGAGTATAAACCAGTGAATTGTGTGTATATTTTTAAGGACAATATCTCGACCTAAGCAACTTTTAAAAATGTTTTTTTTTCCCGTGAAATTCATATGACTTGGCTAGAAGTTGTTTTAAGTGAAGGTATTGCACGGATTATAGGTGTGCACTTGTTTAGCCAGCACATATTCTGTTTGCTTTTCCAACATCGCTATTGGAGTCAAAGCTTTTTTACTGTGATCACAGGATATAAAACAAGTCGGTGATTTGACATTTCTTTTTAATTTTATTGTTCCTAAAATGTTTGTCCAAAACTGATTCAAATAAAACAAAAATTAAATTTAGGAATATCTATATCTATAAAAGAGGAAAATGTTTGCAATTTATGGACTCGAGATCCGCTAAACCGATTTTCCTAAAAATTTTCCAAGTATACTGCAAGATCGCCTGAAAGTAACTTAGGCTATATAAATTTTTGAAATTTCACTTGGAACTAGAGATATAGCATCAAAATCGGAGGTACCTCCCAAAAATTTAGATTTTATATGCACATATCTATTGATCGATTAAAGATACAGTCTCCAAATTTGGAATGTGTAACGGAATTTAAAACGAACATACATTTGTCGAATTATATTTAAATCGGTCCAGATTATATATTCGACCGATTTCGTGTATTTGACGCTCAAACACGATATGTATATTTGATTCCAATCAAATTCGTCATGAGTGACTAAATTTGATACAAAAATATATTTGTCAAATTATATTCGAATCGGTTCAGATTTGGATAAAGTTCCCATATATATTTTCCACCGATTTCGTTTATTTGATGCACCAAACACGATATGTATGTTCTATTTTAATGATATTTGGAATGAGTGACGGGATTTGATCCGAAAAAGCAATTTTCCAAATTGTATCGGTTGAGGTTTAGGTATATATATTTAGGCGGAATTTGTTCAGAACAATAAATTTGAGAAATTAATTAGAAATCGGTTAGGATTTGGATATAGCTCCCATATATATTATCGGCCGATTTCACATATTTGTTGCACCAAACATGGTGTGTATCTCCAATTTCAATGAAATATGGAAGGTGTGACGGTGTAAAAGTAAATGTTGTCAAATTATATTGAAATCGGTTCAGATTGGTATAAGGTGATCGGTTAGATTATGGTATTGGGCGAACAGTAAAAAACTACACAACAATGTAATTAAGGATACGATTATTATTCGAGGTAGCAACATCCTCGAATTCTCTAATCGCAACAGACTCACTCAACTTGAAAAGATTGCAGTTCCCTGCACGCTTGGCTTTTGCTATGAAATTAATAAATCCGAAGGACAAACCGTTCGTGTGTGCGGACTTAATTTGGCATGTTCCGCTTTTTTCATGGCCAGCTATTCCTGGCATGTTCACGCCTTGGTAGACAGAGCTATTTGTTTGTTTACGCATTAATGTATTACAATAGTTTTTTTTTATACCCTCAGCCATATGGCTACAGAGGGTATATATCATTTGATACGGCCAAAACGTGCCTAGTCGAAATAACGGTTTTAGACCCTAGATCTCTTTGGACCAAATCCGTTTCAGAACATTTGGAGTCGATCTAGCGATGTCCGTCCGTCCGTCCGTCCGTCCGTCCGTCCGTCTGTCTGTCTGTCTGTCTGGCTGGCTGGTGCGCACGATAACTCTCGAAGGGAATATCCGATTTGGTCCAAATTGGCTACAACGTAATATTTTTGTCAAACTTAGATCGAGTTCGGAGATGGGCAATATCGGTCCACTCCTTCTGGTACCTCCCCCACAAAAGGTCGAAATTTTCAAAAAATATATTTTTTGCACAGGAAGAGAAAGGATAATCCGAATTTGCTCCAACTTTGCAAATCCTAATATTTGCGTCAGTGCTAGGTCAGGTGTGAAAATGGGCAATATCGGTCCACTCCATCAAGTACCTCCCCCACAAATGGTCAAAATTTTGAATAATTACAACTCTCATAAAATGTTATGTAAGAGTCCGATTGTATTCAAATTTCACACATCCCAATATTTATATTAACCCAAGGTCAGGTGTTAAGATGAACAATATCGGTCCACTCCTTCTGGTACCTCCCCCACAAAAGGTCAAAATGTTCAAAAAATATATTCTTTGCACAGAAAGAGAAAGGATAATCCAAATTTGCTCCAACTTTGCAAATCCTAATATTTGCATCAGTGCTAGGGCAGGTGTGGAAATGGACAATATCGGTCCACTCTATCAAGTACCTCCCCCACCAATGGTCAAAATTTTGAATAATTACAATTCTCATAAAATGTTATGTAAGAGTCCGACTGTCTTCAAATTTCACACATCCCAATATTTATATTAACCCAAGGTCTTGTGTTAAGATGAACAATATCGGCCCACTCCTTCTGGTACCTCCCCACAAAAGGTCGAAATGTTCAAAAAATATATTTTTTGCACAGAAAGAGAAAGGCTAATCCGAATTTGCTCCGACTTTGCGAATCCTAATATTTGCGTCAGTGCTAGGACAGGTGTGAAAATGGACAATATCGGTCCACTCCATCAAGTACTTCCCCCACAAAATATTGAAATTTTGAGTACCCATGAAGCTCATAAATCGCCAAATTAACATCCGATTCCATTTAGACTTGGCATAATCTTAACACTAGTGAAAATATATTTAGATAATCGAACATAGGCTGAGGGTATATCTCTGGCGGCAATGCCGACTGATACTTTTTAACTTGTTTTGTTTTTTGTTTGTTTTAAACAAACAAATATTCGTAAATAAAATTTTGAATGCATAAAATATCAAAAGGGACAGCGAAGCGCACCGGGTTCAGATATATTCATTGTATCATCTGAGTCATCAGATATCACATATATCGGCAATGCATTGTCGATGCCATATCAATACAGCACGTTTGTGCTGGATTAGTTTTTGCCTCCACTAAAATGCTTGGCTTGGCATATTCGTCACGTCAAATCGGCTTTTATATTTATACTAGCTGGCCCGGTCCGCGTTGCCGGCCCATAGTTTTTGTCTATTATGCATATTTGTCAAAGCATGATTATTCAAAGATATGAATGTTATAAATGTTCACGTACTGGTCGATTAGTTTTTAATTTTTAGTCAAATGAGCAGTAATTTGGAATTTACTGTACTTTGTACAACTCGTAATTGAGGGCTAATTGATTTAAGAATAGGCAAAGTTAATTACTTTTTTGAACCCATTAGCACCTCAGATTGTGCATTAGAGTCCTCATAAGTCCCCCTAACCATGTCGGTCTGTTTGTCCGCCAAAAGGTGGACTTGAGGGGATACTATTACATGGAGAAAATCCTAAAATTTGTAGATATGTTGAAATTTTTGTGTAAGATTTTCATCCCCAAATACTCATTTTTAGCCAAATCCTTTGAAATATGGTAAAATGCGAAACATCGACCTACATTGAAAACTTTCTTCACCCCTTATTATCCAAGATGACAAATAGAGGCCAAATCAAAAATATAGCTATTTTAAATCCATTACCGTAAGATGGGAATTAATTTTATTTGCCATTTAAATTGTAAGTTGTAGTCCATATTTTTCATCATAGTATAATTTAATGACGATTCAACAAATATTCGGTCCCGTGCTACTTTCTTATATTTGTATTTTGTTCATGTTTCCACAATTTATTTCATATGGATGCACATCCCAAATCTACGTTCCCAACCAATATTCTCTTGGGGGTTAAAAATTCAATAGAATACAAAATTTTCTTTTCTGACCACACATTAGATGTGAAAGTGGACTTGGGGATACTCCAATGTGGAGACTTTACTTAAATAAATTCCTATGTGGCAATTATCTGTATGATGGTTCCCTACCCCAGGGTGGCATAAATAAAATTTTTTAGCCAAATCAATTGATGAATGTGGTCAATACCAATATGGGCCCTACTCTGAAAATTTCAAATTTTATGCGAAGAGGTTATCTACCCCCTTAGAAACAAAAATGTCAAATAAGGGCCGAAAAATGAAAAAAGTGACCGGCCAAGACCCCAAAAAATAACTTAAATCATAGATGGTTATATAAATATGAAATCGGGTTGTTCCCTTATCCATGAGTTATGATCGATATAAAGACCTGCAAAAGTGATTTTAGGTATTTTGTATGTTTGGGAAGAATTTCTGGAAGGATATAAAACCTTTTCTTACTAAAAGTCCCATTCGCTCTACTATTTTGCACCTTTTATTTCAATATTGGTATATTACTTATTATTCTCCCAAAAAATTTTGCATTTTGAGCTCTCATTGGACGGATCATTGTCACGCTTTGAAATGAGCCCCATTAAGCTTTTTCGGTCATTTTTGTTTGTTTAAACGTGTTCGCATCTTCCAGCTAACCCACGATGTAGGCCCTGGAGTTGAAAGGTAGATGTCAGTTAACATCCTATTTCGCACTTATTCAATTTTTTTAGTGAAAAATTATTCTTTATTTTGTTCACAAAAAAAATTTGACAAAAAAAAGAATAACAAATTGAAAAAGTCTTTTTCGCTGATTTTTTACAGCAAATGTTTTAAGATCCTTCCTTACAAAGTTTGTCAATAGAATGTACTATTACTTTAAAATTCGATTCCATTGAAAATGTTTTTTTTGATTTTTGCAATGAGATCTCTTTTTCATGATTTTTCAGCGATTTAGAAAAAGTAATTATCTTTTAACTTTGGTGTGACCGCGTTAAATTATTTCGATATCATCTATTCCGTTTCGCCACCACATAATTCGCTACTACACTTCCATGTAACCCGCCATCAATTTCAGTTCTCAAGAAATCAAGTCAATTAAATAAATTGGTATAAATATTCGAATTCAAAAATAAAATATAAAAAAACACTACAAATGTACATTAGAAAAAAGTAAGTCAAAATGGAAAAAAATCATGCAAAATAAAACATTACTATTGTACATTTGAAAAGTCAAAATGAAAATGTTAATATATCACATTTTTACGCGATTTTTTTGGATATTATCCTTTTCGGAGAGTAGACAACTCCGAATTTGTGTGAATCGTTAAAATTAATCCAGCGGTTCTTAAGTTATAAGCGTAGTAACTAACACAACTTACATTTATATATATAGATGGAGACTTATTATACCAAAAATGTAAAATTTATTGGCGAAAATATAAGTTGTTGTTCTTCAGCAAAATCGACTGATACACTCTTTCCCGAAATTTTTTCGTAACAATAAATGTTTCTGCTGAAAACGCTATATTTGGTAGTCGATAATGCCTTTCTCTTAAAGGTATTGTAACATGTCCTGAATCCAGGTATTAATCCCAATTTCTTCTTCGGACCTTTTATTTTTTTAATAAAATATTTTTTTTAATAAAACGTTTTATTGTTCACTTTTAATTTTATTATTTTATTTTGTTTTTTATTATTTTTGTAGTTTTGGCTGGAGGACTTTTTATAACTCGATTTACAGTAGTGTAGTGTGTTAAATATTTATAGGTTATTTATACGTTTTCTACTTGGTATTGAGCACCTTTTTAATACAATTAATTGGCTTTGGAAGCTTTAGTATTTAGAATGAATTGAAAAAAGAAAGAAAATGAAGTGGATCTGTTGGAACCTATGCCTTTGACAAAATTCGGTGGAAATGCTTAAAAAAGGCCTTGCAACCAAATTTGAATTCAAACTACAGAATTGATCTGTTATTAGGAAACTTCGAAAAGACTCTTTCAACATTAATAGTGGGTTTTAATTTTCAATCGGATACGTTTCCATATTAATGGGATCCACCTCGAAAATTATCTGCATTCGGAGACTTGTTCAAATTTAATATGTTATATGCCCCCAAAGTGTTTGCCTGCCGCTATCCACCTTCCAGCAACACAGAAATTGGCTGCTCGATTTAAAGCCAAATAACTGATTCTAACAAAGACACATACTTACATACATTCGTACATGCATGCCAACATGAGGAGAATATCCGAAGAAGGGGGCGAAGCAGTATTACAGATAATTGATACTAATCAAAAACTAACACAACGATGAAAATCATTTAGCATTTGCTCTTTAGACTTACTTACTTAACGTTCTTCTTGCATTTTTGTTACATTTCGAGCATGACCAGCTTGCCGTCTCTGTGTGTGATGTCGATGGCCCAGAACAGTGCAGAGAAACCGAGATTCTGAAATTCTCAACGATATTGTTGAGAATTTTTGCTTCGAACTCGTTTCGAATTAAGGATCTCGCCACACCACACGCGATTCGGGTGCTGTCACATGACTTTGAAGGCAAATGTACCCAAAGACTTATTCGATTTACATTGAACTCAAAATACTGTGCCGTAGATATCCACAGAACAGAGCTCTGCCAACCGGTTAGCTGTGAAAACAAAAAAAAAAAGAAATTTTGTATTGTTCTTTGTCGTGTTAATAAGCGAAAAGAAAGTCCACGCTGACGTTGTTGTTCGCTCAGCACTCTCGTACTCCACCCCACAGCTGCTGCCATTGGAAGCTGAGGCCGTGCATTGTACTGATCGAGAATATCAACAGTTTTGAATCGGACTACAAAGAGTTGGCTCAAATTCGATCAGTTTTGGCAACCTCCGGTCATCCAGAATGCACCTTTACAAATTGTTAAATCTTGTGCCGTGGGTGGCAGTCGTACTGCTACTGCAATGCTCCATTACGAGGACCGAACGAAATTCCAGCTTCACGTCGCTGGAACAAGCCATAGAAGACAAACTGGAGGAAGAGCGCGCCCATGACGGATTTCAGTTGAGCCGAAAACGCAGATACTTGGAATTTCCCGAAGGCTCGTCCTTTCAGTTGGGTAAGAATGCAAAAGAATTCATCGCACAACGCCAAATACTGTTCTTCGTTCATCCGCAGTTTATGACCTAATCGTGGGCATCGTCGACTACACAAACTATCTGATTCTCGGCGTCACTGTAGCCTTGGCTTGGGAATTGCCCAGTAAGCCGCCAAGTGAAATCCTAAACGATCTCACGGATCGACTAAAGGACGGCACCCTGGGTACCTCACGTAACGATACGATCTCCGAGATCAAATATGTGGACACCAAATCCCACGGTGCTGCCTCATCATCGACAAAGTACCCCAACTATCTGCAGCCAGCTTTTAGGCCTCCCATGCACTCCCAGTACTATGTCAATCGTGCTCCAGATAGCTACTACAAAGCTAGAGACTACTCTAAATGGGAACACATGTACTCTAGCAAACCATTTTGGCCGATGAAGGATAGCAAATACCACTACAGTCCGAAGCCTTCCCACCCGTTCACAAAGTGGTCGACAAGTCCCTCGAGCTATAGAAACATTTCACCTGTACCGACTAAGTACCCTTGGTGGAATTTACCAACAAGGTATGTCGGATCATTTGTCTCACCTTCTGTTATCAAATCATTTGCCTTTCCAGATTAAATGGTTATGCAGCGAGGCCACCAATCGTCAAGGGCTCCAGGCGTTTCGACCAGGGCACGACACATTTTACAAATCAGAAATACACCGTAGGCACTGGCAGATCGGAACATCGCGTGTATCCGATCTTTGGGAAACGCAGTGTGGCACAGAGTGTCAGTGACACTTCGGCTACAGTTGTCCATCGTCACCACAGGCGCACCACCAGGAGCAGCGACGAATTTTCCAAGATCGATCGAATCCACATACGACATCATCGGAGCACTCGCCACGACCTGTATGAGAGAATCGAAACCTACTTGAATGGGTAAGTCCGCCATTATTGTTATAACACAGCAATTTCACCCTCACGCACGCACACACACACATATATATATATATGTACAAATTCACCTACACCGCTACATTGCATGGGAAGCTAGAGACCTGCTTTGTTTATGACATAAGTGTTGATGGCTCTCGAGATAAACTAATTGAAGTGCTTCACATACAACAAACACTGTGGCGAAAAACGTTTTCACACACACGCACACCCACACACAGCCATTCATTCAATCACAAGGATATAACAATTGAAACTCTCGCAAATCCATTCAATCGCCCTTTTCGAATGAAGCCACATTCCACACAGCCATCTACACAGCTGACACAGAAAAAAATGAAAGGAAACGTTGGGGTGTAGGGGTCTACCTAAGGGCAGAATGTCACAGTGGTTGAAACATCGTAGGCTTTCAAATCACCAACGATTCTTGCGAAACTCAACGTCGTAAATATGGAGTGGTTTTGCTCGAATGCTCGTTTCCAAAAAGGACACTCGAAGTCACAGAGTCCGTATTGAATTATGTTTTGGTAATTTTCATCAACAATTCGAGTACCCTGCCCCCACTGTGCCATCATAGACAAAGAACACTCCACTTTTCGGATGAGAGTATCTCTATTGTGCTGTATGGCCACTCGCCTGTGTTGAGGAGAAATCCTTCCATACTCTAAACAGTTCTTTCCGACTGGGATTTAACATTAAATGGCGACACAATTCGAAAGGGCAACATAACCTCCCGACACTTCATCATTCACAAATGCAAACACAAACACTTTCACATAATTCCTTATTTGATCTCTGGTTTTAGGCGCGGTTCCCACGGCCACCACTGTGTCCTGCGAGCCCTGTGCGAGACAGGCCAAAAATCTCATGAAAAACTGCCGGGATCGTTTGTTGGCGAATTGATGCGCGCCATATTCACCCTGCCCGAGGCCTTCGGCGGCGATCGTGGCTACAAGGAACATCGCTATGACATGGCCAATTCCCATGTTGGCAATTGTGCAGCGCGTTATCAACTCTGCAAGGATTCCATGTGGTCGTCCCACTTTGTGATGTAAGAATCGAAATTAAGAAAAGATAATAAATGCAGACATCCGAACGAAAAGAAAAACACTTCTACGTGGCTTGTTTTGTTTTATTTAAAAAGTTCTTTTGGAGTTCACAAACATATCGAGTATGCTGAGGGGACATCTATGATGCAAATGGGCATCGCATGTCTCGTAATCCGCTGCCATGATCCGCGTGTAGTCGTCCTCCACGCCACTTACGGTGGGAAATCTAGAAGGGGTTTTGGGAAATGCCATCATTATTGTTGACAAGAGAGTAGAAATTCAGAAAGTCAGGCTCCGCAGGGGCGAGATGGGGTTGGTGATGACGATGATGATGATATTTGTTGGGATGTGCTTGATTTCATTTTTCCTAAGACGTTGTCTTCTATAAAACCTCCCTCTCAATGTATTTGTAACTTCTGGTCGTTTTTTTTTTTTTTGTCTGGAGTTTTTTTTCTTTAAAAATGTGTGTTTATCGCAATTGCCGTTTTTAAATACAGAAACCACCCTAACCAAGCATTTAATACAGCCTTATTACCTAAATATGCCAGGACCACATTTCAATTAAATTCAACCAAAGTTGAAAACCGTTTTCAATTTTATTCAACTTTAAATTTTCATTTTCCCATTCGAATACTTCAATTCCGATCCGATTTCCATCCGATATTCAAATTTATTTTTCATACGAAAAGGTTGTTATTTTTTTATAATATTTCATTGACACAAATTAACTCAAATACATAACCAATAAAGAAATTCTTAAAGTCGGGCAGGACCGACTTTATGATACCCTACACCACTTTACATATTTAGTAGAGCTTCACATTGCAGATTAAAGTTTTTATGGGGAATTTGTGAGAATTAAATCATACCAATTACGATTACAGTTATAACTCAAAGTCCAAAGGAACTAATATATGAGAGAAATATCCTCCCCTGAATCGATTTCTACTAAATTTGCCGAGGCATTTATGCCTTTTTAATACGGGCTCCTATTACCCATTTGGTGCACAATTAACTTCCAATCGGATAAAGATATATATGGAAGCTATATCAAAATTTGGCAAAGGTATTTCTGAGCTGTATTTCACATATCTCCCCGAATGTCATTGTTGCAGAGTGCATGTTACGGCTGTGGATAACACATATAACAAATCGGATGAGCATTAAATATGGGAGCTATAGCTATATCTGAACCGATTTTTACCAAATTTGGCATACTTGTTTCTAAATTCAATTTGGCCGTAAGAGCCAAATTCCATTCCATTTGAGCTAATATTACACGTTTGGAGCATAATAGAAGGTAAATCGGACGAAGAGATATATGGGAGCTATATCCAAATCTGGATAAATTTTGGCAATAATTTAGCAAAGGTATTTCTGAACTGAATTTGATATATTTCCCCAAATATTAAAAATGACAAATCGGATGAACAGTATATATGGGAGCTATAGCTATATCTGAACCGATTTCCATAAAATTTGGATCACTGATTTTTAGGCCAACTTTGGTCGTATGTACAAAATTCCATACTATAAAAGGCCAATCGAACGAAGATATATATGGGAGCAAAATTTCATCTGGATCGGGCAATAAATGCGACCTATACTTTGTTTACAAAAATACATGGACAGACGGACGTACGGACAGTCTGACATGCATAAATCGACTCAGAATGTGATTCTATGCAGATCAGAAAAAGGAACTACGGGTCTATTTCGTTTCCTTTAGCCTGTTACAAACACATGCACAAAGACATAATACCCTAACCACCTTGTGGTGTAGGGTTAAAAAATGAAAGCATCATCCTTCGAAATGTTCGCAGAACTTGAGTTCAGAGACGAATTGTAACACAAACGAGAACAATATGGACAGAAGAATGGGGAAGATCAGAATATTACCGGTTTTTTTTTTTTAATATAAACATGCTAGTGTGGTGGTGTGAGTGCATAAGCAGCTAGGCTAGGCTAAGCATTTTAATGTCATGTTATGGGGATCCGAGTGCAGCGTAGTTATGGAGCATTTCTGAAATTTTAAACATTTTTGAAATTCCGTTGATTTGCCATGCATATTTCGGTAATATGGACGAATAAAATGTTCAATATACCCTCCACCTTGAAAAGGAGGGTATATTAACTTTGTCATTCCGTTTGTAACATCCCTAAATATATTGTCGTAGACCCCATAAAGTATATATGTTCATGATCAGCATAAAATTCTAAGTCGATTTTACGATGTCCGTCTGTCTGTTGAAATCACGATAAAACCCACATTATTTGACGTAGAACTTCAACATTTGGCAGAACATATTGTATTGTGTCTAGGATGGTTGGTATTGAAAATGATTTTGATGATTTTTGCTACATTTTTCCACGGATTTATCTAATAAATTGACATTTGTAGGTCATAAAGGGTTCTAGCTCCGGTGGCGAAACATTGTATGTATAGGTCCACGTTTCCTATAGCGCACATATAACGATTTATCACGAAAATGTTTCAAATTTGGTATTTAAGAAGATTTGGTAAATGTCAATTCCTGACAATTCCAAAAGGTCTTACTGGCATTTGAAGTTTACAGTGGAACACGTTGCTCAATGGTGGAGGGTATAAAAAATTTGTCCAGGACGAACTTAATGTTTTTTACATTAAAAATTTCTGTAACACTTTCGCCTTCACTTTGATATCGATATAAGCAAGATGGACTCGGACGGAATATATCGGATCCCGATACTATCTATGTCGGGATTTTTAACAATTGAAGTCCACAATACCTGCACGAATGGTCGGTATTCCGATATTTCAGGGTTTAAAATTTACTATTAACCCGCCCATAAAACACAGGTCCACTATATGCTTCACTACTTAGTGTAGGTCATTGTTATGCCCTACGTGAGGAGGTTATTTGGGACTGAAGAAGACTTTCTATTATGATCGGATAATGTTGTAAATGCTTATCTTCAAAATTATCAGCAACTTAGCTCATCTCTAGTGAACATTTCCGCAAATATTTAAAAAAATTGTGAGGAACAATTGTCATTTTTCTTATAGGACTACAACTGGTCTTAGCGGTTAAAATAGCACAACAACCAACCAACTCTGTTCTGACAACATCGTAACAAAAGAAGCTAATCAATTTAACTAGTTACCGACAATTATCGTTTCGGTGTTCTCGTAAGCTAGCGACGAAAATCAATTAATCGCTGAGACCTCCTGATAAAAAACCGTTTGCATGAAATCCCACTACTGTCGTCGACTCTATGATGTCTTTCTGTCTGCCTTCTTTGTCTTTGCGCTGTGGCGGTTCCACGGCCGTATCCGAACTGATCTAACCTTTACTCATGATAGTATTTCTATATAACATGAATTATCTACGAAGATGGAGAACGTCTGTTTTCTTGTCTTGTTCTTTTGAAGTCATCTTTTCCATACTTAACAGCTCAAAGCAACGAAAGAATAGCAACCAAAATCCGGTCAAGCACATTCCCAGAAACGGTGCTATTGCGCAAAATTAAAGAGCGCCATATGAATGCGCACACACCCACACACGATACTTACGTAAACAACACTCTTAGGACGTCGTGCAGCAATGAGTAGCCGGGCGGCAGGAGGAAACGTTTGCTGTCACACATGGCTCGCATGATGCAGGTCTTCACGTCGATGCCCAACCTTAAAGAAAATTACCACTGAGAATGTCTGCCCTGCATCCGGCAACAACAAGCGACAACTTACAGCTTGGTGAGTCCCTCAAAGTGATCGAATAAATCCCTTCGTCCCCGGTAAAGGTTGTAGTGGGGAGTTTCCCCGATTTCATCCGATTCTTCGTGCTCCTCGTCGTGATGTATATCCCTGCCATAGCGATTCCATCGGTTCGCATAGTACTGCTTGTCCTGCCAGTGACTCCACTTGGCACTAGGTTTCGTCACGTACTTGTCTACAAACTTGACCCGTTTGTCGGGTCTCCACTGATATTTATTCACAAACTCCGGCGAAGTATATTTACTCCACTTACTCCAATGGGGAGCAACAGTTGCAGTGACTCCGCCCGTCGGTAACCACTGCAGTTGAGAGGCGTTGTAATCTACGCGCTGCACCACCGGGAACTTTGTGGCTGGTTTGGCCCGATATTTTATTAATGAACCTGGAATTCCGATGAGGGTTAGCGGTGTCGTTCCGGTTGGTTTCGGGGCCTTCGTTGTGGGTTTTCTAAAGCGTCTCGGTATCAAGTCTATACGCGCAGAGTGCATCGGGTAATAAAAAGCAGCCTCCATATTGAAGTTCAATCCCTTGGGGTACACGGCCAGCAATCGCTTGCTGAGTGACACCGTGAATTTCAAGGCGGAGCCTTTGGGGAAGAGCAACCACCTTTTACGTCTGGAGAAAACACGCTCCACCGGGTCCCTCAATGTTGTTATTGCCGTTGAATTGTCGTCCGTTCTCGTCCCATGGACAGCCAATGAAATCAAGAAAGCCCAGAAGAGCCAAAGATAGAGTAGTCTCATGCTTTTCCAGCCGACTGTTCTCGTCGCCTATTTATCGCACACTACAGCGGCAGATGAAATCCAGATTTTCGATCCCCAAATAAGACATCACATTTCGGTAATCATGTTTATCTTTCTCATTATCATCGGCTGTGACAGACGTCGTGCTTCATTGTAATGAGGCGATTCAATGGAAGTTCAACAAACACTGACCCAATTATCTGCTCGTCGCATTACCAAGCACACCGAGCCTCATTCAGTCTGACAGTCTTGCTCGAACAAACCAGAGAGCATGTGGATAATTGTTCAATTCGTGACTCTAACGCTGGCGATTGGCGGCGGCCACTCCCTGCTGTATCCCAAATCGACTTCCTTGGGTGTAAGTTGCAATGTCCTCCGAGCGATAAATTCCCTAACCCCCTCCCTCCACCACTCACCCACAGCTTGTTGCTTCAGTTTCGGTGCCCGTTACAGAATATTTGCCAGAGCGCAGGTTTATTGTCGATTGGTGCTTTCAAATGTCCTACGACATGCCCTATCAGCTGTCGTCGTTCTATAATATTCCGATATGGCCGGGCAAGCATAGTCCCATCAAGGGTCGCAAGCGGTCGATCGTCCCCAGCAATGCGTGGTCTCTAGAGCATCATTGGAATTCGATTGGTGCATTGGACAACAGCACAGCCGTTGGACGGAGACACCCCAGTGACTTCACAGCTGGTGAGCTGTATCGAAGCATAGAAGATCTCCTGGTCAGGTGAGTTTATGAAAACGGGACGTCAGAACGAACCGATATCATCTGTTTATCTCCTTTCATGTCTAGTTACGGATTCGACGAAACGTGCTTGCTGCGAGCGGTGTGTGAATTGGCCAAACATCCATTCGATGCCGACAACCAAGGGAATATTCTTACCGATGTCATAACCTTTATTCTAACGTAAGTCGGAACAGATCGTAGCGTGGATATCTGATGATTATTCCGATCATTTCTCTCCATTGCAGGCCATCGCAACATGAGGGTTTCGATCCGACGGAGACCCTTTACCGCCAGACATATGAGGATGCCGAGAGGAGTGGCTTCGTGGGGGAAAACTGTGCTTCCTTATATCCGAAATGTGAAAGCGACTTACTGAGTTTGCTTAGCTACACGGAGTTCTGATCTAGGATTGAAATAAAACACGCTGAGAAAAACTGCTCTAAAAGGAGGCGTTTTATTTGACAGCTTAACGCTCAAGTTAGGGAGCTCAGAACATTTAAGAAACTAGCTCTACACTCCGGATACAATCGATGGCACTGGCTGCCAGCCAGACCTCGCCACTCGGCCAAATGGTATTCATGCGCCAGGTCGGGATCCTCGGACAGTGGTAGTGGAATCAGCGACGGGCTATATTAGGGGAAACGAAACAAATGACATGGATTAGGTGGAATTGCCTCATCACGATGCCGCTTAGTGTACCTCAAAACGAACGTTATGAGATTGGTTAGCCAATTGCTGCCGTTGTAGTGGAAGGGATGTTTTGCCAACTCACAAATGGAGCGTTTCCAACAAACTCTGTGATAAGCGTGTCTGCAAGAGAAGGCAATATCTGAATACTTGTGATTTCAGCAACATTATTAACCAGAATCGATTCAAATTTCATACTGAAAGATCCTAATGGGTACTACAATCTATGGCAAAAAATGTTGTATGCAGGTCTAGATCTTCGTATAGCCCCTATATAACGGTACCTCCCGATATTGAGTATTTTCGTGATTTTAGCGACATTATTAACTGGAAATATTTGGTCAGGTCCAAGTCTTCGTATAGCCCCATATAACGGTACCTCCCGATGTTCGGTATTTTGATGATTTCAGCAGCATTATTCACCGGAATCCTTTCAAATTTCGTACTGGAAGATCCTAATGGGTACTACTCGTATGCAGGTTCACGTCTTCGTATTGTCCCCATATAACGGTTTTCATTTAAGTGGTAGATTTTGGGATTTTTTTTTGAAAATCTTCAATTTCCTTCGAAATGGTGGAGGGTATTAAAAGTTCGGCCCAGCCGAACTTACCTGCTTTTTTACTTGTTTTAATCTCATTATGTAATGCACACTTACATTTTATTATGTAACAGTTCACCACTGACAAATATTCTACAGTTGTTGATATCTCACTCAAACCCTTGAAACGACAAATATGGCATCTGCTGATCCGATTTTTTCTCGAAAACAAACGGCGAGAGCATTTCTTGGGCAATACATGCATATATTCATTAGTCTATGATAGAACCCATTCCATAAAATTATCCTACTTAGACAAAAATATGGGAGCTATATGTAAATCTAAACCGATATCGAACCGAATTGTCATAAGTATTTCTAATCTGTATCGGATACCTCATACCGAATATCATTGTTATAGAGTTCATATGACGGAGCTATATCTGTATTCTTACCGATTCGAAACACATTTGGCAGACGTCATTCTCATTATTACCAGCACCTAAAAACGAACTTTGGAAGGTCTATCTCGTCCCTGTGACTTTTTTGTCTCGAAAACATACCATTGGCCCCATAGTGCAATGTATTGAGTTTTAAATTCCGCTTGCAAGACACGTCGAAATTTTCGGGTTTTGAGTAAATTTCGATTTATTGGGTTTTATTAGAAACTTGGTAGCAAATCACGGACGGGATTAACAATGAAAATTTTCACAGAAGACCCACATTTAATCCTTTTTACCAAAACGACGACTACATTTGTTTCCTATCAGAAAGTGGAGGACTAATTTCGCAATTTATTAAAGTTCTGATAAAAAAATGAGTGGACCGACTGATATAGTCTATAGTTTGGATACTATATAACGAAGTGGAGGAACTATTGTTTATTCAAAGTTTGGATCGCAAGTGATGAACCTTTCAAGCGTTATATTTGACACATAATGGCAATCGGACGGAAGGAAGGACTGATTTCCTCGTGTTAAAAGATATTTTCATATTTACCTTTCCAAAATCCGCTCAATACCCTGGTACAACTGTATCGGTGTAAAATCTACGGACCATAATTCTCTCTTCGACATCCCTCTATCCCTGGACGGCCAGATTGGTACCATATAAAACGACGACAAGTTGAAGGGCATGTTGTAGTTCATCTGAAATCCCCAGTCGAAAAATGCCTTGTGGGTGGGGGGCAGATCCGTGATCGGCAACGACAACGAGCTTGTTATCTTTAAAGAAACGTATTTTCAATTACTTCTTCTCTCCCCACTCCAGTCGACCCCGTGAAAACAGCCTCACTTGAAAAACCGTAGACGCTGGATAGAGTAACGAGCCAGACGCCAGTCTTTGCAGCCATATGCTCAACCAGAAAATATACCGCAATTGCGACGCGAAAAACATGACTGATTGCGATGGATGTTCCCTGAAACCTACAGAACGCTACTGTGAGTAAAAGCAATAACAACTTCAACTTTGCGATTTCAATCTCATTTATTTTCAACTATTCCAGCCATTCGAATGGCTTGTTTCAATAAGGCTGGTTAAGGCGGTCAGAATGTCTTCGCGGCATTCGCTATACAGTTCGGCGCAACTATACTGCAGAAATCCATTTCGCTCTGCTATCTCATAGGCTTCCCGGTACAGAGCCTCAGTCTCGGAGAAGGCGTCATGCAGCGATGGCCTGGAATGTAAAGGGAAATGTCACTTAGAATCAGATGCTGCGAGTTTGGTCTAATTATTCGTTTAAACTCACGACAAAACGAATGTCACTATCTCGGTTAGCAGATTTCTGTGAGCGTTATCGAACGGATGCCTAGCCAATTCACAAACACTTTGCAGTAAACATGTCTCATGGAAGCCATGACTGTACAAAAAAAGAAAAAAAAACAATTTCAAGACAGTGCGTTGATTGATGATCCACGAAATGAAATCTGGCTCTAGATACGCTTTAGCAAATAGCCCCAATACCAGCCAAAGGGGATCCCTTCAGCTATGCTCTTACAGAACTACATGATCTATTGCAACAGCCATGGACTAGTTACAACATTGTTATCACCATGTCATTGCCAAAAAAGATTTCCTAGTTAAGTAGCGACATGTGTTCGGGTTTTATCGTTCGCACATTAAGTTGTTGTTTTTTGCAGGCACGACTCTGAAATGTACCATAGAGTAATGACGTGGAATTGTTTTGAAACTACTTTGATGTAATGGCAAGCCGGGGTTTTCAATGTGATAGGGTTAGTTTGGACTACATTATTGCTATTAATTGCAGCGACGCGACTACTCCATACACACGCGTGAATTCTAGTCCACAAAAGACAAGGACTACTACACAGCTAATCCTATTGCGTTGAAAAGCCTAACCGACTTTAGAATACGATGTCTTAAGGCCGGACTATATAACCCTAAGAGGTTTTACCTACAAAAAAATCCACGTGCCCAGGATAAAACACGAACACTTGCCGTTACTTAGCTTAGCTAGGAAATCTTTCTTGACAATGACATGGTCCATGGCTGCATCACACAGGACAATGTTGTAACTAGTCCATAGCTGTGGCAATTGAGCTCGTAGTCCAGAATTATTTGCAGGGTATATCAGATAATATACCACACGTTTGTCTGTATGCAAACAGCGTTCATGCTGTTCATACCTTATCAGCAGATTCTCCAGGGCGTAGTACAACTCGCCGGCAGTAAAGTCACTTGGATGTTTGTGCAAATCGTTCCCACCATATCTTTCTGCTATTTGCCACCAGGTGAGATTGCCTTGAGCCTCGTGATCTCCCAGCAACTCTCTACGTCTTCTAATTTCCCCCTCAAACTCGTCTTCCCATTTGTTGGGCCATATTGGAACGTTAATAAAATTTTTCGGGCTAAAAGGCATATCGTAATTGATCTGGATTCCCCAGTCCCAGTATATTTTTCTAAACGGATTTTCAACAGGGGCAGACACTAAGACCGTCAGCTGTAAAGTACAATCGGGTGATGAAAGGGTCTGGTATGCGAAAGAGTCATGCACTTACTTGCAGTGTTGAAGCAGCTGGAAACAGCAATGCCGATACCGAAGTCAGTGTAATCCGCCAGCAGAGAACAATCAAAAACAACGAAAGAAGAGAATTCATGTCAGTGCTTCCTGCCTCGGCTCGTTCAAGGGACTGAGTGCCAGACGAGATGCCGCAATGAAGTGCAATCATCTGGGGAACACAATCTCTATTTTAGAGCCTCCTGTGTTAATTGAGTGCTTTGATGCCTGCCGGGCTATTCCCGGTACAATACGACGCTTTCCATTTTTATAACCTAATTAATTTAATTAACATCCCACGTTTGGATTAACAGGTCATTTTAATTTATAGCGCATAACAACAATAAAAATGTCTTTAAATCAATTTTCTGGAGATTGGAGATTCTAATAATTCTAATAAAAATCGAATAAAGAATCAATGATGCAGTAGATTCCCAAAGAAAACAGTAGCCGAAGTTAACAAAAACAAGTTAAAATGCTCTGCCGATATCCGATTATTTAAATATATTTTGACTTCTGTTATAATTATTCAAATTTTTGACCCTCTGTATTGTAGGTTCCTAAGGAATGGGCCAATATTGACAATTTATAATCCAATGCAGATAAAAATATTGGTACGGGCAAATGCGAATGCGAAATTATAAATTCCATATTCATCTCAGTTTTCTGGTTGAGAGAAATATTTAGATATAGCAACTTGTAAAGAATCGCTGACTTGTTACTTGCATGTTATGAAAGATAAAAGTATTGAAAATTGTAAGTCTTTGTGGGGCTGAAATACCAGAAGGTCTTGGCAGATTTCTATCATCTTCACAACAGATTCTGTGTTGGCAAAAATGTTTGTATGTGCGAAATTTGAATAGAGTTGGATGCTTATTTTGCTTTGCTTGAGCGTTTGGTGTTTTCAAAACCTGAACCCTATGTGAGGGAGGTAGCGGAAGAAATGGTCTGATCCCTCTCATCTTTATAACAGATCTTGTGTTGATGGTAATTTTCGCGTTTCATGATCTCCATGGATTTTCAAAATTTTGATCCTTTGATCCATCTTCACACCAGACCTTTAGTTACTAAAATATCGTGATGTGTAATTAAGAGTTATAATTATTCAACCACCCACCGTTGGGGGGTGGGGGTGGGGGTGGTACTTGATGGAGTGGACCGATATTGTCCATTTTCGCACCTGTCCACACACTGATCGAATGTGAGGATATGCAAAGTTGGATCAAAATTGGATTATCCTTCATCTTTCTGTGCAGTAAAGTATTTGTTTGAGAGTGAACCGATATTGCCCATATCCGAACCCGATATAAGTTTGATAATAATATTACGATGCACAAAGTTTGGACCAAATCGGATACTTCCTTCGAGAGTTATCGTGCGCACCAGCCAGGCAGCCGGACGGACGGACGAACATCGCTGATCGACAAATGTCCTGAGAAGGATTTGGTCCAAAGAGACCGCTATTTGGATGAGGCCGTATCAAATGATGTATAACCATATGGCTGAGGGTATAAAAATGTCACTATCAATATAGATAAGAGAACAATTTTTGAAAATAGAAGTCCATATACCCCATTTAATCCACTTATGATATGAATATTACATTGGATAATCTATACCTTTAATTTATAATTATTGGCAAGTTAGAGCCTTTGTAGGTAGGATCAATAATTCAATCTTTAAGCCCAAAATATTAGGAGGAGCTTGGTTTGGCTCAAATTAGTGACTACCTTCTGGCGAAACGATGCCAATTTTAAATGGCTGCAACCTTTTGTGATATTTCCATAGCAAACAAGTAAAAGAGCAGCTAAGTTCAGCTGGGCCATACTTTTAATACCCTCCACCATTTGAAAGGAACTTGAAACATTAAAAAAGAATCCATCGAAAAATATCTCTTAAATTATGACCGTTATTTGAGGGCTATACGAAGACATGGATCTGCATAGATAATTTTTGGTCATAGACTGTAGTAGTGATTCGGAACTTCATATACGAAGTTTGAAACAATTCCGGTGAATAAACCATCCAAACATCGAATATTGGGAAGTACAGTTATGTGGGGGCTTAAAATATGAACTTAAATATCTTGAATTAATTTTCCAGATTTACAAGCTAAAGACAACTTTATTTCAAATAGTTTAACGGCTATTTAAAAATCCCCATATGTTCTTTCCGATTCAGATTTATACAATGTTTCGATAATTGTATTTCCAAAACACCCTTTTTTGGCACCAAAAGCATTACCAATCCCAATCTTTACGATTCTAGCTTCAGCCGGTTTTCTCATCGCTGGAGAAGCAGTCAATACTCAATCCATTTACATCGATTGGATGGTAAACATAACACAATTGACGAGTTTTGATCTGCAGACTGCTACATTTCGGACTCGGATTGGGAATTTTCTGCTGGTTTCGCTAAGTACATTCACATCACTGCATATGTGTCGGTATGCTACAGAACAGACGGTGATCAGCACAGCCTGGAAACAATATGTGCCAAGCTGCGGCTCCATATATGCTGCGCACATAGAATGTGTTTGGGATTGCGCAAAAAGTAAATATCATCTTGGAGATGACACTTCAAACCTGACACTTTAGAGATAATAGCATGTTGCCATACTGCGAACACACAAACCGATTGAAACTAAACACTGCAAGACGGCCACAAATTGTTCAAACTGTTAACACAAGGAGCTTTGATTCCGTCGATTGCAGACCACGATGAGTAAACGCGGAGAATATGATGTTAGACGTGTGGGTTGTATAGCCCTGATGGCGGTTATAGTTGTACTCAATATTCGATTTTCTTCTGCTCGAAATAACTTGCTCAGTCTGCGGAGCGTATGCCCTGAGTCCGCTGGAAATGCCTTCCGGCCAGCAGCGGATCGATCGAAACGTTTCATTACTTACAATGGCGGCGGTATTGTCAAAGTAAGTCGTGTCCCAGACCGATAAATTGCGCGACAATACTTTCTTCTATTTTCAGTTGGTTCTCGGCACATCGTTTCCAATTGTCCTGGCGGACAAGATGCGCTCCCTCAATGTATTCTATAATTTCCAAATGCAATACACCCCACCGCCCATACCGCTGTACTGGTGGAGTCTTTACAACACATCCACATTTGTTGCACGCAAACAGCGTTCCATTGAACGGTTGCGGCAGAGCGATAACAGCCGCAGTCAATTCTATGATTTCATGGATGCAATGTTCCACAGGTAGGTCGTTATGGTGTACCGGCACAGCCACTTGTATTTTTGAAAACAACAAAAACAAAAATCGTTCATTTGTCCTCTCATATCCTCGCAAATTGGGCCGACTTCGGATGCAAACTTGCCTACAGGACGGACAACTCCAGCGGTGATTGTTTATTAAAGGTCATTTGTGAATTGGCACGTGCCCCACTAAGCGAAGATGTTATCCAGCGTCAACAAGACGACCTCCCGACCGCCGACGACGGCGATGATTATGGTCGTAGTATTTTCCATGGACTAATAAATACGATTTTCACGTGAGTCCAGCATGAAGCTGAGCCAAAAATCACTTTTCCCCATCAAATTTTCATTTGCTGACCTATCATTTTTTCCGACGGCATTACCCACCTCTCTCACCTCAGGCCGTATTTTCCAAATGTGTCTGAACGCTATGTGGATGCTGCTAAGGCTGGCGCTAACGGAGCTGGCTGTGACGAATTGTATGGCGAATGTTCGAGTATTGATGAGTGGCTCAAACGTTTAACGATTGTAATGTAAAAAAATAGGGGACAACAACAATAAAAACTTCGCGCTAATTTCGCCAAAAGGCGACAAATATCTGGTTGGTTATTAGTGTATTTTTGTTACTCGACAACCAACAACAACATATGTGTATGGATGTGTTTGTACCAAACCAAATGTGTTTGTTGGTCGGTCGACACATATCACAACTTTGGAGACGTACATTCCTAATAGAGTCCGATGCATATCTGCCTAAACACCGGTTTGAAATAAATTTGATATATTTTATGCGACTTTATTGCACCCCCGTTACAAATTAATGTTGACAAACTGCCGGTTACAGTACACTTAGATTTTTTTTCTTCTGATAACCATGTAATGAGGCACAGAGTGGGCGTTCATACTCGAACTGTAAAATGTGGAGCGGAGTTGGCCTAGCCCGACTATCCCTGTCTGAGTTGTGTTTTTGTAATCAAAGTACAGGTCGAAATTAAATTTAGCACAGCTAATTTGTTAGACAAGGATGCCAAGAACCAAATTGAAACTGTCGATAATCAGCTCAGATTTAGATATAGAACCCAAATATATTATCTTATTTCTATATCTTAAAAAGGGGGAATGTTTGTACGTTAGATTGTCTGTTTGTAATTTATGGACTCAAAAACTGCTAAACAGATTTTTCTGAAAATGTCCATATATACTACAGCATCGCCTGAAAGTTTCAGGTTTGGTTATAGCAACTATGCAGGAGGTTTGGAATATGTGGCAGAATTTGGCCGAAAATTAAATGTTGCCAGTGTTATTGAGGCTACGACCATTGCAGGGAAATATGTAGGTGGTTCATATGTATTGCTATGTAGAATCCCTCTAGCTAGCTAGGAAAGTGTCGTTTAACTTGAAAAAATTGCAGTTTCCTGTACGGTTGGCATTTGCTATGACAATTACCACATTCCAAGGACGAACTCTTCGAGTATAAATTTGGCATGTTCCTACTCTTCTCATGGCTAGCTGTACGTGGACTCTTTATGTGACGATGTTCCTATCGATTTGTTTGCTTACAGTCCAAAAAAATATTGTATATCCTACCAAATGGGGTAGCAAAGCGCACCGGGTTCAGCTAGTAACTTATATATAGGGAAAAATTAAAAAAAAAAGACTTTCTGAACTTTTTGAACCCTCCACCAGGGGAAAACAATAGACCTTTGAAAGGCATATTACCGGGAGTTTGATTTGTAACGAAAAATGCTCCCACTTTATTTGAAAAACAGCGTGAACATATAGACAGGCGGACGTTATGGTAGCCACCTCACCCTCCATTCACGACGCACGTTTTCTTGTCGCAAATGTAATTTACTGACTAACTTTCTTTCGATCACACCAGGTCATTCCATGGTCTGACGTGGAACTTTAAAACGCGATCTAATCAATCTAATTAGCTTCTTCGTCGTTCCTTTAATTCAATTAGCGCTCGAACGGAATATTAGAGAGATTATCAAGAATCGCTCGCAGTTTAATTCTGAACTCCACCGCAGAAGCAAGCTATTTGGTTGGTTTCGATATGTACCACAGTAGCTGGATTATTTTCTTAAAATTGTGTGCCTGTGTCGTTTTGACAATTATCGCCCACGGCAGCTGTAGTTCAACAAATGTGCCAGCTTTGAAAACTCAATTCCACAACAGAATTTTAAAGAGACGAACGCGATCTTTGGTCTTTCCTAAAAAGGCATCGCTACTGCTGACCCCAGTCTTTTCGAAGGCCGTCCTTGGTGGCATACCTCGGGGGCTTATATACTCAATGGAATTCGACATGTACCATCCGCTACCGGACACAGTGGAGGGCTGGCAGCCCACAATACTCTTGAATCAAATTGGGAAGAAACAAAAACTCGATGGAACCCCTTCAAAATTTCCGGGAAACAGCGACAGTGACATGGATTCGAAAACAGTGCCACAAAACGATGATGGCCCTAGTGAAGCTCATCATTTCGTCCCTGTCTACGACGATGTTGAATACGCAACCAGTCCTTGGGCATATTATAATACAAGCATTGCCATTGATCCTAGTCAATTGTTCTCGCATCCTTACATCGAGAGATCATCCGAAGCCCGTTCTCATTTTCGGCAATTTCACAATTTCTTATCCCCTCGCAGAAGAGTAAAGTTTCCTCAGAACAGAGCCGGCGAACGCCACCAACAGTTTGAAGAGGATGATAGGCGGACACTGTGGCATAGGAATCAGAACTATCGCGAAAGAAGGCAAATATTCGATCAACTCGAAAAGCTTGGACAATTATTTCAAATCAATATGAAGTCCTGCATTCAAAGGGCCATGTGTGAAATGACAACCCAACTGCCCCCATTCGGGGAATCCCTTATGCACGACATTATGAGAATAATACTAACGTAAGTAGACGTCTGATCGATATGATTTTCACCAGAAAGTAAACCAGTGTCCGCATTGAATCTTTGCAGTGTTCCGAAACCGTTGAATATCTCAAGCCGCAATGACGACGACGATCTCGATGGCTACGGTCGCGAATATACCAATGCAAACTGTGCACTTAGTTTTTCAGCATCGTGCCCCTACCCCGTGTTACCTTTCCTCATAAAAGGATTCAACCGATAGTTACTGCATCACGAAATAGAACTTTAGTATAATTCCGTACATTTAAATGAACGTACCAAGGCGAATTAAATGAGGTCACACAGGAGACGAATTCAGACCTAACCCTTTTCTGCCTGCAGGCGGTTTTTTCGCGTAAAATCCATTTGTCAACAGTGAATCACCCTTCACTTTGTCACCAGTACTACTGACCGATAAAGTATTGGTTGTATGCGCTAGCCATTCAGAAGTCACTGGTGACATTGTCAATAGTAAGTCAGTAGTTTTTCGGAAGAATACTACGGCATTGGAACTAGTGCGTCAGTAGTTTATTTCACATACAAATTCACATACAAACCCGCCAACATTTGATTTTCTGAAACCAAGAAATTAATTTTAAAACCTAATTACAACAAAGCATTTGGACAGTAATGTGGGTAGTCAGAGGGCTCCCTGTGTGACCTGTTCATAGGTCGCGTGGTACGTACGAACACCGAAATATATTCTCATGGTCAACTTTTTTACTTGAAGCGAAATATCAAAACATTTCAAAATCGTTCTATTGCTCGGCAATTTCACTGAGTTCATGGTATTTAATTCGAATTTCTTAAAGCGCATAAAAGTGGAATTGTTAATTATTTGTAGATACTAACCTTACAGTAAAACTAAAAATAGCTTTCAAATAAGATTGTCTTCTTTTAGTGTCACTAAAGAGCGTGTGTGCCATTTTCAATGATAGAATATAGTACAAGGGACATCTGCAAAACCACTCTGTCCATATGTTACGGGAAAGGAGAAAGAGTAACGGTGTCCACATCATATGACAATCATTACTTAGTTTTTTTTTTTTTTTTTTTTTTTTGATACAGGAAAAATTGCAATAAGGATAATCGCAGTTGATTTTTGCACGTTCTGAAGCAGAGCTTTTAAACGATGTTGTTTATAGCATCGAAAGATAACTTCACTTAACTTATCGGACGGGTGCGTTTCGACAGTACATAGTTTGACAACATCTCTCGAGACTTGAAAAGGCTGTCCGCAGGATGTCTTGAATGCGTTGACGTCTTGCAGGCCATTCCCACTGAGTAAAATAAATCAAACTACTCTCAATATGCCTTGAAATATATGTAGGTAGCTATGTTTGCTGTACTCACTTCGACGTTTGTCTTTAATAAATTCATTATTTTTTTTCTTCAATCCACACGAACAACTTTTTCCAGTAATCGTAAAAATAAAAATTATTTGTTCAAAATTCTTTAGTTTCTTAAATTATTTCAAAATGTCTATTTTATTAAAAAGTAATCGCTCCGTGCTGAAGCGGTGTCCACACTTGTGCCGCGATTTATCTCGTATCGGATGTACCACATACGAAGGCCCACAATGCTCAAAGCAAAAGCTTGAGCAGTTACCGTGTCCTGAAGGAAAGCAAAGCCTGCGAAATTCTCCCGCAGATACCGAAAAGACATCAATTTGGGAAAACCCGGAGTGTTGCACAAATCCGTGTCCCGATTTTTTGCCCCGTTTTGACGAACTCTACTATAAAACGAACAATGAACAAAGGCGCACATACCAACAGACGTGGGTGGAATGTCCCAAAATGCAAATCAAACCGAAAAAGGTGTGTTGCTTTGAGCAGCTGGCTGCTTTGCCGCCACTGGTCAAACGATCGCCCAAACAGAAGCCACAAACAGCATGTCTTCAGAATGGTTCCAAAGTGTGCACGATTAACAACAAAGACAGAAATTGCCCAAAGCTATATATGAGCGGATGTCAAAGTGCCCGAACTATACCAAAATGCAAACGCCAAAGATCTCCTAAACACTGCCAGAAAGAGTGTACGCCCTATCCAAGTTTCTCCGAGTGTTTGAAAGAAGCTACAATGTCGACACATCCCGTTGAGTGTAAATGCTTAAATCTGCCAATGATGTGCGAAGTGTGGTCGGAAATGAGGCGTCGCATGACATTTGTTAAGTAGAACCGTCCATAGAAAGGAGCCGCATTAAAGGGTCCATTAAAAATCTATATATGTATAAATTCGCTTTGAAAAAAAAAATAAAAATTGCAAAGATGATACCACCGAACATGACTTGTTTTCCACAATTTTCACATTCAAATTGTAAGCCATCATTGGACACTGACCTGAATATAAGGGAACGAAAAACCAGCAAAAATATCGAAAACAGCTAACAACCCAACATATGCTCGGTTCCAGAACCCATAAAAGGATAAAAAGTTTTACAGATTCTAGAACAGAGGAATCGGTAGCTACTACTTTCAACATGGCCAAACTTACCAGCGCACACACAATTCCGGTGAATAATGTCGCTAAAATCATCAAAATTCCGAATATCAGGGGTACCGCCCAGACAATCACCATTACGAACTTCAAATACTAAATTTGAAACAATTCCGGTGAATAATGTCGCTAAAATGATCAAAATACCGAATATCGGAAGGTACTTTTATATGGGGGCTACACCAAAACGTGGACCTACATGGCCTATTTTCAATACCAAAAGTCCTGCAGACATAATATAAATTTGAGCAAAATTTTATCAATTCAACAGCTTCGTTCGGAAGCTAGGCTCATTTCCACAGACGGATAGACGAACGGACATCGCTAAATCGACATAGAAGTTTATGTTGATCAAGAATAATAATATATATAATAATATACCCTCCATACAATGGTGGAGGGCATGGCAGAAGAATACAGGTAGATGCATTAAAGCTTGGGAGCATTGACATGTCAAAAAAATTTTGATGTTTTTTCAAATATAAGTAGATTTTTATATATTTTCTTATACTACGTCATTCGGAGGCTATTATAATTCGCGTTTTTGAACAATTTTTACAAATTTTAATAATTTTTCATTCAACATTTTCAATTCCAAAATTGGTTTGACAGTTCATTGTCCCAGCAGCTGTGTCGACGAGTCTACCTATATTCTTCTACCATGGGTGGAGGGTATAAAAATTAAAATCATATGGTACCATAGCCCTACCTTGATGTTATTGTACCATGATTGCACGTATCAGCAAACCCCAGCTGATTTGACTCTATAATAATACTAGTGTTTATATTTCAATTGTAGACGTTTTAATATTCAATTCCACTTCTTGATATGCAATAAGTACAAACTTTTTTATATAAAATTTCTCTGCCGTTCAATGTGAACATTTATTGCCTAATAACAGAAAATAGAAGTGTTGAGAGATTTGGATCTACAGCTTACAACAATACATTCAGGGGAATGATATGAATGCATGAAAATTAAATATTTTAAGAACAATCCTTCTGCATTTCCAATTTAATAATCCAAATTCCAAAAATTGTTTTTTAAAATTATTTATTTGACAACATTTCAATTTCAAAGTTTATATTTATAAATCTATTGTATACACAGAAATCAGAGGTGAAACCTGTTTTTATTCTATGAAATGAGGAGATGGATAGTCTTATTTGAAATGACTCTACCTTCTTTATTGTACCATGGGTGTATGTATTTATTGTTTTTGAAAAATAAAAACAAAAAATTTTCGAAATCAATTATTGCAAGACTTACGAAGCAGTTCTACCTCCTAAATGTACCATGTTTTTTTGCTATCTTTATACCGAATCTCGATTCGGACAAGAAAGTGGACACTAAGCGTTTTCGATCATTTTTTGCACTTAGAAGCATTCAGCTCTTGGTTAGAATATCGCAGGGTACAATAAGGAGATAGAACAGCTTCGTTGAACTACCGAGATACAGCCCTGAGACTCATTCAAAATTATATACAAGTTGAAAATATTTGGTTTTCATTTTTCAAAACAATAAATACATAGGGTAAGTGTACCAGTAGTCGGCACCTTTAGGATTTTCGCGTTTTTAATCGCTCACAATTCTGAATGGAAATTTTCAATTATTACAAAGTTAATTTATTCAGATTCGAAATTTTGTTTAGTTTTTGCAATAATAAATAAAGTTTTAATAACTTTTTATTAAATTTCATAAATTTGTAGTTTTATTAAAACAATGCTTTTTTGCCAGTAGTCGGCACCACTTGCCAATTGTCGGTATGGCATGTTCCAACAGTCGGCATACCAATTTTGTTGTAAGCATAATTAATAATAATAATAAATTAATTCATTAAAATATAATATTTTTGTTTTGTTAAACTTTTTCGACGTCTTTATTGTACTTTTCTTAGGAATATGGATTGTTGAGGACGTTCACAGACAAAAATGTAATTTTTATTAGAATAAATCATCTTTTCTTACCGAAATTGTACACAAAGATAGCTGACAATATGTTTGAAGTAAACAAAATACATTTAGTTATAATAGTTTAATTTTTTTGGGCTTAAAAATAAAAAGTGCCGACTACTGGCACATGCCGAACTTAGGCACACTTACCCTACACAAAATTGGCAGAAGTCGGGCACACTTAGTTTATGTACCCTCATCTTAAGCATTTAGGAAATTTAAAAAAAAATTAAATGTTAAGCCAAAAACAAAAAATAAGTACCGAAAAAGTTAAATTGGAACCATGGTATGGTTCCAAATTTTAAGTAGGAAACTTAGTTCTTTAATTTTTGTTTTTTTTTTTTTCAATTCGTAACTAACGGTCAAAATGACTAGTTTCTATCATGGTGCGATAAGGAAGCCAAACAGATTCCTAAGCTACTGAAATACAGTTCCGATGCTTTGCCCACTCTCTACCAAACAAAATTGTCCTATTTCAGATCTGAAACAATTGGTCTGTTCCAAACCTGCAAGAATGTAAAAGTTTTTATAGGCATTTCGTCCGATAATATCGATAGAAATCAATCGATATCCCTTTGTAAAAAAGCATAAGTCGAACAATCGACTATGAATAGTCGAGTACTCGGGTTTGACCCAAGTCCATAGTCGAGTTTGAGTTTCAGAACTTTGAGTACTCAGAGTCGGTTATTCGATAAATAGGAAGTCGACTTACCTATCCCTAATCAAAATTAGTTAGTAATTAGTTCGTCATTATTTTATACAGCTTTGTTAGTTACCTATTGTATGTGGAATATGATATGAAATAATCATTTATTGTATAAAAATCGGATCGGTTTTAAATTAATTAATTGTGTGCCTTCGTATGGAGTGGCAGTTCATATCGTAGATTTGTCAGGACTGGTCAACAAAAAAAACTTAAAAATCCTAAAAAATGGGCGACCTTATAAAAGAATTTGATAATCCAAACTTTAGCGTCGAAAGGTGTAAGTATTTGCTGGATATAACGATAAAGAGATGAGTTTTGAAATCAAATTATATTTTCGTTTAGATACCAAACAACTGGTCAAGGAGTGTGTTGGGGGACCCGATCTCCAAAAAAAGAAGAAGGAAATTCAAGCGTATAGCGACAAGACCTCAGCCACTCTAAAGAGGTCTGTGTATGCCAATTACATGCAATTTATTGAGACAGCCAAGGAAATATCAAGTAAGTGTGTGCTATATTGACTTTCGAAAAGGCGTGCACTCCTGTCTTCTTTTTTAAATTTACAGATCTCGAATCGGAAATGACTCAATTGTCTCTGCTGCTACATGAACAGCACAATATTTTGGCTTCTTTGACAGATGGAGCTGCTGCAAAGACTGGAGAGGATAACGACAAAGAATTCCATAATGAAGAGGAAGCGGAAAATATGCATGCCACCAGAGCTGTAAAGGAGATGGTGCAAGGTTTCAATGGCAATTTAGAAGGAAAAACTTTTTTATGTGAAGGGGCCTTGACAGAATTGGATAGTAATGACTATCGTCCTGTGCAGAGAGTATTTTTCTTTCTATTTAATGACGTTTTGATTGTATGCAAAGTGAAACACGATAAGTACGTTTTTGTCAGTGGATTTGGGCCAAATTGAGTCTACAACAGGCTGTCGGAAAAATCTGATATCTTTTTTTCGCCGGAGGGTAATTCCTACTTCAATCGTGTTGGGTTTAACAGTTTTATTCCCCCCAACACATTCAAAGCTATTTAAATTTCATATTATTTTGTATATTACCGCAGTATAACATTATTTTTTCTCAGGGAAATCATTACACACAATCATTTCCCCCCCTTCCCCCTCTGCAAAAACATGTTGCAATCAGATTAAAAAGATCCATCTTCAATTTTTTCCGATGGCTAGGTATAAACTCAATTTAAGTCGCGTTTTTTATTTTAGTAGTTCTATTGCTTTTCAAATCTAGACGTCTTGAATTCATTTCTGAATATGACCCGAAAAAAATTGCTGTAATCAACATCAAGGATCTGAATGGCGTTAAGAACGCTATAAACATAATAACTCCTGATGGTTCTAAGATATATCAAAGTATAACTCCAGCTGGCAAAACCGAGTGGATTGAACAATTTGAAGTAGCTTTCAGATGGGACCAACAGCAGAAAAAACCTAAGAAAGGTCCGGCTCCGCAACCACCAAAGCCAAATAATTCCAATAATCTTACTGTAGATATAAGTCCAACAGACTCACAATCAGCTGTAGTAAGAAAAGAAGAAAATATGGCCCCGGACTGGATTCATTCTGCCACCGATGAAATAGAAACATTCATAGCTCAGCGTCATTTCGAAGATGCTGAGTCTCTGATTAAACGCTGCAAAGATTTTCTCCAACAAAGCAAAACCTTTGTTGGAGTTGTTGAAATCGAGGAAAAGGTCATGCAGTTGGAGAGGCAATTGGCGGATGTTCTGCTGCAAGAGCTATCAAAGTGTCATGCACGAAATTTGGAAGTCGCCCTAAGGTCAACTAGGCGCTGTCTTCAAATTCTTGTAAATATGGGCAAGGCCCGTCAAGCGAGCGGTACACTGTTAAAGGTTTGCTCTATAGGGTTAAGAACGGCACAAAAAGAAGCCCGTAAAAATAATGCCAAAATATCTGAGTTGTTCTTTTGCGATTTAGCCCAAGTCGCTTGTGCATTTTTATTGTCATTTGAATCACAGCCCGCATGCGTAAGTGGTGAGTTGCAATTAACACATTTCTACTCGAGACGTGAACGTTAATTTTGTTGCAAATTCTAGCACTCGTTGTTTGGTGTAACGCAGAACTGCAATATTTCGCAAGTCAGTTAAAGAAACACTATTTGACTAAAGGAAGTCACTTGGAATCGATTGCAAAATGTGTTGAAGGAGTACGCAAACCATGTGCGAAGCTAACAGAAATTGGATTAGATCTCTCCTATCACCTTGAAGGACTACTTCGAGCAGATCTCGAAGACTTAATAAACGAATCCCGATTACGACTTTTAGAGACGGTTGGTCGCACGGATGACCCTTGGCAACCGTTCAATTTGCATACAAAGTCGAACTTGAAGCGTTTGTTACTAGAACTTGAAGTTCTCGGAATTGATATGCGACCCCACACAACTGGAGACACGTGGATCAACCTAACACAATCTACTTTGAATTTCACACGCCACTACTTGCAATTGACAAATCATTGCGCTTATCTGGCTAAAAGTGAAGCACTATCCAAATCTTGTCAGGTTCTATTGAGAGATCTAATCATTGCCCAACACTCCCTGAAACCTGACGCCAATCTTAGCGTAGATGTAAGTGTAATTTCTGCCAGCCACATATTAGCCTGCATTTATTTTTATTAACTTTTCATTTTGTATAGCCAAATTTCGTTGCAAAAAATAAGCAGTTCTTATGCGAGGAGCTCCTTCCAATAGCAATTTCCATTTTTCGTCGTATTAGTGGCAGTAACCCAGATATACTTCGAACTATTGGTATAATTCGGCAACAGCAGGCAGCCCCCATCCCAAAAAAACGAAGTGTCTATCAAACAGATGTATTTTAGTTCCACCAAAAACATAGCGTATGTGTACATTTAAATCCACGTATTTTAATGAATGCTACACAAAACAAGGCTTCTGTACGAAAATGTGAAATTGATTTTTTAATGTATTTATTGAGTTTTCATTCCCGTTTATCTCCATATTTGTATGTAAAATTTGATTGAATTCCTCCAAGTATTTATTTATGTCTGTTATATATGATGACTTAACAATATATCAATATATATTAAACTAAATCGACTTTTGTATTAATAATCGGCCCAATTACGGTTGCCGTTTGTATAGTCGTCGTCGACGATATGTGCAAGTCGCCATCGCCGTCGCTTCGATTAAAAAATGGGATAACGGTAAGGCATAGAAGCGACATCGACATTTTAAAAAAAGTTAGCAGCGCTTCCTTGTTGTTCACAAAAAAGAAACAAGCATTTTTTGCTGCGGCGAGTGCAGCAAAAAAACATATTTGCTTTGCATGACTTAATATGTACTTAATGTGTTCTTTTAGATTTTTAAATTACTTCAGAATTAACATGGACTGCTTTCAGACTGTGATAAAAGAAATTTCGCCAAAGGTGCATTGGCTCTGAGGCATCAAATTAAATTTGCCGGCTTAACTTTAGTTTGGCAAAAACAATTAAATTTCTTTGAAATTTTTTCTAGTGGTAGGTATTTACCCTGATTCCGGGGAATTATTATTATTTTTTTTTTTTTTTTTTTTTTTGGGACGGACCCGATAATAGGTTTTTGGGGGTCAAAAACAACAAAAACAAAATTGATGCCTAATTATAGCTGACACTCTTACATGCATTTCCAAAATGCTACAATTTGTTCTAATACCTTTGCTGGGTGCAGAGATATTATCTTCTTGTGGATAGGATAGGTATTTTCATAAGGTAAATGGATCCGGGACTTTCGAGTCAATTATCTGGGGAATCATAGTAATAGTTTACCAGAAGCAGGGTAAAAATACCTACCCCTGGAAAAAATCGAAAATATCGGAGAGTTTTTACTAGAGTTGTTACAATTGGCCACAGCATTGAAGTTTTTAGCGCTTGGATCTTAGTAGACCAGTGTCGGAAATGACTTCAATATTTCCAAATTGTTTGGCTGTTTTTGTATTCATGGTCAAATACAAAATGAAAATATCAACGTGGACTAAAAAATACAATGTCGTCACAATTTTTTACGGCGACAGATATTCTTTTAAAACAACGACTGTTGTATCGACAATGATAATAGCACTCATTCATCGCTATCGACAACCCTAATACCGTTATTGTCTCCTCGACTTCATTTTGCGACGACGACAACCGCAATAGGGCGGAATATATATTTTTTATATGGTTCCAAGAGAAGATATTCTTGCATAGTGCCGTTTGAATCTGGAGGGTCGTAGTGAGGTAAGTACTTGGGAGATTTACACAACTCCTGCGTCTCTAAAACAAATATATTTATTTTTAACAATTCAATTTGAATGTTTGTTAGTTTGTTTAATACGATCACATAGAAAATAAGGAGGAGACGATTTCAGGGTCCTAGTCTTCTCAAAGCCATCGTCGTTGTCGAAACCGACGACTGCTATTGACAATAAACTTAGTAGTTTTGCACTATTGTGGTTGAACTTTCCTTCCGTTTCCCGAATAAGAATATAGTACAATGAGGTGTCAAAACATTTTTACAATTCTAAATTTTGAATCAAAAATTATTTAAACCAGTTCCGAATAAGAATATAGTACAATGAGCTGTCAAAACATTTTTACAATTCTAAATTTTGAATCAAAAATTATTTAAACCAGTGAAATTTGTGAAGAATAACATACCATACAAACCTGTGGACGGTATCGTATAAGAAAATATTTTCAAATCTATTTATTTTTGCAGATATTTTTAGTGTTGATGCATCTACCTATATTCTTCTGCCATGGATTATTATGAAAAGTAGTCGTGAAGATTTTGTATATAAACGAGCTTTTATTTCCAAAACTCGGTAAGGTGCACAATTTGGCAAAGGTGACAACAAAAGAGTAGACATGCCATTGACATAATATACTTTCAATAAAGATCTGTACATTCCCGAAGCAATCCTGATATTCGCCACTATTATGACAAAAGGATTTATATCAATTGTTTTTTACTCCTGTCGTTACCAGTAAATAATGATAAGTAATTATCTTTAATTAGAAGGTGAAAAGTTGACTTGTCCGATTAATACGAAGCCATGTCACGCAAACCGTTAGGCCGAATGAAAGTTCCTTTTCGATCAACACTGTATGTTACTAGCGATATACTGTCATCACAAGGAGTAATCCCTTTTGCTATTTAATTCAATTTATGTTTTTCCTTCATTCCCAAACGAAAAACGTCTAAAACACACATTTCATTTGATTACACATAGGTTTGTTGTTTTATTTGTATCATCTCGTTATTATTGTATATTATAATTAAATTTAGATCTTCTCTTCTATATTTCATAAATGGATTTTCTTTTAAAATTAAATTTATTATATAATTATATACATAGATAACCACATGAATTTAAACAGTTTATTACTTATTTCGTATCATCATGCATATTCTTATTTTCGCTTCATGCTTGGGTTCGGGGGTTCTCAATTTCCGCTGGTGTCTCCTACTCCTACACATTCTCAGTAAATACATTGTCAATTTATTACTTATGTTTCCCATCTTAAAACTCTCATTGCTTCATTGCCAAATCAAAAAAGAAAAGGTTTAGAAAAGATACTGTAGCTACAGCTCTGTAAGATGGTAAAAACAAAAAGAGAAACGCACATAAGTTTGTGGAAGTTTTGGGTGCGTTTGACACAAGAGACAACAGTGGAAAACCCAACGAGAATCGTAAACAATATTGGCGCTATAAGAAGAAACAAAAGTTTTTAACCAAACACAGATGGGTGACATATATATTTCTCTTTTTCTTTAAAGTTAATTTGGAAAATAAAATTACATCGCACAACGCTTTTATTTTGTTCTTAATGTATGAAGAGAAACATTCCTCAAACTTATATGTATATATATGTGGCTTTCTAATTATAGACTATCATCTACAGTATTTGCATTTTCCTTACACGTAGGAAGAGGTGAAAATGTAATTTAGTAAATCGACAAGTTTGAAGGAAGGGGTAGTGAATAAAAGAAAAAAAAAAACAAAGTGTTCCGTGGATGTGCTACATTTTGCATCTTGAGTGTAGGGACAGTAATCTATGTATGTTCGTGTACACCTATTTCTACGTCCTATTTATATTTAAATATGATTTCAATGAAATATTTTCATTAGCTTGATTTTGGGTTTTTTGTTTGTTTTCCATTTTGTTTTACATTAAAACGAACATTAAGATACTTCTCGCCAGCCTGCGTCATTCATCATTGTATGTTTCAAATTACAAAACTTAAACGTTACTTTTTAAGACCACGCATTCAGCATTGAACTTGGTCACAGTTATGTACTTCACTCATTCTGAATGGTGTGGGACTTAGTAGTAGAGCGTATTGTATATTATAATTTGGTTGCATGTATACATATGAGGGAGAGTCGTATCAAAGTTCCGCAAGTTGATCTAATGAAAATTGGTAATGTTGCTCCTTTTCTTTATGTTTAAAACTTTATTTTATGTGTGTGCTTTAAAATTACGTTACAAAATTAAGAGTAAAAGTAGAAAGATTTTTAACAATATAAACTGCAATGAAATATAACTGAGAGCATTGGTTTCCTTCAAAGAAAAAATAAAACAAATTCTCTAAGGAGGTCAGTTTGTCTGTTTCAACATTGATTTTTTTCGGTTTTTAAATCTATATTTATAAGTAAATTAAAATGTTTTTTCTTTCGTGACATTTTACGTGAATTTTCAACTCAATCATTACGAAATGAGTAAGCAAATTTCGATTATGTGACATTTGCTGTTTTTATTACTGCTTCTGTTTTTATTACTGTTTTTAATTATACACAGACAAGGGATTGCGGATTTCGTTTTGCAATATGTTTAAACTTTGCTTTTGTTTTTGTGTTATTAAAGACTTAAAGTACTGCACTTAAGAGCTAAGAAAGAATTGTTTTATATGTATGTATATTTATAATCAAAATGTTTTTATGTTGATGCTTATACTTTCGCGTTTTTATGTGTATTTTATAAATGGATGTTGATTTTGATGTGAATGTATGTAACGTTGTTGTTGTTGTTTCTTCACTTTACATTCATTCTAGTGTCATTGACTGCAATAGCTAGCTGTCCCAGTGATAGTTGTGTATCTTCGAGCGTCCTAGTACTCGAATGAAACTGAAATCAATCAACATCAAATGATCCGAAGAATACAAAAAAGTGAATTACAAAAGACACAATTTGAAATTGAAGACCACAGGTCGTGTAGGTATGTGCATGCTGCTATTGGAGAAGAATTTTTTCATTTAGTACATTACTTCGTAAACTGTGGCCTTTTTGTCTCCGGATCCCGTCACGATGTACTTGTCGTCGGTTGATATGTCGCAGCTAAGTACTGAGGATGTTTCCTTTGACTTTGAAAGCAAAAAAAAAAAACGTTAATATTTCTGAACTTTAGGAGGGGCTCATTATGAATTACCTGGAATATGCTTGCTCCATAAGGTGTTCTCCAAGCATTGAGTAAGTTATCCTTGCCTGTGGACACAAACCATTTGCCACAGGTGGCAAAACGCAATGACAACACACAGCTTTCGTGCAAATGTAATTGGTATTTGTCCGGTTTTGATGCGTGCAGAACCTCGACATGTGAATTTTCCATACCAACTGCCAGCCAGTCTCCTATAATAGTAGATTTATTTTGCAAAATGCTGTCAAAAGAAGCTTTCCGATATGCATACCTGAGGGACAATATCCCAATGAGAAAATCTGTGAACTGAAATCATGTTGTTGTAACTGGCGGCCTTCTCGCAAGTCCCATGAACGAACGGTATTGTCAAGACCACCGGTCCACAATCGGGTACCGTCTGGGCTAATGTCAATACAAGACGCACCATCTGTATGACCTTGGAATTGGCGTACCAATATTTCGTTGTGCAAGTCCCAAACAGCTATGTGGCCATCGCTGCAACACGAGAAGCAAACCTTCGAATCCGGACTAATTGCCAGGGCATAACAAGCTGGGGCAGATGATGTTAATTCAGCTTTAATTCTGGGAGTGGGGCTGGCAAGATCCCAAATGGATAGATTTGACGCCTCTCCACCTACAATTAATGTTCTTCCATCGGGCAGTAGTTTTACTGATCGAATATAGTTGTCGCGTTGCAAGCAATCCAGCTGACTAATTGGACTCTTATTACCAGGCTGCGATATATCCCACACTTTCACGCAGCCTTTGCCGCCGGTGTACACATATTTTGTGGGGTTTGAAATGGTGACTGCGCAAACAACTTCTCCATGTGACAACATGTTTATTTGGCGTGCATGTCTGGGTATTCCGACACCCACCAAGGCGTCTGGAGGGAAGGGAACGGGTTGTAGACTACCTTCACCATTCATATGGAAGGAATAAGCACTGCAATTAAAATTAAGTGAATTGAAATAAATGTTATCGTCAACTCCAACAAATTAAAAAATCTTACGGCTTTCCACCGGTAAGCGCAGTCGGATGTGGAATGCCATTGGTTCTAACGTGCGCATGTGGATCGTATGGTAGAGGCGGTGGCCTTCCGTAAGCCGGATCGGAGGGTGGTCTCTGGTATGGGTCGGCTGGTCGCTGATATGGGGACGCTGGATAGCCAGCCGGCGGAGGACCTCCTTGCGGCATCATTTGTTTGGGATTAACGCCCTGTGCTGGCGGCGCTGCGTTGGGCGTTGGAGTGCGTGCTTTTGCACCTGGAGTACCAGGCTTATCCATCTGAATTAAAAATTAAACAAGTTATTAATATTCACGAAACATGCTACAGCACGTGTGCTTACATCTTTTGTCTTAAGGCTGGGCGTTGATCGTGACGAGCTTGAGCCTGAGCGTGAAGGTGGTCTCTCTGATGGTGGTTTCACACCGCTGCTACCCGGTTTATCCAACCGTTCTCCATTCAAACTTTCTCGGTCTCTACCCTCCATGGACAAGTGCTCGCCATTTGGCCGAGGAGAATGTGATTCCTAAAACAGGACAAATATTAAGAGCATTGTTACAAGGGCATTGCAATAAGAATCCTCTATTCCGTCATCTAAATGACAGTGAGATGTTGGACAAAAAACTTTCATATCAACATAACCATTATAGGAGCAGTGATGTTATACAATGAAACTCAACTCACCATTTCATTTGCAACATCTACGACTAAATCTTGATCGCTTTTCTCTCCTTCATCCTCCTGGAAAAATTTTGAAAAATAAAATAAAATTGTTAACAAGCGAGCACTTTGACATTACGCACGACAATATTCTCAACAAAACATAAGCAAACAAAAAGCTAACTTAAAATTTAATTACACTATGTGGGGATTATTCGTAGGAAGTCGGGAGCAAAGAGGAAGTGTTTCCACTTGTTATACACAAGAATTCATAGGATTAAAGAGAGGCGGGCCTCTAGGCTGACAGTGTGAGACTGCTAATTTTAGAAACTCGCAAAATAAATATGACTACATTTTACAATAAGCTACACAACTATTAATTAGATTGGAGTGAAGTAGATAGGCGGGGAAAGGAGAGAAAGTAAGTGAGAGCAAGCAAATCCTGGTCTTTCGTAAATTTCAGGCATAATCCCCTTTTACATTCTAGTTGGTGAGTTGAGCTTTTTCATATATTCATTCATCTTCTGTCGTCAACGCCGAGACAGCAGATATGAAATAGTATTTAGATACAGGATGTGTACTCACCAGTTTTTCTTGCTTGGGACGTTTAGAGTCATTTTCGATATCAAGTGGAGAGCGTGTGCGATATTTTTCACGATCTGCTGGGGAAACCGAATTTCGCTGCAATAAAAAAGAAAAGTTATTTAAGATTTTTTGTTTTTGTCGAGTACGTACCAGTCGTTCTTCAGCACTTGCCGGTCCTTCCAATCCCGTTGGTTTAATGTCTGGTCTGTGATGTTCTGGTGGTGCCTTTAACAAACCCTGTGGTCCATGTGGTAAGCCCATAGATGCACCCAAAGCACCAAATGGTCCTCCAAGTGGCCCTAAAGCACCCATTGGCTGCGGTGGTCCCCCCGGTACCTGCTGCACATGAATTTGTTGCTATTGAGGACAAAAACAAAAAAAATCAATGTTGATTGTGTTTACCTAACTATGAAAAATGATGTAAAAATGGGAACACTGGGAACACGTAATGCAAAATAACTTCTTGTTGGAAAGCTCACAGGATATATCAACATAATGGTGTCGTTAAAATGGACATTTAATGTAGTATTTAGATTTGACAGCAGATAACAAAACAATTAAGCAGTACAAAATGTATTGTGATGTTTCACATCGAGAACGAATAAATAAATGATGTAGAATGCAGTACGCAAACGCAATTGAAAACAAAAGGCGATTATGGTTTGCTGATTCTTAGAGCCGAAACGGATGCACAGTCAATTAATAACGAAAAACAGGCAAGAATACTTATCAATGGATGTGAACTTACAAAAAATTGCTGCAATCCCTGCTGATGTTGCTGCTACATTTTGCAAATTTTGTTGTGAGGTGCAACCCATATCAAACACACGTATTCGGAAAAACAAATGAAACAAACTATTACTCGGAGTTTAAAAAAAATAATAAAAACTTAAAACAAAACATAAATGTTTATCTGCTGTCAAACCGATTCAGGCTTCCATATCAATATCTAATCTAATGACATTGACATTTTCTCATTTTTAACAGCATGTATCGCCAAATTACAGAAGGGATGGTATGTAGGTAACACCTGTTTTAAAATGTTAATAGTACTTTCAACTTACCCCAATGATAAGATTTAAATCCTGCATCGTGACTTGCTTCGCACGTTCTACCGCCTGCAAGACTTGTTGCTGGTGATCGGCTTGTAAAAAGGGCAGCAGTTGGTTAATAAGTGTGTTCAAGCGTTTTGCAATTTCCGTCTAGAAAAAATAAATTAAACGGATTATCTTTTCAGAAGTTGTTGGTATTTTAATCTCTCTGTATAAGCTACCTGTTTATGCATTTCGACATTTAGCCCGTAAGACATTTCATAGTACTGGAAAATAATAATATACATTAAAATGTAATGAACATTAAAGAGCATATGTGGGAACGTACCATCACATAATGACGTTGCATTTCGGTCTTCTCATTAGCCAATTTTTCACACTCTAGTTTTAGTCTGTAAATAAAATTAAAATTATGTCAATCAATTTCATAGCTTAAAATAAAAAACTTACTATCATTATTTGTTTATTTAAAATTTAAGTGAATGAGTTCTATACCCTACAACACTATATTGTGATGTGTTTCATAAGTTTGTTTGGACCTATGCCTGGAATTATTAGTCCTTGTAGGATACCGATCATGATATCTTGGCGTGCTGAATCGATCTATCTATATGACCAGATTTTGACAAAATTTTCCATTCAGTTAGAATGGAAGCCTACTAAAATTGATGATGATTTCAAAACATTTAGGAAATGAAATGGAGGAAAAACAGAAACTCGTGCCCAAATTATGCAGTCATTCACAAGCTTTTGTTTTTGTTGCAACATAATTCCGGAGCACAGCGAAAACAATTTTTTTGGTGTTATTTTAATCATTTTTTTAAATGTCTCGAGCAATTCTAGTCAAAAGGGTAAGACGCTGTCGGAATTTTTTCCCATTCTAATAATGCCTTTCGTTTAAAAGTTTTGAATCATGTCCTGTATCCTGGTATTCATCCCATTTAGTTTCGTTGTTTTGAGCTTTTATTATCTTCGTTTTACCCTTTTTTAATGGTTTAATTTTCTTTATAGTCAAATTTATGGTTACCTTCCTTAAAAAAAAAAAAAAAATAAAATTATTTGCTTGTTGTTGGTTATGATGCCCCTATTGATTCATTTTTTTACTTTTGATTTTCTTTCTGTAGTTTTGGCTGGGGAGCCTTTTATATCTTGATTTTAAATAATGTGATAGTTTTTTATAAGTTATTTTTATTTTTTCTACTTGGTATTGAGTACCTTATTAATACAATTAATTGGCCTTGGAGGCTTTAGTATTAAGTATGAATTAAATAAATAAATAAATAAATAAATAAATTCGACATCTGTTTCGGCCTCCGTCATGCTACCAGAAACGCATAGCCTGAGGGCTTATATCGCACGTTTTTTCCGCACCAAGTCTTTTCTAATAATTAAATTGTAATTTATTTATTCTATATTATGGAGTATGATTTGTGTTTTGACCAGTGTTTTAAGACACACAAAACACTGGTACACTGATACTCAAACCCAAAGTGTATTGCAGTACATTCAAATGCATTACAAGTTAAACAATAAAAACCCACTATTTTGGGGGCATATGTTTTCAAGAGATTTGTTTTACTTTTATGCTTTTGGTAATGCAAAAGCATAAAATTTATTTCAATACCTGGTCATAGGCCCATGGACGATTCCAAAAACAACTATACACGACTACTCCAAAAACCAATTTCAAATAATAATATCCACCTCTCTTCTTAATTCTAAGATGGTTTTTACTTAGTTATATAATTAGTTTTATTAGTTTTATAATATTAATTAGAAGGTTGCGCAGAACAACACAACCCTGAAGTAGTCTAGTAACTTTAAATTATTGTATTATAATAAATTAATAAATTTATTAAATAAAACTAAATGAGCTCGAAGTATTTAGGCATTTGATGTTATTTAATACGCATAACGTATACACGACTTTGATAAAAATTTATTTAAAATCAACCTAAAGATCCATAAGAATTATATTACAAGAACGACCTCTAGCTCAATTAAATTTATTAACTAAACAATTAGAATAAAAAAGACAAGAAACAACTCTCCAAAGAAAATAAAAAGGATTAATTATTGTTTGCATTGCTCAACTAAATTTGTTACCAAGGTGGTGATATAAATATAAAGACATTACTAAAGGAAATTGGAAATACAAAGAAAACAAAAACTTATACTATTAAAAGTGGCCAAAATTTCGCTCAGAACAACCTATAACTCTGAAATCCATAAGCAAAAAAAAAACGGAAAAAAATCACTCCACAACTATGGACCCAGATACACTCACCTCGAGAAATAACAAAATAAAAATCAAATAACCCAAATATGAGTTATTTTCACAGCTCGTACTTTTATTAATTTTTATACTAATACACACGATTTGAACTGGAAATTTGAGTAAAAAGTTGCTTAAGTTATATATAAAACAAAAGGACTTCAAATTTTGCACCAATTTATTCAACAGAAGGTACGAAAATGCCACATTCGCTTTGTCATTTTCACTAATTATTACTGATTACATCTCTCAAAGGGCAAAGCGAGAAAACATCCAACGTACGGACAATGGAGGTTCGAACCTGGATATTGGATATCAGTATGCACTTTGAGGTCCAATCTGCTATCAAAAACAACTTCCAAACACATTAAATCTTTAGATCAGCATTTTTGCATGATTATTTTAAACTACTGCCTTCGTCTTAACTTTGTTAATAGAAAGGCCATTTGTAGATATCCACTGTGAAAGTGAATTCATATTGGAATTCACTAAGATATCTTATTTTGAAACGCATTCACTTGGAAATACACATAGATATCATCCGTGTATACACATATTTTGCATCTCCAAAAGAAATATAGTCAACAATATAATTAGTTAAAAATATTAATTGCAATGGATTCTTTAAAAGTTTCACCAACTATCATTGTCCTTGTGTATTTCGTCAATGTGGCCGTACGAAACACTTTACCATCCATAGTGCAAGGTTAATCAGCACGAGTTTTTCAATGTATATAGGCTGGTATAGGACTTGAGGCTAATCTGCTTTTTGAAACACAGTGTCATCATTAAATCCTAGCCCGAAAAAAAAACAAAACAAAATCTCATCTTTATTTTGTTCTGATGACACTGCTCCATCTTCGTTCTCTATTTGAGAAAGAGTAAGCAGTGTAGAGCCAAAACATAATAAACTGGTTTTGGATGCTGCTGATGATTGATATTATGCTGTTTCTTTTCTCCATTAAGAGCCACAGCAAGAGCTACAGCAAAATCAACAAAAGTAAATCATAAAAGAGCCTTTAAGAAACAATTATAGGTTCTCAGTTCGCGCCATGTGTGCATGTTGTGTGGACGGGAGCGAATGGGTGTGTGTGTTTGTGAGCTCTGTACATGTGTAGTTAGTTATTTACCCGACATTCGTGTTTTTCAAAACATCATGACCATTTCATCAGATGGCAAGAAGTGCTTTGCTTTCGGTTGTATCATATGAAGACTGTGGTCAGAAGTGTGTGTTTGGTCTGATTTGGTTTCGCTTTACTTTATTGTTCTTCTTCAACTTCTCGTCTCTCTTTGTGGATAGTACGTGAGTGATATGAACAGAAAAATATATGTGTGTGAGTGCGCCAAATAATTGTCCCTACACAAAAGATCCTTAATATTCTGACAGAGAAGAACCATCGCCAATAACAACACACACATACAAACTCACATTTGACACAGTTTTCTTTGAACCGAACCTTTTGGCACAACAAAATCTAAGAAACCTACAAAGAGGAAGGCAAGTGCGAAATACTTGTTTTGTGTCTAAGGGCTTGAGTGGATTATGTTGTGTTAATATTGTGAAAAAGAATGATCTTCGCAGTAGAAAACTTCTGATTTTTTTGTGAGAAGTAGTTATTTCACATAACCCAGTTACAACTTGATGTAAAAAATCACGCCTTTTGAAAACTATTCAAAATATATCCTGTACTGGAACGGAAAAAATATTATACTAATATGTTTATGCTCAAATTAGTATTAATTATTCCGTTCTTTTGGTTTACGCCGATAAATATATTTTTTACATATATAATTTTTTTTTTTAAAAATTTGTCAAGATGAAACATTTGTGGTAAAAGAAAATGTTATGTTAATCTAAACTCATCCGCTTTAGATATGAAAAATAATTAAAGGTAGTGCTTTTATTTCAAGATTACTTACGTGTGATACTGAGCCTGCAAAAAATTGAATTCTTCTTTGATGCGCTCCAATGTGTCCACTATAGTAAATTTAAGAGGTCCTTGAGGTGGCGGGCCCTGTTTGTTGAGGTATTCATAGTTCATCACGGAAAGGGTGTGTTTTGGTAGATGAGAAAACGTAACGTAAACACACGCACACACATGAAAAACGTGAAAGGGAAAATCGCAAGTTATAAATCTAGACTCAAGTTGTTGGGAAATTAAATGTGATTTAGATTTTTACATGAATGGGTGGCAGAGTGGGAGTTGGGGTAGTGTGACTAGCAGTAGATGAGTGGGTGCTGAGGTGAAGTGAGTGAGTTTTTACCGTTTGCATATCACTTACCCCCGCCGAAGGGTGCCTCACCGGTGTAGGATACATTTTTCCGCTTCTGTGGAGCTATATTTTCTACAATCTTGTGGTATTAGTTTTGTGACGGCAAGTATTTTTCACAAAAGGGTGCTGTCCCCTGTTGTATAGTGTAACAGGAAGCACACAAATAAAAATGTTCTCTGTGAGGGGGCAACGGAGACGTCTCAAACAATCTGTAAAAAAAAATTGTTTAACAACACGCCAGCAATCCTAGAAAATTGGATATCTCAACGAACCTCCACACCTCCCGGAAAGGAACTTCCAAATGGTCTTCTCACTAATTTCTTCTTCCAATTCCTAAAGGCTTCGACGTAAACGTATGTCGTCGGCTTGTCGTTTTATGCTGCAGAGAAGTCGCTAGAGATGTGTCTGGTTGCCGCCGTCGTCGTAGTCGTTACTCTTCTTCTTATTGCTCGCCTCTTTCCAACCAAATGGAACTACTCAGTCCATGCAGCCAGATTATGTTTCTTTCACCGCTTTCTCTGCTGCTGTTCTGCTGTCTGCCCACTTTTTATTGTCGCTATTTTTCTCGCGTGTTTTTCAAAACTTTCAAAGCATCAAATCTTAAAATCTTCTCAAATTCCTCATCAACAATCACTGAACTAATTTATTTTGCATATTTGTATTCAATTTCAGAATTTTCTTCACATTCAATCGGATTTTTATTATTTTGCACAATTTTTCGCGTGTGCGCAATCACAACCAAGCTTCTATTTTTTGTCGTCGTCGTCTTTGTTCGTTCTCTTCTTAATATTTTCTACTTCGTTGTCCAACTTCACAATGGCGGATTTTCACATGCGTATATTTTTGCAACGAAAAATTCGACACAACAACCGATATTCGACTACTTTTGCACTTCTTCACTGCAATTGTGAATTTTCACACGGAAGTTTATCCAATTTTCCATCTTAACCTGAGTACATATTAAAATTTGCAAGCAATTTATTTCCTCTCCAAAAAAAACGACTGAAATTTTTCCTGGCGAATGACGCTGAAAGTGAAATAGGGACTTGTAATTCGTCTTTCAAAAAATCGAGTTTTGTATCAATGGAAATCAAATCGAAAATCGATTTTTCAGAGGACTATCGATAAATTATATTGGAACTTTTTGCGAATGAGAACGATAGAATGCGAGAGATATAAATATGGTCGAAAAGCGGAATTCAAGCAATGTGACAACAATTGCTCTGTTCCAGTACCTTCAAGTCTCTACTAGTCAGGTACATATCTTAAAATCTACCAAATAATAACGTTTTAAAAAATATATACTTTTAAATTCATCCCATAGTAAAATAAAAAAAATGTAAACATATAATTGTATGACTTTACATTTATACAATTATATGTTTACAATTTTTTAAACATTATTTATTTGACAACATCTCATTGTCAAAATTTTATTTACAAATTCATTGTATATACGCTAATAAAGAGATAGGAACCATTTTTCTTTGTTGTGAAATTTGACAAGGTAAATTACAGAAAATGCGGAGATGGATGTGCTTATTTGAAATTACTACCTTCTTAATTTTACCATGATTCAGCCCTTTGTAAAATTTTCCAATTACAAACATTCGGCCTGTTCCAGAACTGCAAGAATGTAAAAATTTTTACTACGATAACCGATTTTCCCTTTATAAAATCGAAAAAAAAAAACAAAAATTGTAGATTCTTGCGAATAAAATCGAAAAAAAAAGCAAAAATCTTAGATTCTTGCAGGTTCTGGAACAGATCTATTCACATTTTTGTATTTTTAATTTATATTTTCAGCACAAAAAAAGAAATTGTTTCTATTGTCAATGTTGAAAATGTTCAACATCGAAATTTAATACGCCCCACGAATTTGGTGTTATTGCCGAGAATTTCTTCTGCAATAAAATTAAAAAAAAAAACTTAAAAAATGTGGGAAATTTCAAAATTATGGTAAAATTAAGATGGTAAAGTCATTTCAAATAAGCATTCCCATCTCTGCATTTTAAGTAATTTAGCTTGTCAAATTTCAAATTTTGTCAAAGTTTCCGTCTCTGATTTGTGTATGCACAATGGATTTATAAATATACATTTTGACAATGAAATGTTGTCACATGCATAATTTTGAAAAAAAAATGTAAACATATGATTGCATGATTTTACCTTCTAAATTCTACCATGTTTCAAAATGGTTCAATAAGAAACCTTGTACAGCTTCAAAGAAACTAGGAAAAATGCAACTCTGTACTGGAACCTTATTGTGTCAAATAGACATAACCGATGTTTCCTTTATAATATCGAAAAAAATGCAAAATTAGTAGTACCCATGGTACAATGAAGAGAAGGCAGGTCAACTTTGAAAAAATTGCAAGTATAGAGGTCTACCTGTTTGGCTTGTAATGTCAGAATTACTATCAAAACAATAAAAAATCAAACAACTTGTTGCATTTATTTTGAATAAAAAATTTCAAACCGCGAAAAATGAATGAAAGGTCAAAATTTCTTTTCAAAATCATGTTCTATATATCTCTTATGGTTTATTTCGCGACAAAAACTGTAGATTTTGTCGAGGTATACGTTGCAATAAGCATTTTGAAAACACCCAAATTTGAATATTTCCTGAACAATTTTTTATTATTGAAAAAATACACACACATAAACAAATGAAGTTGACATATTAAGCCAGAAAAATAAAAAAAATTGAAATCATATGGTTGTTCTGCCCTACCTTGAATTCATTGTACCATGGTAGTACCATATTTTAGCATAAGATTGTCTGGTATAATTTTGCCATCGAGTGTATTTGAAAAATTACAGAATAGGGATATAGATGTTTGCTCTTAATGAAGAGACTGCATTTTTCATTAAAATTTGAATCATATTGAAATAAAATGAAAGGAAGTGCGTTTTACATTACACCTTGCAATTCATTCCAATGAGTACATTTTAGTGCATAGAATGGACATCGCCCGGCTTAACTCTATATTAGTAAAAACTCTTCAATTGTTTTTAAAACTTTTTCCAGCGATAGGTATTTGTACTTAATTTTTTTTTTTTTTTTAAATCCGGGTCCAAAAATCGATTATTTGACTATAACATCCGAACCGCTATAAATAACCCCTCATGTGACCACTTGTTTGATCAAACAATACCTATCTTGTTTACATCGGGTGAGTGGATCCAGGTCCAGCCCTGGTCTTGAACCCGGACTTTCGAATCAAAAATCTGGGGTCCCGAATGCGTCCCTCGAAATCAGGGCAAAAATACCTACCTCTTGAAAAAATTTCGAAGAAATTGAAGAGTTTTTACTAAATTGGAGTTGTTCCTTGACGTTTTGTAATTTACAAGCATGTCACAAAATCCAATCAGGATGGATTGAATTCCGTAGTTTAGAATCGGTCGTTTCAGATTCCGATCGATTTAGTGAACTACGAAAATCTCATTATTCAGTGTAAATATGGCGACATTAAATGAATGAAAGAACGAATGAATGAGGAATCAATACAAACCATGTGATTAGAAAATAGTGCCGGAACACAATTGGTCCGTTCCAGAACTACAAGAATGTGAAAATTGATAGCCGATTTTCTCTTTATGATATCGAAAAAATAGCAAATCTAGTAGATTCTTGCAGAAACTGGGCAGAGCATCCGTTTGCTGTTGTGATTTGAAGGCCAAGTGACAATAGTGTTAAACCACTAAGTTAGGCAAATTTTTGTCAGGAACAGTCTTCTTATTCGAACGTCTTATATATGCCTTGATCTACACTTTGTGCTTGAGATAAGCTTTCGACGTTTTTCACATCGAATATTTGATACCGGTGTCATTTAGTCTTTTCACATATTCGTGAGTGGAATATCTTTACTCAATTGTCAAGACAAAACAGCGTTTTGATTAAGGCTCATATAAAGAGACAACCTTGTTCGAAGAATTTTGACGGGGTTTACCAAATTTGATAATTAGGCATTTATTGCGGAATGTAGATACATGTAATGGCGCTACATTATGTCAAATAGAAACCAAATTTTCACAGTATTATCAATTCATTAGAAAAAAATACAAATGTACAAATTTTCAATGCGGAGTATATCACAAATAGGACCATTTCAAAAGTATATCTCTTCTGTATATATCTAGGCGATGTAAAAAGTTTTGAACGTGTTCAGCATAAAAATTTGAATTTCTCGATACTGCAGCCCGCTTTAGTCGTTCTTGTGTTTTAAAGGAGCTCATATGTAGACTGTCTCGTTGGTAAGTAAATATTCCAGCTAAAAAGTTCCATATTGTAATTTCTGGCCAAAGGATTTTGGTAAAGTACAAAACTGTCGAACTCAGCTAAAATATAGTAAGTAATTAAAAGTGAAACATGATAACATATTTGTAAATATACCTGCCACATCAAGAAATCGCTAATTCTAGTTTCACCAGAAGTTCGAAACAGTAGATCTGGTGGAGGTGAATGTCGGCTGTACAGGCATTCGTCCATTAGACGCTCACTTATATCATCTTCGTGCATTCCATCGCCATGACGGAGAATCTCCTCTATGGAATGCGTAATTTCGTCGCGAGAAGTATAGGAAAATGCAACATTTAAGAATAACTTGTCATTAGTCTCGGTTTCCAACATTGTTTGTGATATTAGCTTTTGTAGATCATCTGGTAAAAGTGAGATATTCCCAATGACCCTAATCCGTACTCCATGCTCCTTAAGTTTTGGACCTTCCAGTAAAAGTTTTGAGAACTTTTCTCGAGCCAAGTCCAAAAGGCCGGTGACTTCCTCCTCGGATCGTTTAAAATTTTCTATACTAAAAGCAAAAGTGGTAACTTCCCGAATGCCAATATCAAGACACCAACGTAAACAATCTGCTAACTTATCAAATCCTTTAGAGTGACCTTCGATCTTACGAATATGTTGTGAATTTGCATATCGACGATTGCCGTCCATCACAAATGCAATGTGACGTGGTAACCGATATCCATGTTTTATTACATTCATAGCCAGTGTTTGAAGCCATGTATATTTATAATCCGACACCCAACTCATAGTCTTTGGTTCTTAATTCCAGCATTCGTTACCTGAACTTATAAAAAATGTTCTCTTCTCGTGACAAATAGAATGGATTAGAGTTGACAAATCATCGATGTTGCTATCGATATTTCTTATCTTTGTCTATGCCGATTGATAGTTTTTACAATCGAATGATATCGCTCATATTGAAAAAAAAAACACTTAGGGCTGATTTAGATTAGGCACGCTTACTTTTTGTAGTTCTCTTTTGAACTTATCTCTTGATAGTAAGAAAGTAAAAGTTTTTACAACGATAGTTTATTTATATTTATGATAAGCAATAGCTTTAAACTTTTTTGTAAAAATGGTTTTGTCATGGAAGAATGAAGAAGGTAAAATCTGATTACACTATGTAGAATACCTGTTACCACCTCTGATTTGTGTATATACAATGGATTCGTAAATAAACATTCGGACAATGGAACGTCAAATGAATTATTTTGGAAAAACTGTAAACATATGATTGGGTGACTTGCGTAGAAACATTTTTTTTCATTAATGCGCGCCCCGCAATTTTCTTCAAAACAATAAACACTTACATAAAATTGGCAGAAGAATTTTGACATACTCTGTGTAGTCCTGATTTATTCATATCATTCATATAAAATAAAAACAAATACTGAATTTTCAAAATACAAACATTTTGTGTGTTTATTCTCTCTCCAACAAACAAAAACGGACCAAAAGCAAACTCGCCCAATGTTAAAATTGACTAAGATCTCAGTAAAGTTTTGTAAGTTCTTGTCTTTTCTAAACAATTTTAATACATTTTGCAGATACATATTTTATTTTCTTTGTAAAATTTTAAAGATTTCAAAGAATGTGTCTTTTTACTTCTTCAATATTTTTTCGAAAGATTTGACATTCGACAACATCTCATTGCGAAAGTGATTTTGACTGACATTTAATGTATATATAAAATATATGAAATAAAAACATATAATTTAAATTTGAAAATATGAGATTTGCAAGATAAATGACGCTGGCAACAATAAATCTTTTTTTTTTTTTTTTGTTTCTAAATACGAGGAAGAATGTAATATATGGTCCCAATCATGGCTCAATAAGAAAGGTTGCTCAACTTCGAAGAAATAAGGAAAATAAAACTGTACTGGAGTCTTACAGTGTCAAATACATTTTAAAACATGCAACAATTGGTCTTGTTTATTTTAATTTTTTTTATAAAATTACTATATTGGAGAAAACCAACAAATCATGAATGAAATAATGTGTTCCAGAACTGCAGGAATGTAAAAGTTTTTACTATGATAACCTATTTTCCCTTTATGTTATCGAAGAAAATTGCAAAACTAGTAGATTCTTGCAGGTTCTGGAACAGAGCAATTATAACATTGACAATTTTTATAATTCGCCTAACCGTTATATTTCCAAGTTACAAACATTAAAACTTTTTGTATTATTCGTTACTATATTCAACACACAAAAAGTGAAATTGTTCAACTGGAATAATTTGAAATTTTGTCGACATAACAAAATCGAACCGGTTACTTAATTTCAACGAAAGAGTTTACGATACAAACAATGGCAATACTTCCATGGGTCAAATTTAATTTGTAGCTAGTTCCGGGCTCATTCACTAATGTGTTCAATTTTCCTCATGCCTCATTCGTAAACAATAGAGTACCCCGGGATTTTGCTTTCTGTTTATTTTTTTATCAAGTATTCCTTTTTGCCTTCATATTCGTTTCGTTGGGGACGTCTTTCATTTTGGTTCCCCCTCGCGCACTTTCGCTCTGTTTTGCAACAACATGACAGGACAGAAGTGCGCTTGCTTTAGAAGCACAACTCAACCACAATAACCACCAATTCATCTTACCTTAACAAGGGCATTGGAATTGGGCGCATTAGTTGAACAGGAATTTGTAAAATGCTGTGAGTAAAGTAAGTCGAACAATCGAATATGAATAGTCGAGTACTCGGTTTACACCCAAATCAATAGTCAAGTTCGAGTTTCGCTTTGAGTACCAAAATTCGATTAATCGGAAGTTAGAAACAATGCGATTATTTAAACATCGATTTACAGAAACCTACCTTCACAAAGAGAAAAAAGAAGAATAAGGCAAGGAAATAATTTTTCATACTAGAAGACAGTAGCCTGAAAAAAGTAAAACCCGTATTCCAAAGCTAAAACTTTATATAAATTTGTCGATAAACATGAAATATGGATAGTAATAAAGAAATTGTGGAGAAAATAATAACACCAGGTAATCTTGAATGTGTAGTGTAGCGAACGTTGTGCTGGAGTGTCATATACATGCAATTTTCGATTCCCTGATTCTGCCTGGGTTTAGACGCATAATGCAACCCAGTTGATTGGCCAGGACACAAACACAAAGAAGGAGCAATTTAACAATATCTATGTCTATTTTCATCTAGATTATATATTTTCTTATAAATTTTATTCCATTGCAGAGTTATATTTCCTAATTTCGAAGTTTCTATCTGCTGGGCCACTAAAGGAAACTGCACAGGTATGCATTTTTCGACTACTTATTTTGCCATTTCACTTAAATCGTCCTATTATTTTATCCTAGTACACATACATTGATTTTCTTTCCTTTACAGGTCCTAATCCGGGAACTTGAGGATAAGAAGGTAAGTGTCAATAACCACAAGAATGTGACCAAATCCTAAATATATTCTGTGTTGATTCTAACTCTAATTTGGCTGTTCTGTGTTGTGTTTTCGTGATGCTTTTGTTTTTTGTTCTTAAAACAACAACACTTGTTGTTGATATCCATCCACCCGTGTTTAACGTGCGCTTATAGCGATGACAACGATTAGACTAAATAGGTCTAAAATAAACGTTTACAACTGTGGACGGACACATATTTCGGTTTTAATGAATTAGTGAATACTTCGACCTTCAGTCGGCCCAGTTTGGGTAATGTGAGGAGCGTTTGTCAGTTGTAGATGTGCACGTGTTTGTGATGTAAACTCCTGTAAATTCATTTTGTTAAGAACTCTTAGTAGTTGTTATTCCGTTTGTTTTGGAAAAAATCGTTTAATTTGTTCTATTTTTTCCCGTGTTGTTGTAGGTTTTGCCGAAGCGATTAGACTGGCTGGGCAACGAACATGATCAATCGTTTGCAGAATTGGTAAGTTTATATTTGTTTATATTAAAGGTCTTTAATATGGCAGATGTTGAGTCTAAATTAAAGAAAATAAGAAACCTACAAACTGGAGAGTATATAAATATGTATATATAGTCGATAAGAGTAATGTTTAATTGGACGCCATGTTGGGTAGATAGATGTGTACACACATGCAAACTTGTACATTGTTTGGTATTCATTTTTGCCTATAAAAATTGTGAATTCCTGGGACCTCTAAGGAATATGGGATGTTTTATGAATTAATTACTCCGTGCGAAAAGTTGGATATCGAGTAAAAAAGGATTCGGCAAATATTTCCAATACCAAGTCTTGAGAAATGTGTAAAAAATAGTGTAAAAGTTGAAATATTAAAAAAAGTAGAATTTGTTTGCTACATCCATACAGGAAGATTTTTATGAACATAACATTCATACTCATATTAATTTCATAGCTTTGCTTTTGCGATTTTTTTATTGTGGCCAGATCCGTTTGAATCCTTTGTTCAGCGGCGTTGCCATACATTTTTAAGTGTGCGTGTTCATCAAAACGGTATAAATAATTGTCGTGTAGATGTCACTGTTTACAACATTGACAAACAAGCAACTTAATATTTGCAAACGAGTATTTTTTATACCCTCCACCCGTGGTATAATTGGTAGAACTTTGTTAGTAGCAACAACCAGTGGTTTGTACGCTGCTGTACAAATGAGTTTTAAATTTCATATGAAGTTTTGAGTTTTATTCTGATGATAGAAAACATTAAAAATATGTTCAATTACATTTGTTACAGTTTTGCATCTACTTTCTATCTTCATAAGTTAGAAAATTTTGCGAGTATAGAATTCTGCCTGTATGAATTGTAATGTATTTACTATGAAAACAAATGCAACAAGTTGTAATGATTTTGAGTAAATAAAAAAATCAATGAAAAGTCACAATTTCTTTTCGGAATCATGTTCTATATATTTTTCTAAAAGCTTTTTTCGCTACAAAAAGTATACATTTTATCCATACATTTTGAATTTTAATGTTTTTCCAACTAATTAATTTAGCATCTTAAGTCAGGCAAAAAACAAAAAATTGAAATCGATTGGTAGAAGTGCCCTGCCTTGATTTCATTGCACCATGATTGCACTAGAGTGAAATTTTATACCAATAATATAAAAAATGGAATGAAAAAATGGAACATAACGCCATAACGAATTTGACACAGGTATTGCTGTAGAGTAAAATCCGCTGGGCAATAATTAAAACATGACTCATACTTTTGAAGATGTTTCCAAGTCTGCTGTATAGTGCGTGGAAAGTGAAAATCTAAATGGTTTTGACTTTGAAAATGAGGTGTCAGTAAACCATTTGAGATAAATGGACTCATGAATTGTAATTCCTTCTGTCCTTTGTTGGAAAAAATAAAGCGATCCGTTTGGCTACCATATCCTAATTTGTATATATTTTTATTTTTCTTTAGGAAAAACAATATGCTCATATTGGATCAAACCATTTGGTCGACATTTGCTGTCGTATTGGTCCCATTTTGGATAAGGAGTTGACGCCCAGTGTACCTGGACTAGTATCGCTTTTGGGCGCTGGGCGTCAGAGTTTACTTAGAACTAAGGATAGCATATTTAAATCTAGATCATTGCTAGATTACTGCACAAGACTTCATGGAGTTTCACTGCCAGATTCAGCTGTAACAAAACCAATACATAATTTCCGTAAGTTGGCATTTTATGTTTATTATCTATTATTTTTTAATAAAACGTTTTTTTCCTTCAGAAAAAGTGTTAATTGGACGGGAATATGGAGGTCCAGTAAGACGAAAGCTTTTAGTTCCTACAAGCTTGTTTTCGAAAACGAAACTGCTACGTCGCACTGTAGGACATCTTTCGTCAGTTTATTGTGTTCTCTTCGATCGCACAGGGCACTACATTATAACTGGTGCTGACGACCTATTGATTAAGATCTGGTCCGCAATGGATGGTCGGCTTTTGGCCACTCTTAGAGGAGCGTCGGCAGAAATCACAGACATTGCTATAAATCTCGATAATACCATGTTGGCTGCAGGTTCTTTGGATAGGATATTGCGTGTTTGGGATTTGCAGACCACATCTCCAATAGCGGTGTTATCAGCTCACACAGGAATGATAACATCCGTCAATTTTTGTCCTTCTCCTAGGGGAGATTTGAAATACTTAGTGACAACTAGTACGGACGGTTCCATAGCCTTTTGGCAGTACTCTACACCTAGAGGCCAGAAAATAACGTTCGCCCCCAAGCCTATACAATACCATGAAAAGTTACGTCCAGGTCAAGCTCAAATGATGTGTACGTCGTTTTCGCCTGGGGGAATGTTTTTGGCAGCGGGGTCAGCAGATCACCATGTTCGCGTTTATCTTATGTCCGAGGATGGACCAAAACGAATTCTAGAAACAGAGGCGTATACTGATGCTGTTGATTCCGTCCAATGGTCCCATCGTGGCCTTCGTTTCATTTCGGGGAGCAAGGATGGCTCTGCTCACATATGGACTTTTGAGTCGCAGCAGTGGAAGAGCGTTAAATTATGTATGACCGAGCGCTTACCAACGTAAGAAATGTATATATATTGTTGGAAGACTTTGTAATATTTCTCCATTGCATTACACAGCTGTCCAGAACCTGAAGAAGGTAAAAAGCTAAAAGTTACAATGGTTGCATGGGACTGCTCGGACAAATATGTCATTACTGCGGCTAATGACTTTACGGTAGGTGGAACCTTTCATCGGCTCTTATCCCTTAAATAATTCAATTTTATTTGGTTAGATTAAAATATGGAATGCGAAAACTGCCAAACTTCATTGTGTTTTACGTGGACACAAAGATGAACTCTTCGTATTAGAATCGAATCCAAAAAATGAGCACGTTTTACTATCGGCCGGTCACGATGGTCAGGTTTTCTTGTGGGACATTGAAAAGGGGGAGTCAGTGGCCCATTTTGTAAATAATATTGATGGCCAAGGACATGGTGGGGTGTTTGACGCGAAGTGGTCCCCGGATGGAACAATGATTGCCGCTACGGATTCTCACGGCCATATACTAATATTTGGTTTGGGAGTAGGTCCTGACCGATACAAAATTGTGAGATACTACCATAAATGTATTTGAGAATGAAGTTTTATGAGTTATTAATTTTAGCTCCCCACCGAGTTGTTCTTCCATACGGATTATAGGCCGTTGCTGAGAGATGCGTCGCATCATGTTGTTGACGAACAAACACAGGTTATGCCGCATTTAATGCCACCACCATTCTTAGTTGATTCAGAAGGTAATCCACATCCAGCCAGGTTCCAGCGCTTTGTACCGGGAAGGGAAAACTGTCCTACTGATCAATTGATACCGAATTTAACAGTGGGCCCTGACGGAATCTTGGAAGAAAATGGTCTAAGTAACCAAAATGGTCCGGCTGGTGGAAATTATTCCCACATTGATCGCTTAATTGCCGCACTGGCAAATCGGCAAGGGGGAAGCAACAGTGGAAATGTCAATGCCAATCAGCAAAGTCCACCCACATCGGGGGCGAATAGGTCCCAATTAGATAGAATGATCGAAGCCTTGGCCAATCGTCAGGGACACGATGTCGCCCCAGACTCCAACAATCGTCCGTCTGGTAACGTTCTTGGTAATGGTCCAAGCACGTCGCGAAATGCTTCACTAGACGGGCGAAACTTGGAATTAATGCAGCAGCCCCGGCAGGGTACAACATGGGGTCGTCCTCCATCTGATCAACAATCTCTGCAGCCAGCTCCTCTTAAATATGTTCGCAGAATATATGTACGCCCAATGAAATATGCACAACTTCAAAATCTAAAACAGACTGTTTACGCTGCAGGCCAATACGAAATGCAAGAATATAAACGTGAAATGCGTCGACGACCGATAATGATAAGCACGGCAAGTGTATTAAACGCGCAGTCAACTAACGGACGTAACCGAAATACTCGAGGTTCCGACCGCATTGGAAGGCGACGAAGTGGCCGCCCCGCAGGACAGCAAACAAACCAGCCAGCATATCGAACGAGAGCTGTTCGGGATCAGGAAGAAATCGAAGAACCATCAGTGCCTGAAGTGTTGGAGGAGGATGAAGAAAGCAGCAACTCTTCTGGCGATACAAGCTATTCAAATATTGAAGAATTAGACGAATCTTCCGATGATTCTGATACAGAATCGTCTGATTATTCCGACTGGGTAGCTGATACTCCAGGCCCGAATTTAGAGCCACCCAAGCGTTCTAAACGTAAGCCTCTTTCTCGAAAAAGGACAATGAGCGAAGACAGTAGTGATGATACTACTGAGCAGCCCACCACATCTGCAAAAGCCGCAAGAAAGAGCAAAAAGGTTTTAATTCCACCAGCCGCTTCAAATGGAGAAATTCCCGAAATATATAGGCCGGCAGAATGGTTGTCGGAAGTTATTCCACGAAAAACTCCGTATTATCCACAAATGGGAGATGAAGTTGTTTACTTTAGACAAGGCCATCACCGTTACATTGAAGCCGTACGCATGAAAAAGGTCTACAAAGTGTCGCACAGCTCAGAACCTTGGAGTTTTCATACTCTTCGAGACAAAGAGCTAGTTAGAGTTATTGGAATCAAATATGAAATTCGGCCACCTCGGTTGTGTTGTCTCAAGTTGGCTATTATCGACGAAGACGGGAATATGACGGGCACTACATTTAAAATTAAATATCATGACATGCCCGATGTGTTGGATTTCATAGTTTTGCGTCAGACCTATGACCTAGCTGTGCAGCGCAACTGGAGCATTGGTGATCGTTTTCGTTGTATGATAGGGGACGGTTGGTGGATGGGACAGATTGAGTCACGGCATGCATTATCATCGGATTTTCCTGACTCGCCATTTATGTGTTTCCGAGTTCGTTGGGATAACGGCGAATATGAGTATATGAGTCCCTGGGACATGGAACCCATTGATGAAAATCGTTTACCCGACGAAGTGGGAGGAGCCGTGCCTGTACTACCAGAGGAAATTCGAGCAACTCTATATCAACCCAAATCTGAAGAGTGGCATCGCGGAGATCGGGATGGTTCTTGTCGGCGCATTATTAACGGACTCGAGCAGGTTTGTTGCAGCACCTCCTACTTTATAAGTCTAAAATATAGTTTTTTATTCCACCCAGGTTATGCGCCTATCAATTGCAGAACACTTTTTGGCGCCTGTTGACTTGAATATATATCCTGACTATGCCTATCTGATAGAATATCCCATTGATTTAACCACGATCAAATCAAGGTTTGAGAATCATTTCTACCGTCGGATTACCTCTGCACAGTTTGATGTTAGATATTTGGCAACTAATGCTGAAAAGTACAACAGAAGACATACAAATATAGTCAAACATGCACGAATTATTACCGATCTGTGTCTTCGTATCATACGGTATAATATTACAATTTCAAGACAAATTTTACACCATTACTACATGTTTTTCTTTAATTGTAAGGGAGTCAAACGACATTGATGTCGCCGCAGTTTATCATCAATTAGTTGATGTTTATCATTCATCCGAGTCTGAAAACGGCAATGAATCAGATGTAGTCCCCTCAACCAGTACAGGTCCGTCTACTTCAGCAGCTGCTGCCAAGGCTCGACACAGCATGCCCTCAACAAGAAGGTAAAAATAGTTAATAATGATTAGTTTTTCCTGCCCCATCGAGTAGTAGACCCTCATAATCATCTAACTTGAATCTAAAGATAAAAATTATAAACAGTTACCTTAAACTAAGTTACACTTATCGTCTGCAGTGGCACGACAAAACATGAAGAATGGAGCAGTTTCTCAACAATTTTTTTAAACTTGTTTAGAAAACAAAAAGATAATTTTGTAAATTTGTGTGAGCGTTGTTTCAATCGTTTCCTACAGGAAAACATATGGGAATCTCAAAATTTCGTTGTTTCGGAATGACCCCAATTGTATCTATTAAATGACAGAGATGCTGTTTCAATATGCAGTATGAATTTGTCAGGTGCCTTTTTTAAAAACAATTTTAAGAAAATTTGTTGTATCGTAATCCTGATTTACACTAGGCGAGTTTACATATATTTTTTCGTTCTATTTTCAAGTTGCCTCTTGCATTTACACAAGGCAATTTGGTTGTAACAATGTTCGGATCGTAAAAAAATAATGAATAAAACTATAATAAAAATGAGAATTTAATTATTTCCTAGCAAACGTAACATTTAAAAACCAATGTAACAATACATAATTAGTATAAGATAACATTCTTGGTTGATGGGCCGAAACATTTCGAACTCGGACGACCCGAATTAAGAACAACCTCGCATAAATGCTTCCATATATTCGTATAACCACATTTTAAACTATTTTGACAGGTCTAAACGTATGCGATCCGACGCCGACTGGCGTGCCGATTGCCGCCAGTTGTTGGAAATGATGTTACAGCGACCCGATTCACTGCCTTTCCGAGAACCAGTAGACACCATCGAGTTTCCGGACTACTTGGAGATAATCTCCACACCTATGGACTTAAGAACAGTTAAGGAAGACTTGCTGGGAGGCAACTATGAGGATCCTTTAGATTTTGCAAAAGATGTTCGTTTAATATTTCAAAACTCCAAAAATTATAACACCAACAAGCGATCGAGGGTAAGTTACTTTTTTAATCTAAAAGAATCTAAAACAACAACTATATGAAGGCAAAAGTGCACAAAATTTTTTCCCCACATATGAGATCCGCAAGTCGTTAGGATTTGCAGTGGAGAGTGCACATCGACAAAGGGTGTTATTACTTTGAATGTGTAAAGATCGTCAATTCATTTTTAAGTGATTACAAGTGCAACGAAACACCCAAATTGGAAGATTAAGAGATTGCCTTTGGTCCTTTGTTTTCTACCTTTAATTGACTGCTTTACTTTGATTCATATTTATATCATACTTTATATTGTGCTTCGACTTTTCCTTTCTGACATGCTTCCCAAAAATCTCATCAAATCATCACCACCTATATAACCCATGTATATCATAAATCCATAACAATGAATGACGATCATGATTGTAGGACCATTTCGCGGTAAGGTCAATTTTAGAGACAACACTGCAACAGATATTCCATAATCTCTCTAGTTTGACTGTTTACAAATGGAAATCGACATTTAAAATCCTATTCACGATGGTTTTCGTTTCAGATATATTCAATGACATTGCGTTTAAGTGCTCTCTTTGAGTCTCACATTAAAACTGTTATCAGCAATTGGAAAGCTGCCAGAAGACGAGCTAATAAGAACAAATCACGCAGCGGCACGTCGGGTCGAGGGTCTAGCAGCAGTCCCACTAAACGCGCTCCGTCCGACAGAACACGCTCAACGGGAAAAAGAGGGACGTCGAGTAGAAATACAAGGCGCATACATAGTTCGGAAGAATCTTCTAACCATGATGATGACGACGACAACGAGCCACCTCGTGGGACGCAGCGAAGCGCAAGAGGCTCAAATAATCGAGGAGGTACGACAGCAAGTACATCAAGCTCGAATCGTGTTACATCATCTTCATCCCATAAAAGACATAATGACGTCGATGATCCACAGCCGGGTACTTCAAGAGCTTCACGACAAAGAAATCGTGCGGCTGGGAATGATGAGGAGGAAGATGCTCTGTCCGCCATGTCGTCGGAGTCAGATGAAGATGACAGTGAAAGTGGCACATCAAGCACATCGACATCATCCGACAATAGTCTAAGCGAAAATTCCGAAGAAAGTTATAGTCCAGAAAAAGACCGTAAGACCAAAAGCCGTAAAAGACATCATAAATCAGGACGTAAGACCCAAAAAGGCCCACGAAATAAAAGAACCCGTCGCCGTCTCTCAGACGAAGATACCGACGAGGATTTCGATTTAGAAAGTCATAAGAAACATAAAAATACAGGTAGAAAAGTGCGAAGAAGTCAAAACGGAAATCAGCGTAGTGTCGGTGGAGGTGCTGTCTCACATGTTGATGAAAGCACGCAGGATACTATTACACATACACCCAAGAAAAAGGGAAGGCCTCCAAAATCATCATCGCGTACCCAGAACGATGCATCAAATTCGCTACTTGAAAGTCCCTCACGCAACACGAGAACTCAAGCCGTATCTCAAACAAATTCTTCTGGCGTGGGGCGCAGATCTGCTGCTGAAAATGATCATAGTTACCATTTGCCAGTGCGCAATGGCCGAGTTGTGGAGTCGGATAACGATTCTAGGGAAGTTGCTACGCGGCCAACAAGAGCCAGTGTTAAACGAGCCATTATGGAATGGGCACGTGCCGAAAGTGACGGCGATGGAACTGAAGACGCTGAAGAGGTTAGTACCTTTCAAATACTTCATATTCTGCTGTTTTACTGCAATGATACTACTAATGTGTTGTTGCTCGTTCCGACACCAGAGAAACGAATAAATTATATATCTGATATTAGAAGATCAAGCAGCGCAAGCATACAAAGTGTTCATTCTTTGGGGTTATTGTCTGTAGGGAACCGACTTGGGCGTATAGACATGAGTTTGGTGCCGACTCTCGAAAATCTTTAAAATCTTAACTAACGAAAGACATGACACTACTTTGACAGACAAATTCCATTTAATTTACTTAACATTAATATTTATTATTTCTAATTTAGATACTACCAACACCCACACCAACAAAGTCCAACCATTACACTAGTCGGGATGAAAACGGACCTTCAACGAGTAAAGCTGCAGCTGCCGCTGCCACGGCTGCTTCGTCAGCTGTTGTACGGCACTTACGAACGAATCGGAATACTGTCGTAGAGCCACAAAACGATTCTGGCGATGATGACAGTGACGATGAGCCTTTGGCGTCAAGTCAAAGTTCGCAAACTCGACAACAAAGTAAGTATGTCTGGCTTGAAAGTTCTATTGTTTGTCTTATACTTGTATTTGTTGTCGCTCCTAGGAAAGTTAATCTCACCTCACCCTACACATCTGCAGCGACGCCAAGATGGACATATGGTAAAAATTGTAGCGTCGTCATTGCCAACCACCCATATGACGCGGTCACATGCCACGTCCACTACTCCAAATGTAGCTACTACCTCTGCCACGGCGTCATCGCAACCCACTGTTCATGATCATAATTATGTTGGGGATCCAGGACCTTCGACATCGAGTGCAGCTCTGCGTAATTCAAGAAGAGTCCTTTCGCGACATCAACGAAATGCTGACGAATTGGACATCAGTTTAGAACCGTTGGAGAATTCGATGTTGATTTCAGCAAGTACACGTCTAAGACGTGGAATGCCCACTTCAACTACCGCTGCACCTGCTTATCAGAGAGACACACAACACGCAGCTGTTACAGTACGAAGAGGTCGGTCGCGGTTTAGTCAAGAGAATTCTCAAACAGAGCCATCTGCCGACGAAAATGTTCATGAGGACGAAGAAGACGGCGTTTCAGACATGGGCACGGGTGGATCAACCGAATCGTCTGTCAGTGATGACGAATCCGATTCGGAGGACAACCAGCCTCTTACATCTTATGTACCTAAATCTAGGAACTCAAAAAAGCCTCGAGCTAAACGACGACGGTCAGATGACTCCTTTGTAGCTGACGAGGACGACGAAGACGAAAAATACACCAGCACTCGGCGCCATACCTCTCGTGGATCTAAGAAGTCCAACGCAGAAGGATCCAGTAGATATGGTGGTCGCGACCGTATGCAAAGGGGTGCCCGTAATCAGAAGCGCCCTCGTTACAACGAACTTAGTGACGAAGAAGAATCCGTTAATACCAGTGGCAGAGGTAGGAAATCTCGCAATGACTCGTCTGCAATAGGTGAAACACCTGCCAACGACGACGTAGACGCGAGTACGATGGATAGTGAAGATGATCAGCTCATAAGTGTTAGCAGCAGGGGCCGCGTACGCAAAATTACTGCCAAAGCGAGAGGGATTTTCAAGGAATAATTAGAGCCATCGTCTTCAATGGTATTAGAATCCAAGGGTGTCTCGCGTATTTAAAAATACATGCGTAGGTGTATGTTTGGTGAACATAATTCAAGCGACGCCATTTTTATTTAGTTTTTATGTATAGTTCCACTTTATTCACATCTCAATCCATTAAAAACCATTTGGCAACGGTCATTGTTGTTACCTTCTTAACTTCATTCAATTGTAAAATAAGTAACATACGAGTGATCGAGCAATTATTCACATTCAACCTATGTAACAGGTGTCCCAAGCGTCAATCTGGCTAACATTTTATTCGCCGTATTTATTACGTTATCATTGTGTGGGTTATGTCACGCTCATCGGCTGGTAATATGTAATACCTGCTACTCATTTATATTTATTATTGAAAATAAAAATACAAAACTAATACATTAAAGTACACGTAAATTTTAAGTTTATCACAATACAATTACAAAATAAATATGTATAAAAAACCTGATCATCCCGTCTTTGTGCGTATACAGAAGGCAGATCTTGAATGCCTTGTATGATCTTTCAAATTGGAAATACACTAGTTATTGGTTGTTGCACTTTCGGTTAGTTAGCTTGTTGCTTTGTTGCGACCTTTCTGGCCGCCATTTGCCAGTGTTGACTAGTTATGGCTTCAACAATGTGTCAAGATTATGAGCAAGGGTGTCAGAATGTCCGACCTTCTTTCATCTTAGACGAATCGATGTGACATTGCTGATATCAAAAAGTAAGTGCCGTAAGAAGTCAAACTAAGCTGGACTGTTGGTGCGACTGGTATAGAAAGTGGTACAATTGAAATCCATTTATCGAAAATTGCAGGGTTGTGCAATGTTGTGCGTTGCAAAAAAAATCAGCATGGTTGCTATAGTTTTGATGGATTCTGGCATACTTGTAACATTTGCAATGGTTTTGGGAGAGACTATTTTATAGCAAATTGCCACTTGAAAGAAAGGGACCCCGCCGTCACTTTTGGGTTTGCATCACTTGTTGTCGACACTAATTTGGTATAATTTGTTCGACTTTTTATTTATTTACAACTCTTTAACTAATTTATTAAATTTAATTTAATTAATTTTAGTTTACAAAAAAATAAATTGCTATTAATCTACCAACAAAATTAGAGGCAAAGTCTAGGTCGACAAATAGAGCTCCCATAAATGTTGTAAAACATTTAGATATAATCATTTTATACAGATATGATCATTTTCTGAACCTGGAAGTAAGTTAAAAAACATAAAATCTTAACATAACGCCTCACCCTTTCTATAATTATTTTGGGTATTTTCTTTAAAATGTAATATAAACGCTCTTTGATCTCACTTAAAGTTCGTTATATTTTCTTCAATAGAGGCTTGGATGTCCTTTTTCTGGAGTAGTGAATTCTTTATGTTATATGTAATGTAATCACTTTTTTGTCTAAAGCCGTCTAAAAAAATATATTAATAAAGGAGGGTGGATAATATTAAAAAAAAAAACATTTAATCCCAGAAGATAATCCGCCACCAAAGAAAGGGTTCGACAGACTCTTTTTTGAGATTTCTTCTAAAACCTTAAAATAAAACCGGTGATATCGATATATGAAGAAGCGATTCTGTCATTTTTTTTGCCAGCATTCCACGTTAGATCATGAAACATTACTTTATTATCAAAAATTTGTCTCCACATCGCTGAATTCAATATTCTAAACTTAGCTTATTAATAGTTTAAAAAAGATTTTGAAAACATTTTTAATATATAATCCAGTGCCTATATATTAAAGACAAGATGGGCTCACTGGCAGACCTAATATAGACCATGATATAATGTAGTATGTTGTCAATTTTTATAATAGTTTGGATGGTATGGTTGGCTTCTATTCTGGAAGTTGAAATATTTTTTTGCGTAAATCAAAGTTGCAGCGAATACTAATCGATTGGTTTCAAATCATTATTGAAAAATATTTCAATGGAATGCAAATTACACTTATCCTATCCGTATCATGCCCTTGTAAAATTCGCATGCACCATGATTCAACATGTTCTTTGCAATTTTTTATAAACTTTTTACAAATCTATTTTTATGCGTTACTTTCCAGTTAAAACTTTCAGATAGAATGGGAACGTAAAACTAGTAAACATCTCAAAACTAACTGCTTGTGCCTCAAAATCCATTAATATGCTCATAATTAAAAACTTTTTTATTAAAAAGCTCCAATCGTTTTGTCTTAAATTTGCCTACAAGTTTAAGCGAAATTTCGGAAAAATTAACTCACAACTGACCCAGGCCCAATTGATAATTTCCGCAAATGACAAGCAAACAAAATATTTTTAATTAGTCCTCAGTGAACTGAGATGAGTTTATTATTTTTTGTTTCATTTGTCGATAGGTTCTTTTTTCGAGCTAAACACAAACCACAAATTGTGGCCTGGATTTAATACATGTTATGTTTTTATGATTAATTGTAATTTGTTAAATACAATATTTAATTATTGAATTAAAGATAAATTTATTAAATGTATTAATTTTTGGTTTACGAATAATTGGATTACAATATGTCTACGCACATTTGGCGTAGTTTCAATACTAGAATATTATCTATCAGTAGTGAGATTCTCCAACGTTTTTTTAATGTTATCGACTATAATCATTAACTCTCAAAGACTTTTTTCTTTCAAGTAAGAAGAGAGGTAAAAGTAAAGGAAATCAAATCCACCGGTAGTTTTTAGAGGCTGAATTATTTCCCTCTCTAAGTCCAGATTTAGACTAGGTGAATTTATTTGCGGCATTTTCATCGTTCTCATTGCTTTCAGCAATCAAGACCTATAAACTTGCCTAATATAAGTTTGGACTAAATACCGATTGTTTTGAATTACTAAACTTATAAGCAATGGCAAAATCGTTAAATAGTTAGAGAATCCCACTACAGGCATGTGATGGAAACCGATTCGTTCGATTTGTAGAACCGGAATTGTATTTCGCATATTGTATATCTTTGGCATAATGCACTTATCAAATTATATTTCCAAAATTCCATGACGATTTATGCCGAAACGATTCGAAATGGTTTCCATTACATACCCTTATGTGTATGTATGTGTATGTATATGCGCATATGTATATGTGAATTTGTCTGCAGTACATTCTCGTATAATTATTCGATATGGCTTTTTGTGGAACTTATTAAAATTATTTAAAACAAAATATTCGGGATTAGCTGAGTGTATCGTTAAACTTCAAACAATAGTTCGGAGTCCTGGAGTAAAACAACATTGAATGTTACTATAAAAACTAAAACGATATAACAAATTGTCAATATAAACGCGAAGTATGTAAATACTCAAACTTTAACAAAGATAAAATCTCACATTAAAACTATTTTTGCAGTGATTTCAAATTAGTTATTAAAATTGTTTTAGATATTTTGGGTTAAGCCTTGTTTACACCGAACAGTTTCCATCGATTTTAATTTTTTTGAAATAAACGTCAAATAAATCACGCATCCCCGTAAAATATGTAACATTGGTGTCGGTGTAAATAAGGCTTTGTGGTGAATACATTAGATGGATTCGATATGACAATAGTTGTAATTATTTTTTTTTTTGGTTATGTTCGTGAAGGCGAGTCGTGCATTTATAGCTTCAATAAAAAGGTTTTTCATAATGGAAATCATTAAACTTGATTCATTATCACAAGTCAAAATTTTGATTATTTGTTTAAATTTGAGTAGCCGATTTGTGTACTTATATGTTATATTTTGCGCTCATGTTTCACTTACACTTGTGTTTTTGTTTACTCTATCATGGTACAATGGATACAAATTAGACTCAAGGTGTAGGGTGCATTACAAGACGACACATATAGGCCAACAGGTGTCTTATTTTGCTTCGCAAAATGTGTTATTTAAAAAAATATTCTTTTGATGGATTTAAAAAAACACACACACACACACTTACAGCCTGTTTTTGTAAAAAAAAAACTTGCTTTCACTCGAATCGTTCGTGTTCAAAGGTATTCGTTTTAATTTGCGTTTTTAAATATTTTGGAAGTGTTTCCATAACCATTATTTTTTTTAAATATTTTATTTAATTTCATTAGTTGTGCTGATTGTGCCAACCCCAATAAATTCAAAATTCATCAAAAAATTGTAAAATTAAATTGATAAATGTCGGGAAAACATTTGAAGAATATGGACCAGCAAGGTGCGCCAGCAAAATCTTGATGTGTTAAAATAGTTCATATACGCATACAATTTTTGCGAGATTCTGTAACAAAGCGCCAATTTCTTTTCAAAACAAAGATCCTCCACCTATCGTTTTGGGTTTGTCACTGACAAAATATATTTTATTTCGCCAAATTTCCAAACGAAAGAAAAAAAAATACTGTTATAAAAACAGGCTGTTAAGGTACGAATTCGCCTCCTGTGTGATTTTGTTTAAAGGGGTTTGAGTAGGGCAATGGTTTCGACTCTAATCAATTTTAAATTGTATGGTTTTTTGCTTCAAATTGATGGGTGCTACTGTACTACTTTTAATAATATGACAATTCCTCTTAAAATATACAAATTCAGCTGGTTCAGCATGAAAATTGTTGTTACATATAATACATACACAACTTAATTTTTAAATAAACCATGACCGTTTATTATCAATTGTTACTCCTTTTGTAAGAAATCGAAAAATGAAAAGCAAACTTCTGAAATACGGGCCCTACTGTCGGAATTTTCATTTTGTACCTTGTATCATTGTACCATGTTGTGTAAACTGAAAAAAGGGTTAACTACGTGTCATGCAAATGTGGAATATTCGCCACAAACAACAATGTACCTCGATCCTAGAGTAAGACAATTCCTTATAATTGGTTCATTCGATTAATTGGTAGGGTAATAAATGTCACTAGCTTGAGCTGTGTATACTTTTGATTATTATGATTTGTAATCTATGCAGAAGAAGATTTAATTATGTACCTATATGCTAATGATTTAGAAAGGGAGCAGACGCATTACTTTTTGACCTGTAACAAAGTAAGAACAAGTAGATTCGGTTATAAATATATTACATCAAGATTTGTTGATAGATATGTCGGAAGTGTGGCAAAAGGGAGTTGGTCGGGTGGTTATTTAAGGTGAGAATACCCTAAGACTTCGAAGCAGTGTTGCCAGAACATTGGCCAAACATTCCGCCTGCAGAGCCAACTGTCCGGCGTTGCCCATTTGCACAGCAACCAATTCGCGAAAGCTTGATTCCACATCGTGCACTTTCAAAACAATATTTCTTGTTTGCAGAGGTGCAGATGTATGTCGTGTCATGTCCTGTGTCAACTCGGTAATTCGTCGTATAGCTGTAAGACACGAGGTTAGGTGTTCTGGCAAAGTCGTCGAAAGGGTGGAGTCCGACATGGCTACCACAAGATATTTTGAGGCTGTTACTAAGACTAATGTTTGCTCGGTCAGTTCGTTGCGAGCCCTTTGGAATTTCTCCTCATCTATACTTGAACCACCACCGGCGGCCTGGGCTGCTGTACACTGGGCAGCTACTTGATCTAACTTCACCAATAGCCCTGCCATGGCTACGTCTGTCTTCGCCAACAATGCTTCAGCGTCAATAATATGACCATTTTTTATAATCAACTTTGCACCTGTTGTCGGAATGGGTCGAGAGCTTGTGTGAAAATTGCCCAAGGGGCTGCCGTTGTTATTCTTTCTACTTGATTGGGGGGAATTAAGGAGCGGATATGGCGGTGCCTGTGCTTGTCGTTGTTCTCGATTTGTTGGCGAGTACTGTTGGTTTAGATGCTGGATTGAAAATGCAGTTGGACTTTGCGTAATCGTTAATGGTGGACTATGAACTGTGGAATTGTTTGATGAGGAGTGGTAGTTCCGACCCTGAATATGTGGTATTGGTAGAGGATGTGTGGATATTTTTACGTCAATGGCGCCAGGATTGTTCATAGGTAAAGGGCTTTTTCTTAGTATTGGTCTCGTAGCTATTGGAGGCAATGGAGGTTTCTTTGGGGCCAAGGAACTCACCATGGGAGACATAAACGTACGATCAGCATCGGGTTCCTCTTGTGTCGTGGGTCGCATATTATTTAAAATTGTGCGAGGTGGCAACAGTGGTGGGGACTCTTCCGGTGCTTGGGACTGAGGCCCGTTTCGTACAGGCACTGGAGATGGAGAAGATGGCAACATCTTTTTTGGCGAATAACGTTGAAGGAGTTCGACGCTTTTTGGTGGTCTTGCTGGTGCGGCTTGATCAACTGACTGAGATCTCGGTGGCAACTTCAATTTGACAGTTGCATCTTCGCTAGTCTCAGTTGTGTCATCTTTCCTTGATTTTGGACAGCAGGAAAATTTACTCTTCCTCTCCACTGTGGCATACTCAATAACATGTCCTTTATTCTCTTCAATAGATTTTGGAGGAGACAGCGGTCGACCTACCCTTTTCACCTGTGATGAATTACTGTAAAGACTTTCATTGAGCACATCGTCGTTTGTATGTGAGTTTTTGTCAATGTCATCCAAATTTGGGGGTGGTGGTATAATAAACGACATTATTTCTTCTGGTGTTAGCTCCTTTGCTGGTGTAGCTTTATGGGTTGGAGGTGCTACCACAACCTTTTCTAGGAATTTATCCAAATCTTGGTCTGCCATATCAGAAAATGACTTTTTACTGAAATCGCCAAAGCCTTTTGGTGCTGCATTTAACAATGACAGTGCATCCAGTTCATCCGGCGTCTGCGGCGGGGGTATGGCACGAAGATCGATCAAATCGCTATCTGTCTCAATAAAAGTATCCTCTCTTATTTCGAATCCATATATTTCAGATAGTTTTTTAGCTGCAGTGTCGGTGTCTTGGTTCACAGTATCAACATTGCTTATTTCCTTCAGCTGCTTCAAATATTCCTTGAGATTGTAGTCCTTTGTTTCCATACCAAAGTTATTGCTGTCCGGGCTGTGTAGGCCAAAACTTGACCGGTAATCTAGATTTTGCTTTCGATTAGATTTCTCATTGGTATTTAGCAACGAAGGCCTTCGTGTGGTAGGGGAATTGGTGGGGGATGCGATCGACTCCGAGTCACTCTCACTTTGAGAAAACTCTCCCAGGGCCTGCAAATTACTGAGTAGTTGACTGAAGCCGTTGACTTTACGCTCTGGCCTGGGACTGGAGGTGTCGGTAAGCGCAGGTTTTTTACGCCTAACTTCTGCAGGCTTCTCCCCAATAGAGATAAGTCCTTGCGTGATGCCCGTTAAGTCATGGTTAATTGTCTCAGCCAACAGCATTAACGAATCACTATGTCTCAGAGATCCTTGTTGCGGGGGTGTTTCTTCATTGGATGACAACTTGCTGCTGTTTAAACTGTCACAGTCGCTGTCAAATTCTATTACGCCGGGCGCATTGCCAGAGCCACTGTTTAGAGCACTGGGTGAATTTTGCCAAGAAGAGCCATAGGTAGTGTTTTCTTTGGTTGACCTACTATAGTCCTGAACCAACTCGTCCTGTTCGTTCAAATATTGCTCTGAGTTTTCAACCATTTGCTGCATTTCTTGAACTCGCCTAAGAACTTCCTCGTTTTTGGATTGCGATCGGTCACCACAGTTACTGCCGCCGCCACCGCTGCTGTCGCTCATTCCGGAATCTTTGGCCTCCTCCAAAAGCTCAGTGGCCACAACACTGTGTATGTCCAAGTCCATAGTTGTTGTCGACAACAACGGCATATTTGCTGTTGAGTTCACGTTTACCATGTGATTTAAATTTGAGTTGGTCCGAGCTCCAGTGGAAACTCCCTCACCAAAATCACTGCAATTGTCTTCTAAGCGGACTTTGCTCGGATGATATGGCGGTGAAACAATGAAGCTCATCGAGTGGGCTCTGCTTTGAAAGGGCGCCAAATAACTCCATGCGGCGGGCAGAACAGTATGCTGTGATAAATACGAAGGGGCGTTGTCCTCATCCACGGGATCTCGTTCTCGCGAGATAGGAAGAGGTTTACCTTTAATGGTCGGGAATATTATTAAAAAAATTGGTGGGAACCGTTTTGAAACTAAAAATTACTAACCTGATATTAACCTATAATAGCCCGCAAGGCATAACGAGAACTCGCAAGCATCCCTGTCCTCCATGAAAAATTTTACAAAGCGATCGCCTTGCATGTATATACATACGCTGCAAGTTACGTCGTCCTCTCTATCGACAACGACGCGGCTGAAATCTTCAATGGATGATATTGCTTGCGGCTGCAATTACTTACGTTAACAAGTGTTGCAATTAATTAGTGGGCAGTCACTTACCACAGAATTTCTGGCACTTGATATCTGACTCAGACCAAACCTGGGACTCACCAGCAGAACCCTTTCCACGCCCTCCCTTTGGTTGGTGCTAAAACACTTTGCTCCGTAACTGGGCAAGCTGGCAATGATGTCCAAGTAATGTAATTTGGCCTTCGGAGAATAATGAATGGTATAGAATCATAGGTGTTCTAAATATATATGCATTACACCTCACTCACCTGTAGCTGTGTCAGGACTTTACCCGACGAACCCGTCATCTCCGCATTCATTTTAAGAAAATGTGAAATCAATCGCCTCAGTTCCTTTCGTTTCATACCTTCCGACAAAGTGGTGGGCAAAAATCTTTCAAGTCCAAACTCCCGTCTGTTATGGACCAAGATTTAGTAATGGAATTCAATGCGCATACACACACAAGCACACTTACTCTACGACTTTTACGGTTAGCTTTGATGGGTGTACACCATTTGCCAGGGCATGTTGGTGCATATGTAAGGCAGCCAGGCGTAAAGCAACATCCGGCTGCAGCTCGGGAGCAAATCTTTCCTGTGTAACATCATTGCAGCACTGCATGTACAAATAGTCCAGAGCATTCAGGTCCTTTTGTGCCAAATCTGCAGCCGACATAGGTACAAACGTTACCCGAAACAGACATCGCAACTTATGAGCGCCAGGCCTGGAGGCAATTTTTGCCAGGGATTCTTCGGGATCTAGCAAAGTAAGTTTGTTGCGTTTAAGACTTTTAACGTGTTCCAAGACCAGGCTGAATATTTCTCCCGTAGTAAAACACAACTTGTCCAGCAGCGAAGTGACCACATCCTGTTAATATTCAATAATATCCATTAAATAATGGCAGAGTCATGTATATATATATATAGATAAATAGAAGCCGACATCTACCTGTACTGTGGTGGTGGCGTCATATTTGAAGGATTTGGTCTGTCCATTTTCTAGAAAAACCTTTAAAACATTTGCCATTGGCGGAACGCAAATATCACCCAGCGAGAAAGCAGATGGCTGAAAGAATATACAACAGAAAATTGTAAAGAACGGACAATGCAATGAAATTAAGGTATCTACCGGAAATAGAGGAGCTCCATTAACGCAAACGCTTTCGGCAAATCGAACCCGACTAGGTCTCGTCTTAAGCTTGGCTTTTTTTCCGGCGGAGAGCAGTGTAGACTTTCTACCAGGCGTTCGACTCGGAACAGGCTGACACACCGAGAGTGTCACCTGTGCATCACAAGCCCTCACCAACTGTATAACCCTATCCCTGGGTGCGTCTGTAACATCTTCGCCGTTGACAGCAAGAATATGGTCACCAGGTTGAAGTTTATTCATACTTGGCCCATCTTCGGTGACAAAGCGAACAATCACTGGCCGTTCGCTGCCAGCCACAAACCCGAAGCCCATGGTAGGACTTCTTTGCAGAACGACCACTCGTGGCTCCGGTGGTTTCTCATCCCAGATTACACATTCCGGCGATTCATAAGTTGATGTCTTGTTCAAGTGGCTGCAACAACAAGGACAACATCACTGTGTCAACACTTGCCCAAGCGGTATCAGATGATTGATGTCATACTTACTTTATGAAATACGTTCGCCCCCTTGAATCGATGGCTCTCTCCCAGCCATAGGGAAGCTCTTCGCTCCTACTCCAGTCCTCACAAGACGGCAGCCATCCCGACGTTTGTGTAACATGACTATAAAAAGGAGAACAGTAAAGTTTATTACTCGAGTGATTGTGCTAAATGAGGGAGGCAATGCTAAACAGGCTACTGCATCTACATATGTATGCCGTTATGGTAAGTGCAACTATATTGCCACCGTCAATGCTGTCACCCGTTCGGTCTGCAGGCAAACCACAGAAACCATGTCAGTCAATCAGAATAAGGTTTCCCATGGTATGTTCTCTTCGATTCATTAATTCATTAATGCCAAATGAATTTGCTCGAATCACTCATCGATCGAAGAGCTCGCTGGGGACCCAGCATAAATATGTTTTTTTTTGCATATGCCCCGGTGGGTTTGGGCCTGAACCGATGATTAGCATGGTGCTTGTCACTGATGTAGATAATTAATTCAATATCATTTTGCTCATAACGAGCTTGTTAAGTCGCATTGTCGCCCTCAGCTAAGTGGGAAATGACTGGAAACAATTGGATATAATTAAGTTTGTGCATTGTTCGTCTGCTCCATGGCAGTATACTGAATTCTGTTGCTTCGCTGATTGCCCAAGGGCACATTAGAAGGTGTCTCAACAAGTCCTGCTGCCCAACCACTATTTGAAAATGCAACCGAACACCCCACACCATATGAATGTCAATTGTATCCCAATAGGGAAAATATTTCTGACCTCTGGTATTTAGATTCATTTGTAATTTCTTATTTATTCTATGCTTAGATGGAACACATACATACAGATACAATTGTAGCATTGGCTGTACTACTCACTTGCAATAATAGAGACGTCCTTCTTTGCCCAAATGAACAGTCCAACCTTGTTTCAGACTCGCCTGCAAGACTTCTAAATGCCGATCGATCTCCGCCCAATTTCCGATTGTGGCGGGCGTTACTGCAGTCAAAACTCCAACACTGGCACTGGCATTCCCATTGGTCATGAACGTCGTCTTAGCGCCGTCCGTGCAGCGACCAGATGTTGCTGTACCCGTTTCACTTTGACTTCCTGGTGAATTAGAGAGCAGCATGGCTCCTGCGGTTGGTAAAGACGTGATGTGTATTTGCGGTGAATGTGAAGCTGGCGTCGAAAGTGTTGACGTTGGAGCCGATGAAGAAATATTCCTGATTTGCGAAGGGTTTGTGAGTGATGATGGCGCTGCCGATAAGTGAACACCAACATTTTCTGTTTCCCTATGCGGATTTATACTGACCTGTGTTGAAGAAGCTCTTGTCAGTGAGTTGATTCCCAGTTTGCTATTGCTTGCCGCTGCATGAACATCGCCATTCGAACGCCCCGAAGGCAGAAGCATCGCTCACTATCATTCGCTGCAAATAAGACATATAAAGTGAAAAATTAGACAAGAGTAAATCCACGACCATTCAAAATTACAAAACCGCCTATATAAATCGGACGTGCGCTAGGATTTGGACTCTTCGGAATTGGTTTATTTGGATTTTCACATATTTTTTTTGAATGCAATACTAGTAAATTGGAAGGTTTTCATGCGCAGGGTCCACATTCAACTTCCCCATACCCACCAAAACTACAGGGCAATTGGTTCGAACATATCCTATGAAGTAGAGTATTACGTAAAACGCTAGCCAACCTACGAGGGCAGTTTGGAAACTAGTACTTAGCGGTATAAACAGAAAAAGTTAAGTGTTTTGGAAACTTCCATCTCTGTTATGAACACATGTTAAATTTTGTTTCGATCTGGCAGCTCCTTCATATAGAACAAGTAAAAAAGCTGTAAGTTCGGCGGGCCGAACTTTTAATACCATCCACCACTTGGTACAAATTTGGCAATTTCCAAAAAATAAAATCCGTTAAAAATTCTGTTAATATCTTAAGAATGCCTGCATAGTCAACTTTTGTTAATATTTAAATGCGAAACTTGAAGAAAAATCTGTTTATAATGTAGCTAAAATCATTAAAATACCGTATATGGGGGGTACCGTTATATGGGGGCTATACGAAGACGTGGACCTGCACAGACAATTTTCTGGCATGGGCTGAAGTATCCATTACGAACTTCACATGCCGTATTTGAAACAAAACCGAATATCGGGGGGTACGTATATGGGGCTATATGAAGACTTGGACCTATATGGCCCATTTTCTGTTTTATGCTGCAGTATCTATTACGAACTTCAAATACCAAATTTGGAACGATTTCGCTAAATAATGTCGCTAAAATAATCAAAATACCGAATATCGGGGGCTACAGTTATACGGGGGCTATATGAGAACGTGGACCTACATGGCTCATTTTTTGACTTAGGATTACGAATCCATTACGAACTTCAAATACCAAATTTGAAACGATTCCCGTAAACAATGTCGCTAAAATCATCAAAATACCGATTATCGAGGGGTACCATTGTATGGGGGCTACACGAAGACGTGGACCTGCACAGATAATTTTCTGTCTTGGGCTGTAGTATTCTTTACGAACTTCAAATGCCAAATTTGAAACAATTTCGGCGAATAATGTCGCTAAAATCATCAAAATACTGAATATCGGGAGGTACGGTTATATGGGGGCTATATGATAACTTGGACCTACATGGCCCATTTACGATAGCGTGATTACAACAGACAGACAGACACACAGGCAGACGGACGGACATGGCTAAATCGTCTTGGAATTTTACGCTGATCAAGAATATATATACTTTGTTGGGTCTGACATGAGTATTTCGAGGAGTTACAAACGGAATGACAAAATTAAAATGGTGGAGGGTATAATAATAAAATCCGTTAAAAATTCTGTTAAAATCTTAAAAATACCGAATGCCTATACGACGACGTGGACCTGCATAGGCAACTTTTGTCATAAGTTATTACAATATTTAAATCCGAAACTTGAAGAAAAATTTGTTTATAATGTAGCTAAAATCATCAAAACACCGAATATAGGGGGTACCGTTATATGGGGGCTATACGAAGACGTGGACCTGCACAGACAATTTTCTGGCATGGGCTGAAGTATCCATTAAGAACTTCACATGCGAAATTTGAAACAATCCCGGTAAATAATGTCGGTAAAATCATCAAAATACCGAATATCGGGGGGTATGGTATATGGGGGCTATACATGGTCCATTTTCTGTTTGATGCTGCAGTATCTATTACGAATTTCAAATACCAAATTTGGAACGATTCCGTTAAATAATGTCGCTAAAATCATCAAAATACCAAATATCTGGGGGTACCGTTATATAGGGGCTTCGTATAGCCCCGTGGACCTACATAGATTATTTTCTGTCTTAGGCTGTAGTCTCCATTACGAACTTCAAATGCCAAATTTGAAACAATTCCGGTGAATACTGTTGCAAAAATCATCAAAATACCGAATATCGGGAGGTACCGTTATATGGGGGCTATATGATTTCTTGGACCTACATGGCCCATTTACGAACTTAACCTGCCTACTGGCAAAATATACATGTGTGCAAAATTTTAGCCTTCTATCTCAATTTGTTCGAAAGATAGCGTGATTACAACAGACAGACAGACGGACAGACAGACACACAGACAGACAGACGGACATGGCTAAATCGTCTTAGAATTTTACGCTGATCAAGAATATATCTATACTTTGTTGGGTCTGACATGAGTATTTCGAGGAGTTACAAACGGAATGACAAAATTAATATACCCTCCATAGTATGGTGGAGGGTATAAAAAGGTGTTCATAAAAGACGCATCCGCAATTGTTTTAGAAAGGAAAAAATGGAAGGTATCGAGGCTATTCACCAGAATTGTTTCAAATTTGGTATCTTAAGTTCGTAATGGATTCTACAGCCTAAGACAAAACTTTTTCTGTGTAGGTCCACGTCTTCGTAGAACCCCCATATAACGGTACCTCCCGATATTCGGTATTGTAATGATTTTAGCGACGTTTTTCACCGGACAGAAAATTAAAGCTTAAGACAGAAAATTGTTTATGCAGGTCCACGACTTCGTGTAGCCCTCATATAACGATACCTCCCGATATTTAGTATTTTGATCATTTTAGCGAGACGATTCACCAGAATTGTTTCAAATTTGGTATTTGAAGGTCGTAATAGATACTACAGCTTAAGACAGAAAATTGTTTATGCAGGTCCACGTCTTCGTATAGCCCCCATATAACGGTACGTCCCGATATTCTGTATTTTGATGATTTAAGCGAATTTATTCACCGAAATTGTTTCAAATTTGGTACTTGAAGTTCGTAATGGATACTACAGTCTAAGACAGAAAATATAGGAAATAGCCCCCATATAACGGTACCTCCCGATAATCGATTTTCGCATTTGTTACCTATGCAGGTCCATGTCGTCGTATAGATCCTAATATGACAGCTACATTCGGTTTTTTAAGATTTTAACATAATTTTTAACGGATTTAATTGTTTTTGAGAATTCGTTCCAAATGGAGGAGGGAATTCGAAATTCGGCCCGGGCGAGCTTACAGTTTTTTACTTGTTTTCTTTTTAAAGCACAAATTTTAGTAATATCTTTCCAAACATGGTTCATCCAGAAATGTTGTTCATCTTCAAGAAACTAGTAAAAATGCAACTCTGTACCGGAGTCTGAGTATCAAATAATTTTTTTAATAAACACAATTGATTTAATTGTTGTTATTTATATTTTTATACCAAAATTCCTATATTGGGGAAAAGCGACGAAATATAAATGGAATGTTGAGGTAATACCACAAAATTAAATCTAAGATAGTTAGAGAAATCTGTCACATCTCAGTTGTCCATTAGATAGACACGTAGATAACATCAAATTATTTTATTTTTTCATTTAAAACAATACAAACAAAATATATGTATGTATATATATATATATATATATATATATATATATATATATATATATATATATATATATATATATATATATATATATATATATATATATATATATATATATATATATATATATATATATATATATATATATATATATATATGGATGGAACTAAAGTTTTTGAGAATTATATATATAGACAACTCTCATTATTAAACTCTTCATCTTCTCTTCTTCTTCATCGTAAGGAAACATTCTCGTTGCTGTTACTTCTTGTTTAGTCCTCGAATGACGTTTTATTTTAGGTTAGTCTATAGGTATCGAAAACCCGGAATAACCGGCTGAGAAACTAGTCCATAATAAAGCCTTACGTGACTTATGAGGCTAATATTGTAGTTTTCTTATTTTTCCTTGACTTGTATAACCTCTAAAATGTATGGACATCAAAAAATAAAAAAAAATTGTAGCCGTATGATTGCATGGATTACCGTGGTAATTGTGCCACATGTATATCAAGTGTTATTGCAAATTCGTTCACTATTTCAACCGTTTTAAGCGTGTTTATGCTTGTTAAAGGTTGTAGAAAATTGCCAATTTTCAGCTTATTATTTAATTCACATATAAAATGGTTTATTGGGTAGGTGTCGGTTGAGGGCACACACTAATGACTGTTTCTGAGATGCCACTTTTCTAAACATTTTTAAGAGCTATGAAAAAAAGACAACTTGCCTATAACTTTGTATTCATCGAATGCATTCATGACCCGCATATCTGTAAGTTAAGTATTCGTATCACTCTATTGGCATACATAGTGTCGAATCATGATATTGCAAAACTAGTTTTTCAAAACACACTGATTGCTCTGTGTTCGGAGAGATCTAGCAATGGCATAAAATTCCAAACTCCTTTAGCGGAGAGCTGTGCTGCCGGTATAAGGAGAGGCAAACAACTGACACACTTCCAGAGTGACACATTCAGACACAGAGAGCTGAAGTCCATTAACACAAAAACGACAAAAACCGGCATCAAACAAGTTGGCTTTGTACAGTAGAGAGGGTATAAGAATGACAAGACAGGGGTTCATTTTGCACAATACATAGGAAGCGTTCTATTAGGCACCGGACATCGAAATCTCAGACTCAGAGAGCATTTGATGGCCAATTGGTGGTCGGTTTGAAAAGCGATGTATTGCTGCAATATCTGTCCTGGATGTATCGCTTTTCATACAGAGCGATCAAGCGCTCTCTACACGCGTCAAAATAACCATAACATTCAATTGATATTTTTTGGATGACATCCCTAGAGTGGGAAGGAGTTAAACTCAACATGCCATTATCGCGATTTATGGAAAATCGGAACTCTTCAACTTCACGTTTCATGCGAGTAATGATGAAAATTGTGTCCCTTTCTACGAGAGGAGATGATTTTAATTTCCAGACTGGACCAAAAAATATATTGTTAGTTCACATGACACGTGATTCGTTCTCTATTCGTTGTTCGACCATTAATTATGAAATATC